ACTTTGAGGGCAAAATTAAGAGATTTATGGATACAGCTCTCAACACTCATATGAAACAGAACTGTATATATTTAAATAATCAAAAAACCATCAGAATATGCTCACAACCAATAACAAATCATTTAAACTTATATATTTTATAAACTCCTCTCTCCTATCTTTATCTTACCTAGTCTGCATTCTTTCTTTTTATTTATGCATATTTTACTAATCACTCCCCTTTTAAACTGTGTTTTTTATTTTTTACTGACCTATAGTACACTTATTTTTTACAACTATATTACATAGATGGAAATATTTGTTTACATAGATGACCAAACCGTTTGAGACCCACTGAGATAACTTAGACTAAAGTTTACAATCTAATCGCTCAGCGAGTCCTTTACCTCAGGGGTTCCCAACCTTTATTGTGCCAAGGACCGGTAGATACATTAAAAAAAAATCGCGGACCGGTTGTCAATTTTAACTGATTTTAATATTTACTCACCACCAGCAGGTAGCAACAGAGGCTAATTGTATGTAACAGCCTGAACAAATACTAGAACAATATGCATCCAAAACATATTAACAAAGTTTAAAAAAGAACCTGTGTTGTTTTTTGGTTTTTCGGAAAACCAAAAAACCGACGTTATTCAGTTTTTAAAACCAAAACGGGGAAAACAGATAAATCAACGTTTTGGTTTTGTTTGTATGATTTACGGATAATCCAGTGAATGCTGGGAAAATGTCGTTCATTCCGGTGCACTCCCGACAGCATTTAGCACTACATCAAGATTAAGATTAAACTAATTTATTTTGGGAACAGCCGCATATATGCCGGTGTCGGACAGACACAAACACACCGAACACACAGAGCTGAGCTGAGCAGAGCACATACACACACACATCATGCGCCTTGGTGGACTGACTGGACATCTCCTTCATAAAACTAATAAAAGGGGGAGTAATCGGGCAGTTCGATGTGTGTAGATGTGTGTGTGGTTAACACGTAGCAGCCTGCAGTCACTCTTAAACTGTTCTGATTAAGTTAAACACAGCGAATTCGGTGCGTAAAAAGGCACAGCTCTTTACCGAGTATACGTCCCGCTGCCTCCTGATGCTGCAGCCATTTCATGAAGGAGGGTTTCCTTCTATAAAACAGCTGCGGGCAGCAGATCGTGAGAGTCCCGGACATTAATTCATAGATCAAGGCATACTGGTTTACTCTCCTGTTTTGCCAATCCAGTGCTTAAACAAATAGCTCTACACCCCTGGCCGACATGTCCTTAAAATGAAGTCCGAGTTTGAAATATATCTCAAATAATGTATGCACCACCATTTCCCCACATAACATAACAGTCTGCAATCAAACGGTTGTCTCCTGTGCGCTCCTCTTCCTACTTGGCGCACCGGTAACATGCTCGTGCGCACAAGAGGCTGAGACCTTATGAGCCGCCGAATCCCTCGGAACATCATAAAAGCCATTTTCAACGGTTTTCTGGTGAAAGATTAACTAGCTACTGGATGAAATAATATGACTGGTGGCATAGGTGCGAAAATTAAACACTTTTTGAAAAAAATATTATGATAAATATTTTTATATATTTATAATTCTGCAAATATTACGATAAACTCACAGCTATTTCGCGGCCCGGCAGTAACACCTCCGCGGCCCGGTACCGGTCCGCGGACCGGGGGTTGGGAACCCCTGCTTTACCTCACTGAGCTGACGTTATCTCAGCCTCTCAGTCCGACAGGAGAGGACTCCCCCTCTCCTTATTGTTGAAACAGCTTCTAATCTCCATTAGCACCGAGCTAGCACCAGATGCTAACAACAACCCCCGTATCTCTCTCTCTCTCTCTCTCTCTCTCTCTCTCTCTCTCTCTCTCTCACAAAATGCGCTCGTGCCACACACACACCACACACCACGACCGCTTGCGTAAACATTTTTTAATAAACACATTTGAAAAGTGGGGGGGACACAAATGGGATTTTGAAAAGTGGGGAGGACATGTTCCCCCTGTCCCCAGTGGAAATTACGCCCATGATTGCGCATAAGAAAACAATGCAATACAGTTATTGGTATTTGTTTCAGTACACATATTTATTTCAGATACTTATAGTTACAGTTTTTACGCTCTAATGGGTCCGACTAGAATGACAAATAGCGTTAGTTCCGCCTATTCCGTCAGCCACAGGCAGTGGCGTCGCCTGGCCTGGGCATCCGGGGCTTTAGCCCCGAATGTTTTTTCTGTAGCCCCGGACAATTCTCCCTCAATAATATAATACATTAACCGTGCTTTACGTGAATCTCATCATGACACAAGAGAGGACGGCAGCACTGTAATTTCCCGTGTTCAGTGAATGCAACAGAGGCATGACACCAGACCAATCAGAGAGTTGCATGGAAATAAACGTGTGCTTGTGTCATTCAAGCTCGGCTCTGTGTGTGTGTGTGGCAATAGCGCATTTAGTGTGATAGAGAGAGAGAGAGGGAGAGAGGGGGAGGGAGGGACGGTGACTGTCAGCATGGACCGTGTTGTTAGCATCTGGTTAGCTCGCTGCACTAACGGACATAAGGAGCTGTTTGTTCCACAAGAAGCTGGAGGAGAGTCCTCTCCTCAGACTGAGGCGCCGTTTACACGAGGAGAAAACTGCTTGTATCTGCATAGTTTCGCGTGCGTATAGCCCTATTATTTACACGAGGCCGATAGAAACTGACCCCACAAACGATAACGGGTCCCAAGGTGGATAGATTTGCAAACGAAACGCTCTGGGGGGTCAACCGAGTCCGTGTAATCACCTCTATACGAATATTTCCTGAAAAAATAGCGAAAAAAAAAAAAAATAGCACCTCTCCTGCTCACTGCTGTAGCAACCATCAAAAATAGCTGTGTTAATTAAACGCACAAGGGGTTCTTGAATGAAATAATATTATAAAAGGCAAACCAGAATTGTTAACGCCCAATATACTCCTTAAACAAAATAAACAGAGTCAGATTTCATGCATTGATCCATTATATTGACAAAGGTGCATCTCACCCGGTGTTTGTAGAGAATATCTCTCTTTCTGAGCCGTCCTCTCGATGCAATATCCACAGAGACGTGCTTCTTGGTTTCTTTCAGTTAACTTCCCCGTTGCATTTATCCATATGCTGAGGAAATGACTATATCCCGCTGAATACCAGCAATCGCCACACACACTGACTTCCTCCTGTCAGTAGCTACTGCTAGTGCTACTGCTACTGACCATGCTACAGATATTAGTGCAAAAATATACAGCTCCTCTACCACAACCATCAGCAACAACAGATTCGGTTTCTTTCAGTTTCAGTTTCAGGGCTTAAACAGAAGGGTAGCCATGGCAACATTGCTGCGGGGCTGCTCCAGGCTGCTCTTCTTCGCGGCTTTTGGTGTATTTTGGCGGAAGTTACAGCGCCACTTACAGTCCCAGCATATGTACTACAGCGTTTCCAGCGGCCTCGTTTAAACAGACACGTTAAATGAAACAAATGCATGTGAACGGAAGACTTTTTTGAATACGCATACTGTGCATAAACGCAAACGGTCCCGTGTGAGCGGGGCCTGAGAGACTCAGGTGAGCTCAAGGACTCTCTGAGTGTTTAGATACATAACTTTAGTCTAAGTTATCTCAGTGGGTCTCAAACGGTTTGGTCACAAATTATTCAAAATATTATTTCCGCGGCACACCTTCATATGATCATTATAGTTATTAAAAAAAAGAGAATAAAGGAAAAACAGTTATGAAATACTATATGGCAGTAAAACAAGAATAGAGTTTAAAAGGGGAGTGATTAGTAAAATATCCATAAAGAAAAAGTACATCTGTTTACAGTTCTGCTTCATATGGGTGCTGAGAGAGGTATCCATAGATCTCTTCATTTTACTCTCAAAGTGCACCAGATTGATGCATTTAACTTCAATATTTAAAAAAAAATCTTCCCGGGGGAGCATCCCCCCGGACCCCTCTAGAGGAGGTGAGGTCCCCCACTCATAAAAAATACCACTTTACCCCTGCCTATATGCCGTGAGCTGATTATCGAGCCTTCATTGTAACAGTCGCGGGTGTACTGTGTATGTGCGTGTGGGGAGTGTTGCAGTAAAAAATGCCACTGTCGTGCCGCCGCCACTGTGGGCTAAGCCCCGAATGTTTTCAGGTCCAGGCGACGCCCCTGGCCACAGGGGCGTCCAAAGTCAGTGTTAGGGGTGCACTCCAGCCCCCCCTAGAACCGCCCCTGCGTAAGAGCCAGCATGCGGGACCGGGATTCTGGGATTTGTAGTCCTTTCTAGTTGCACATTTTTCATAGTCTTATATTTCAACAGTTTTACGTCATCATATCATATCATATGTTTAATTCGTGGCACAATTCAAACGGGATCGAAAGATAATCTTTCTCTCCCCATTGACTTCAATACATCATTTTTCCGAAATAAGGTCCCATGGGTCGGAAGTAGATGGGCGGGACTTCGCCTCCCTATATGCTCCCGGCAACACGCCTCCTTATTACACTCACCCCTACTTTAGTGGGAACAATGAGTCTGCGTCTTTGATGCACATAGGAATAAACGCAGATCATACTCTGGCTGCAGCCTTGACCGGCACTTGCTTTTGATCAAAGTCAATGCGGAAAACCCGCACTCACACAGGTAGGTGGAGGTGAAGGGAATGAGCACTTTTACAGCCTGTTTGGCGAGGTGGGGGAACTCGGTCTCCACAGACAGCCAAAAGTGTGCAAGTGTCACTTTACTCATAATTTTCTCGTGATTTTTTTTTCTCACGCTGCGCCTCCCCTGAAGCTCTCTGGTGCCCCCCAGGGGAGGCGCGCCTCACACTTTGAAAACCGCTGAAGGATCCAATAGAAAGCAAATAGTCACACGAAAAGTTAAATAAAATATGGCAACTGCCTGTTCATTTTCATCTCTGGTCAGATGAATACAGGTACAACTTCTGTGATTAACTCAAACTATGTTTCATAACACATGTTGTTACTTTGTTCAGCTACTAATATTGCTAAAGGTGGAAAAGTGACTCAGTCCTCCGTGAAGAAGATTGATTGCCCCGGAAGAGCCATTGATGGAAATCGTGCCAGCAAATATCGAAAGGGATCCTGTACACGCACAAGAGGAGAAACCAAACCCTGGTGGAGACTTGACCTCCTAAAGACATATAAAATCAACACTGTCACCATCACTAACAGAAAAGGCCAACTCAAAAGGATCAATGATGCTGAGATCCACGTTGGGAATTCCCTCAAGGACAATGGCAACGCCAATCCCATGTAACAGCACTATCTGCCTTATACAAGATTTACAAATGTTACCTTTCCTCTGAAAGTTATAGAGAAAGATAGAATTGGTTATCTAAATAATTTACTAATATTTTCCTGTTTCTTTCACCAGATGTGCTGTTATCTCATCTATCGCAGCTGAGAGCTCAAAAACATTTGTTTGCAATGGAATAGAAGGCCAGTATGTAAACATTGTAATTCCTGGAGAACAAAGAATCCTGAAACTGTGTGAGGTGGAAGTCACTGGTCAACCTTCTGGAAACACTGCTCCAACTGGTAAATTGTACTATATAAAGCAGGGGTTTTCAAAGTGTGGGACGGTGAGCCTCCCCTCAGAGAACATAAGAACAGCCACGCCCCCCCCTCCCAATTATTATTGCTATTATTATTATTATTATTATTGTTGTTGTTGCTATAATGCAGGGGTATTCAATTGCATTTCAAAGGGGTCCAGTAAGAGAAAATGTCATTAAATGCTCTGTTTTCGCTGTCTACCTTCCGCCATTTGAAATTACTCTGTTTCTCACTTCTTGTCTCGTCTCTGTGTGTGTGTTTGAATCTATCGTGCTGACTCACTGACTGCACCGATTTCGATTGATTGGCTGAGTAGCGTCACCTCCTTAAAACATTAAACAATAACCTTTTTAAACATTTGTATCTTTATGTTTTACACATATTGTATAAAACTCCCCCACTACTTGGACTATTCCTTGCACCCTGACCTCTGCCATTTTGTACATATCTAGTGTTCATATTCAGCGTATTATTTACCGTACTGTACTCTATATTTATAGAACTCTGTGAAATGATAATGAAGTTGAATCTAATCTAATCTAAAATCACTAATGTATCACCTACAGGTAATGAATGTACAGGAAACAGGTGCCAGGATATGGAAGATCTTCCAGGTGAGTGTATTTATTAGGAATGATAGTAATTACTTCTGACTGAGATATGCTTTAAAGACTGAGTGAGCCACCAGTCTAAATCATAAGGTCAGATCACTTGTGTGGCCATGAACTGTAAGTAATAAAGTGTTCATTTCATTTCAGTTCATTGAATTGTAGTACTACAAACAGAAAACACATGACAATTCAACAATAAAATAAAAATCTTTAGAAAAATATATATTTTTAAGCGTTACAGTCCTAAGTATAAGACAATATCACACTGGTTACATTTACATTTTGTTCAAATTATGCATGTTTATTGCATTAGAAACAAAAATATTGTCCCAGTCCCACTATGGGGAGTTTGAATTTCAGCTGAGCACTACAGACAACAACAGAAAACTCACGACAATACAACAATAAAAAAACAATCTTTAATTAGATATATTGTTTGTAAATGCTATGTTCCTGAGTATTAAAATAAATTGCATTAGTAACATTTAGTTTATTGCATTTGGAACAAATTATAACATTTACACATTTTATTTTATCAATTGATGGCTAACCCGCCGATTCAACATGTCGGTTATCACGCAGTCTGTCTTCCGGTTGTTGCCTCTTTTGAATGACGAATACACACTACCGCCGCCTGCTGGTAAGGAGAGTTATTGCCACTCACGCATGCGCAGTTCGTACGTGCTTCTTGGCCGTCGGCTGAAGTCTTTGCGGTGTGTTCCAGTGCGACACCTGGCCGAAACGCAGAGACGCGAGGCGACGCAACAGTCGGGGTCCGTCTGTGTCAGTTCTTTGCTGTCAGATTGGTGTGTCCGGGCCATTAGCCTACTTAGCTTGCATTGTTATGGATCTAAAGGTAGCAAAAGCTAACTTTCATAGCACAGCTTTTTTTTCTTTTTTTTTACTTCTCACTTAACACAATAAAGAAACAGACCGTATAGTATTACATTACATTACATTACATTACATTACATTGCATTTAGCTGACGCTTTTATCCAAAGCGACTTACAATAAGTGCATTCGAACAGGAAGATACAAACTTGAAGAAAACAGAATCATATAAGTACATCAGAGCCAAAACATTTCAAGTGCTACTCAACTGGCTTTAGATAAGCCAGTCCTTTATTAGTATATAAGTGCTTTGTTAGAAATTCTTTGTTAGTAGTTCTATCGCTCGAAGTGGAGTCGAAAGAGATGAGTTTTCAGTCTGCGCCGGAAGATGTGTAAGCTTTCTGCTGTCCTGATGTCAATGGGGAGCTCATTCCACCATTTTGGAGCCAGGATAGCAAACCCACGTGTTTTTGCTGATGGGAACTTGGGTCCCCCTCGCAGTGCGGGTGCAGCGAGCCGTTTGGCTGATGCAGAGCGGAGTGCACGTGCTGGGGTGTATGGTTTAACCATGTCCTGGATGTAGGAAGGGCCAGATCCATTCGCAGCATGGTACGCAAGTACCATTGTCTTGAAGTGGATTCTAGCAGTTACTGGAAGCCAGTGAAGTGAGCGGAGGAGCGGCGTGGTGTGGGAACATTTTGGAAGGTTGAAGACCAGACGAGCCGCTGCATTCTGGATGAGCTGCAGAGGTCGGATGGCACATGCAGGTAGACCAGCCAGGAGGGAGTTGCAGTAGTCTAGGCGTGAGATGACGAGAGCCTGGGCCAGAACCTGCGTCGCTTTCTGGGTCAGGAGGGGACGTATCCTCCTGATGTTGTAAAGCGTGTATCTGCAGCAGCGGGTTGTAGCAGCGATGTTTGCAGTGAAGGACAGTTTGTTATCTAGGGTCACACCCAGATTCCTTGCAGTCGGGGAAACAATAGAGGTGCCTTATGTTGATTGTTAGGTCAAGAGTGGGACAATCTTTTCCCGGAAGGAAAAGCAGTTCAGTCTTGTCAAGGTTGAGCTTGAGGTGGTGAGCAGACATCCACTGAGAGATGTCTGCTCGACAAGCAGAGATGCGTGCAACGACCTGGGTGTCTGAGCGGGGAAAGGACAGAATTAATTGGGTGTCGTCAGCGTAGCAGTGGTATGAAAAACCATGCGGGCTAATGACAGATCCAAGCGAGTTTGTGTACAAGGAGAAGAGGAGGGGACCAAGAACAGAGTTCTGAGGGACCCCTGTAGTTAATTGACAAGGGTCGGACTCGGACCCTCTCCAAGTTACCCTGTAGGTACGGTCTTTGAGGTATGAGGTGAGGAGGGAAAGTGCAGAGCCTGAAACTCCAAGATCTTGGAGAGTGCGAAGGAGGATCTGATGATTCACCGTGTTGAATGCAGCAGACAGGTCCAAAAGGATGATGACAGAGGAGAGGGAGGCTGCTTTAGCCGTGTGCAGTTCCTCAGAGACAGCACAGCACAAACAACACAAATGATCAATACTTACATATATTTTCACTTGTAGTATTATAATAATTTAAATGCTGGTTATTCTGGGGGTGTTCTATCCACGCTCAGCTACCGCACCGCAGCTGCCTGCACTGTACAATCGCTGGAGGACTGGGCTGTCACTCAAAAACTGAGTAGCCAATGGGGACACACCCCTGAAAGTCCCGCCCACCTGGGACGTTTGTGTCAAAATCGAAAACAAAAAATGAGGGAGCGCAAACGAGAAGAGCTGCAGCAAAAGCAAAAGTCTGATCATTGAGAAAGAAGCAAAGAGAACTACAAACAAAGAGATATGTTAAAACAAAGAAAAAAGACTTATAGTTTACATGATTACACAAATGATTTGTTTGCAACTTATAGTTTTATTTTTGAAATTAAATTTATTTTGCTTGAGTCAGTTTTTTTTTCTCTTAAACTCTTAGTTTTGCTTGATTCTAAGAAAATGTTGCTTTATCTTTATGAAACAAAACTAATCCCATAGTGTAACCCCTAAATAAAATATCAATATTGTGGCTTTCCAAGTTAACATTGATTGATATGACTGCGTTTAAATCAGCATATACTTCTGCCAGGGGATGCCACCCCTCAAAATTTCCTGCCACCCTCTTGCCACCCCATGAATATTTTTTTCTAGATCCACCCCTGCACCCCTCTAGAATAGGCGCGTTCACACCGGAGTACTTTTACCCGTTTAATTCCGTTAGTGCCTGGAATTTTGCGTTTACACCAAAAAGAGAACTTAGTTCTGAGAACTTTTACCCCCATTTTCAGTCCCTGCTAGAGATGTGGTAGGCCTACTATCCTGGAGAGAAAAAAGTACCAGTTCTGATTGGCTGGGCGAATTGCAAATCACACCCCGTAAAACTCTGAAAAGTTTTGTGAAGCCGCCATTGTATTTGCTGGCATTAGCATTATTAGCATTAGCATTAGCCCTGCGCACCAACGGAGAGAGAATAACTTATGGCAACACAAAATAAAACATGGGAGCGGTGGAGATGAGGAGGTGTCGGCGTTCTGGCGATTACTCGGAAGGCTTCAGTAGAAGCTGCTGGGAGTCCCAGCAGCTTCTACTGAAGCCAGTCCCCAACTCCGGGGACTTCCGGCCGGGGACTTCGGGTGGCAGTATACGCCGTGAAGTGGTTTGCGGCCTGCCAGTAAACCCAAAGCAGAAGAAGAAGAAGTGATGTCAGCGGCTTCATTTGCGTAATCTTCCCTCAGGGAACTTATTCCGGTGTGAACGTGATCTGTACTAAGTTCCATGGGGGTACTTAGTGCCGGGCACTAAGTGCCGGCACTAAGTACGGCAAAGTACTTGGTGTGAAAGCGGCTAATAAGCCCAATGGTTTCAACCATATTGCATCAGTAACGTGCACTTGTTGTTATAACAAGATCGCAAGGACACTGATAGCGATCGGACAATTCAGTGTTGTTCAGTTTGTGTGTTGTGGAACATGCGTGTGCGTGCATGAAAATATATCACACACACAATTACAATTGCATGTTCAATTCACTACCCTGGAAGTTAATAAAGTTGGAACAGCCTGTGGACAGCCGTTCTTCCTTGCATGTCAGTCGCCGACACCTTCTTACAGAGGACAGGCAAATCTAGCTGCAGCATGACCCGTATATTTTCGCACGCCGTGTTCTCAACACATGTTTTTTAGACATTTTTTACATTTTCAACATCGTGGATACATCCTTATAGAGAGGCAAAGTCCCTCCCTTTCCGGGGGACCTCCATGGGACCTTCTTTCGGAAAAAGTATGTATTGAAGTCAATGGCGAGAGAAAGCTTATCTTTCGATCCCGTTTGAATTGTGCCACGAATTACACACATGATGTTTGCAGTGGCGTTTTTATATGTACAAAAGTGGTGGGGCACAAAAAACTTAGATGTCTATATATAAGCTTCTGCAGTGACGTGCAGTGAGGTTCATGGCTGGTGAGGTCAGGTTTACACTCTTCAGGTTTACAAATATTATATTTTGACCTAAACCAAAATATAATATTATTTTCAAAAGCTTTTTTTGTCTGATGCTTCGATTAATTTTAAACAGACAGTTCAACAAAAGGATACCCAAAAAATGTAATTTTATCATTTAAATATTGAATTGTTCTCTCTTAGTAAGATCCCATTTCAATAAAATGGCGGTCTTACCTTGACTTGAAGATGAAGTCCATTTGCCTATCCTTCTGGACAAACATTTCTATTACTTTTTTGTAAAAGTCCTCCTTATGTTCTTGTAGTTTCAAAAGTCTATCATAAATCTAATCCATAGATTTATGATAAAAAAATTATAAAAGTAGGGTAGACATGTGGATGTTATCCGGCTAATCAAAACGTGCATTTATCTAACAGGTACGTTTCCCACAGATCTTATTTCGAGCTATTTTCTAAAATCCTCTGGAGAAATCTCATTGCTTTTTTGTGCTTACTTCCTGGTTTTAGGACGCGTCACTGCAGCTCTCTCGTCTCCTCTTCAAGCACCACACTTTTCGCGGCACACGTACTTACAGCCAATCAGCTCTGAATGATTTGAGATGACGTATGGTGGGGATGGTAGCTCCGTGCCCCTCTGGTCATTATTTTTTTGCCACACACATTACATTACAAAATACTCTGAGCATGCGCAGTGAAGTTTTTACAGTCACCGTTGACTTCACAGCGAGAGGAAGGGGCATAATCAGGTTTTGTCCCACATGGCTCTAAACAGCTCAATAGGCACACACTGTGACTGTAGACACACTAATTAGAAGAACACAGACTAAAACAGCAATGTACAGACGAATCAGATGATTAAACATGATCTTAAAATATATTTTATATATTTTTTTATTTATTTTTTTGCATTTTTGTAATCATTATTTGTAATACTTTCTGCTGACACTAGGTGGGGCTGTGCCCCACCTGCCCCTAATGACCAGTCGCCACTGGATGTTTGTCAATTTAAAAGATAATAATAAAAATGGGTCGTAAAACTGTGAAGTAACACTTTTTTTGTGTGAAACCGCTCAATGAACTACATCTCCCGTCTCGCACCACACACCAAGACGACCGTCACGTTGGCACATTTCACTTCTTTCTTTCAGAATGAGGCGAAAAGTATTAAAAGAGGTGAAAATCACTACAAGTCTGGGCATGTTAAGAGCTGTACATACACACAAGGGGAGTTAGTCGGTTCCGTAAGAGCAGTGGCGGTTCTAGACCAATTTGACTCGGGGGGCCAGGCTGGGGCCAGTTATTTTCTGAGGGGGGCACAATAAAAGCACGACGAAAAAGACAAAGACAGTATGAAGTAATTGCGCACAAGGGTGTAACTTTGGTTTGAGAAGTGGGGGGGACACAAAACAGGGGGTCCTCCGCAATGAAACATTTTCTCGATTTAATTCCATTTCCTGCCTTTCTACAAATATATTAGGGACTATAGCGTTAAAAAATCCAAGAAAAATGTGTAGTGTATATAATGAGTGTGCAAACTTATCTAGTATCCTTTCCATGTTAACCTGTTTTATTTGTGGGTGGACTTCACATTCTCTGGGTCCGGGGGCATGCACCCCCGGGAAGATTTATGTCTTTAAATTGAAGTTAAATGCACCAATCTGGTGCACTTTGAGGGCAAAATTAAGAGATTTATGGATACAGCTCTCAACACTCATATGAAACAGAACTGTATATATTTAAATAATCAAAAAACCATCAGAATATGCTCACAACCAATAACAAATCATTTAAACTTATATATTTTATAAACTCCTCTCTCCTATCTTTATCTTACCTAGTCTGCATTCTTTCTTTTTATTTATGCATATTTTACTAATCACTCTCCTTTTAAACTGTGTTTTTTATTTTTTACTGACCTATAGTAGCCTACACATTGGAAGGATTTCTTAACTTATTTTATATACAACTAATATTACATAGATGGAAATATTTGTTTACATAGATGACCAAACCGTTTGAGACCCACTGAGATAACTTAGACTAAAGTTTACAATCTAATCGCTCAGCGAGTCCTTTACCTCACTGAGCTGACGTTATCTCAGCCTCTCAGTCCGACAGGAGAGGACTCCCCCTGTTGAAACAGCTTCTAATGGCGCGTTTCCACTACACGGCCTCGCTCGGCCCCGCTCGGTATGGCTGGGCCTCGTTAGGACTGGCTCACTTTATGGCGCATTTCCATTACAGTTTAGGAACTGGGGCAGTATCTATAGTAACGCAGTGTAGGCGGAGACGTGACGTGATCTTCAGAGGACCCCAGAAAAACAACACAGCCGTTAGCTGTTAGCACTCAGAGCTCACAGCTCCTCATATCTGTTCAGAAACTAGACAAAAGTTAAACAAGTACAAACCACAGACTGCCTGTGTCATGGCGAATACAGTCGCTGCTTTATTTATGTCTGTAGGCCGTTGTTGTGAGTGTGGACGGTCGGAGCATATACTGCGTTAGCTTAGCCAATCTCCATTTAGAAAACAAGCATTTTAAAAGGTTTTTCCCCTGCCGTCTGTCTGCAGACTTGACAAGCATTAATTCATGGTTTTTTACTAACCGGTATCAGTATGTTGTTACTTCGGCATCATTTTGAAACGTGTATTACAATTAAATCACGGTCAAATATGTCCATCTTGTTGTAGTTGTAGCCCCCTTGCCAGCGACGCTCTCTCTAGTTTAGCATACTCAGCCCGACTCAGCCTCGTTGTCTCTGGCCCTGGACCCACAATTTTATGAGGCCAGAAAAACTGTGAATTAGGACCCGCCGGCCGGTACTAGGCCAAGTGGAAACGCAACCAAAGACGGGCCGCTGACGTCACAGCCCTCTTAAACCGGGCTGCGCGCTGTAGTGGAAACGCGCCATAATCTCCATTAGCACCGAGCTAGCACCAGATGCTAACAACAACCCCCGTAACGGACCGTCTCCACAGCAGCGTTAAAAAAATCTTGGAGGTGGGCGTATCTGAGGCTTGGGGATTTTTTTGCGATCAACCAATCACATGAATCTCCCGCCCGCGACATACGAAGCCAAAAAGCCCGAAGTAAACTGGATATAAACTCCCCAAAACAGGCGAAAACCTACCACTGTCTCTGCCACCTCCCTCCATGCCTGGCTCCTCCGGTTTATATCCCGGTAGGTCTGGTCATAAAGCACCGGGTGATTGATTCGCTACCGCTAATTTCTCCTCCATTTTTTGGAATATGAGGAAATGACCTGCGGTCTGGCTCTCCCAGCATACACGCCGTTTGATTGGCTAGAGCTTGAACTGTCAGATTTGCGTACACGGGATTTGATTGGCTGACGCTTCCTCCTCAGCTTCAAAAGTTGAACATTGTTCAACTTTGGATCTTGAAAATCCTGAGAATCTCCGCTCGCCTGCCCACAATGCATTTCGGCGAAAGCGAAAAAAAGTGACGTCACCTCATTCAAAGTGAATGGGCAGAAGCGTTTCAAGATTTTTTAACGCTGCCGTGGAGACGGCCCGTAACTCTCTCTCTCTCTCTCTCTCTCTCTCTCTCTCTCTCTCTCTCTCTCTCTCTCTCTCTCTTCTCTCTCTTCTCTCTCTCCTCTCTCTCTCTCTCTCTCTCTCTCTCCTCTCTCTCTCTCTCTCTCTCTCTCTCTCTCTCTCTCTCTCTCTCTCTCTCTCTCTCTCACAAAATGCGCTCGTGCCACACACACACAGATGCTCCTCCGTGACCACGACCGCTTGCGTAAAAAAATTATAATAAACACATTTGAAAAGTGGGGGGGACACAAATGGGATTTTGAAAAGTGGGGGGGACATGTTCCCCCTGTCCCCAGTGGAAATTACGCCCATGATTGCGCATAAAAAAACAATGCAATACAGTTATTGGTATTTGTTTCAGTACACATATTTATTTCAGATACTTATAGTTACAGTTTTTACGCTCTAATGGGTCCGACTCGAATGACAAATAGCGTTAGTTCCGCCTATTCCGTCAGCCAAGAAATCGTTTAATCATACTTCTTTTTTTTTCATTTTCAGGGGGGCCACAGGGGCGTCCAAAGTCAGTGTTAGGGGGGCACTCCAGCCCCCCCTAGAACCGCCCCTGCGTAAGAGCCAGCATGCGGGACCGGGATTCTGGGATTTGTAGTCTTTCTAGTTGCACATTTTTCATAGTCTTATATTTCAACAGTTTTACGTCATCATATCATATCATATGTTTAATTCGTGGCACAATTCAAACGGGATCGAAAGATAATCTTTCTCTCCCCATTGACTTCAATACATCATTTTTCCGAAATAAGGTCCCATGGGTCGGAAGTAGATGGGCGGGACTTCGCCTCCCTATATGCCTCCCGGCAACACGGCCTCCTTATTACACTCACCCCTACTTTAGTGGGAACAATGAGTCTGCGTCTTTGATGCACACAGGAATAAACGCAGATCATACTCTGCACTGGCTTTGATCAAAGTCAATGCGGAAAACCCGCACTCACACAGGTAGGTGGAGGTGAAGGGAATGAGCACTTTTACAGCCTGTTTGGCGAGGTGGGGGAACTCGGTCTCCACAGACAGCCAAAGTGTGCAAGTGTCACTTTACTCATAATTTTCTCGTTATTTTTTTTTCTCACGCTGCGCCTCCCCTGAAGCTCTCTGGTGCCCCCCAGGGGAGGCGCGCCTCACACTTTGAAAACCGCTGAAGGATCCAATAGAAAGCAAATAGTCACACGAAAAGTTAAATAAAATATGGCAACTGCCTGTTCATTTTCATCTCTGGTCAGATGAATACAGGTACAACTTCTGTGATTAACTCAAACTATGTTTCATAACACATGTTGTTACTTTGTTCAGCTACTAATATTGCTAAAGGTGGAAAAGTGACTCAGTCCTCCGTGAGGGCGGAGGGCGTCCCCGAAAGAGCCATTGATGGAAATCCTGCCAGCCAATATGGAAAGGGATCCTGTACACACACAACAGAAGACACCAAACCCTGGTGGAGACTGGACCTCCTAAAGAGATATAAAATCAACACTGTCACCATCACCAACAGAAGAGACTGTTGCCACAAAAGGATCAATGGTGCTGAGATCCGCGTTGGGAATTCCCTCAATGACAAGGGCAACGCCAATCCCATGTAACAGCACTATCTGCCTTATACAAGATTTACAAATGTTACCTTTCCTCTGAAGGTTATAGAGAAAGATAGAATTTGTTATCTAAATAATTTACTAATATTTTCCTGTTTCTTTCACCAGATGTGCTAATATCTCATCTATCGCAGCTGGGAGCTCAACAACATTTGTTTGCAATGGAATGGAAGGCCAGTATGTAAACATTGTAATTCCTGGAAAAAAAAAAATCCTGACACTGTGTGAGGTGGAAGTCACTGGTCAACCTTCTGGAAAAACTCCTCCAACTGGTAAATTGTACTATATAAGGGGTTTTCAAAGTATGGGAAGGTGAGCCTCCCCTCAGAGAACATAAGAACAGCCGCGCCCCCCCCTCCCAATTATTATTGCTATTATTATTATTATTATTATTGTTGTTGTTGCTATAATGCAGGGGTATTCAATTGCATTTCAAAGAGGTCCAGTAAGAGAAAATGTCATTAAATGCTCTGTTTTCGCTGTCTACCTTCCGCCATTTGAAATTACTCTGTTTCTCACTTCTTGTCTCGTCTCTGTGTGTGTTTGAATCTATATCGTGCTGACTCACTGACTGCACCGATTTCGATTGATTGGCTGAGTAGCGTCACCTCCTTAAAACATTAAACAATAACCTTTTTAAACATTTGTATCTTTATGTTTTACACATATTGTATAAAACTCCCCCACTACTTGGACTATTCCTTGCACCCTGACCTCTGCCATTTTTTTACATATCTAGTGTTCAGTGGCGTTTTTATATGTACAAAAGTGGTGGGGCACAAAAAACTTAGATGTCTATATATAAGCTTCTGCAGTGACGTGCAGTGAGGTTCATGGCTGGTGAGGCACTGGCACTGACTCTTCAGGTTTACAAATATTATATTTTGACCTAAACCAAAATATAATATTATTTTCAAAAGCTTTTTTTTGTCTGATGCTTCGATTAATTTTAAACAGACAGTTCAACAAAAGGATACCCAAAAAATGTCATTTTATCATTTAAATATTGAATTGTTCTCTCTTAGTAAGATCCCATTTTCAATAAAATGGCGGTCTTACCTTGACTTGAAGATGAAGTCCATTTGCCTATCCTTCTGGACAAACATTTCTATTACTTTTTTGTAAAAGTCCTCCTTATGTTCTTGTAGTTTCAAAAGTCTATCATAAATCTAATCCATAGATTTATGATAAAAAAATTATATAAGTAGGGTAGACATGTGGATATTATCCGGCTAATCAAAACGTGCATTTATCTAACAGGTACGTTTCCCACAGATCTTATTTCGAGCTATTTTCTAAAATCCTCTGGAGAAATCTCATTGCTTTTTTGTGCTTACTTCCTGGTTTTAGGACGCGCCACTGCAGCTCTCTCGTCTCCTCTTCAAGCACCACACTTTTCGCGGCACACGTACTTACAGCCAATCAGCTCTGAATGATTTGAGATGACGTATGGTGGGGATGGTAGCTCCATGCCAGTCTGGTCATTATTTTTTTGCCACACACATTTCATTACAAAATACTCTGAGCATGCGCAGTGAAGTTTTTACAGTCACCGTTGACTTCACAGCGAGAGGAAGGGGCATAATCAGGTTTTGTCCCACATGGCTCTAAACAGCTCAATAGGCACACACTGTGACTGTAGACACACTAATTAGAAGAACACAGACTAAAACAGCAATGTACAGACGAATCAGATGATTAAACATGATCTTAAAATATATTTTATATATTTTTTTATTTATTTTTTTGCATTTTGTAATCATTATTTGTAATACTTTCTGCTGACACTAGGTGGGGCTGTGCCCCACCTGCCCCTAATGACCAGTCGCCACTGCTAGTGTTCATATTCAGCGTATTATTTACCGTACTGTACTCTATATTTATAGAACTCTGTGAAATGATAATGAAGTTGAATCTAATCTAATCTAAAATCACTAATGTGTATCACCTACAGGTAATGAATGTACAGGAAACAGGAGCCAGGATATGGAAGATCTTCCAGGTGAGTGTATTTATTAGGAATGATAGTAATTACTTCTGACTGAGATATGCTTTAAAGACTGAGTGAGCCACCAGTCTAAATCATAAGGTCAGATCACTTGTGTGGCCATGAACTGTAAGTAATAAAGTGTTCATTTCATTTCAGTTCATTGAATTGTAGTACTACAAACAGAAAACACATGACAATTCAACAATAAAATAAAAATCTTTAGAAAAATATATATTTTTAAGCGTTACAGTCCTAAGTATAAGACGACATCACACTGGTTACATTTACATTTTGTTCAAATTATGCATGTTTATTGCATTAGAAACAAAAATATTGTCCCAGTCCCACTATGGGGAGTTTGAATTTCAGCTGAGCACTACAGACAACAACAGAAAACTCACGACAATACAACAATAAAAAAACAATCTTTAATTAGATATATTGTTTGTAAATGCTATGTTCCTGAGTATTAAAATAAATTGCATTAGTAACATTTAGTTTATTGCATTTGGAACAAATTATAACATTTACACATTTTATTTTATCAATTGATGGCTAACGAGGATTGATCTATTACACTTTGCCAATGGAGATTCAGATTTGTATCGTTTTACATTTTGTTAAAATGTAATTCAATGTTTGGGTTACTGCTATGAATTATTGTGAAAAAGTAAGGAAGAGATGAGAAATGTGGATTTACTGAGTGAAATAACACGGCTGCAATTCTGTCTCCAGGGAAATGGTTTATCCCTTGGATTGAGACGCTTATAACTGCTAATGCCCTCCACAAAAGTAAGTCTAACTTAAAAATAAATCAAAGCTAAAGGGTTTTCTGTTATCCGCAGCCTTTTATTATATCACACAACTACATCTTACACAGCAGTGGGATTCATGTATATTACCTATCTGATTCTATTTTATCTTGTTTTTGTGCTTATTTATGGGCTGTTAAATGTCTGCTTAGTATTATTATTATTATTACTACTTGTTTAATTGTATTTCATGTCATTTTAAAATGTGTTGCTTTTGTACTATATGTCTTAATTCTGTTAATGTTTTTGTAGAGCATTTGTTTAAATCTGATGAATAAATAAACTTGACCATGCATTTTGTTTTCTTTACCTCTCAACAGAACCCCGTTGCATTGTATTTCTGAAAGAAAACACATCTCAACCAGGTGAGTAAAAACCGCTCGTCACACACATACTGCATTTTAAACAAGTTCACATCCGTATTTTTTACAGAATAAAATGTAACTGTGTGTCTGTTGTTATTCAACAGAATGCTTTGAGAAGAAATGGCCCCGAATGGTTCAACATGATGGTTCTCATCTACTGCTCATCTCAAAATGGCATACCAAAAGGAATTTCCAGCTGTATGTCCTGACAGGAAGTCACTGCAACACTACATTAACTAATATGACAGGTGATATTACACAACTACATTGATGTGTGTGTGTGTGTGTGTGTGTGTGTGTGTGTGTGTGTGTGTGTGTGTGTGTGTGTGTGTGTGTGTGTGTGTGTGGTGTGTGTGTGTGTGTGTGTGTGTGTGTGTGTGTGTGTGTGTGTGTGTGTGTGTGTGTGTGTGTGTGTGTGTGTGTGTGTGTGTGTGTGTGTGTGTGTGTGTTTACCATCAAAGCAAGACTGCAGGTATTGTCTACTTAGTACAATCTGTCCACCTGGTGCCCTCACATTCACACTCCATTCTGTTTAAACCATCAGGATTCACAACAACACCTAGAATCCATTGCACACATAACAAAAGGATGTAATGCATACAAACGCCTGTACATAGCCCGTCATGATCGTATTGTGGACATTGTGTCTGATGCGGTACAAACCATCTTACCATCTAGTGCAGCAATGTACAAGCACACTAGAGTGCTACCAGAATGGTTTGGTTTTACCAATGATGTCTTTGCTAATACCCCAAATACACCTGATGTTGTTTTTGTTGACACCAACCACAAGGAGGTGCTAATATTAGAAGTAGGCTGTGCCTTTGACCTGTACATGGACCAGGCTTTCCAGGACAAGTATATCAAATACCAACCTCTGCTCGATGTGATAACCAGCTTTGGGTACAAGTGTAGATATAGCATACTCATATTCGGAAGTCTTGGCCATGTATATAAAAGCACCATGATTGGTCTGAGAATTGCTGGAATGTCAAAGAGAAAAGCCAAACAAATGGCCAAATATTGCTCTGTTTCAGCTATTATTGGCAGCTTAGCCGTGTGGAGAAGGAGGTGCTATGTGACTCCCTAAATGTTTGTTAAAAAAACGAAAAAGGGATAAGATATTGAATATTATTTTTACATTTAAACTTAATGTCAGAAATGTGTTATAAATACTGTGTATAAAAGGAAAGATATAACACTCCACAAACAACTGAAAATACACAGTCAAGTACTGTAGGTACTCAGTGTTGAGAATGTACTGTATAAGAATGGAGCTCCTGCCACCTAGTGTTACAATCAGCAATTGCACTTAGTTGTTACAATTTTGAGTCTGACAGTTTCCAAAATAAACTCTTTATTAGTTAAAGTACCAGCAGATTCCTGAGCCTTTGTCACAGGGTCATGTTTAAACTTATCAAATATCACAAGATGTATTATAATACACTGTAAACATCTGTGTGTGTGTGTGTGTGTGTGTGTGTGTGTGTGTGTGTATGTGTATGTGTATGTGTATGTATGTGTATGTGTATGTGTGTGTGTATGTGTATGTGTATGTGTATGTGTATGTGTATGTGTGTGTGTGTGTGTGTGTGTGTGTGTGTGTGTGTGTGTGTGTGTGTGTGTGTGTGTGTGTGTGTGTGTGTGTGTGTGTGTGTGTGTTTGGCCCTGATAATCCTAATGCAACACTTGCAAGAAGGTGCAAAGTTAATGTGTTACTGTTCATTTTCTCACAGATCCAAATCGAAATTGCACCTACAATCACACTGACGAAGGTAAAATAATTCATTTTCACAGTTTAATCTGCAAAAATTATTTGGTGAAAATAGAACTTATAAACATGTACTCACACTTAATGTAAACATTGGAATGATAAATAACGTCACTTTTAATCAAAGTCCATTTCTTTACCATCCCACGTAGAACCAGGTACTCCAAGTGATTTGATAACTTCAAGTTACTTTTATATGTTTAAATCATTTCACATGTGTACTTTCTAAAGTGATGTGCTTCTATAATTGTGTGCTTTTTTCTTCTTCACTGGTTTCCTTAATAGCATCTTGCCAGGTTAGATGTTTGAAGACAAAGAAGATATGTAAAGACACCAGATATAATAAAGAAGTCTGCAGCAAAATTGGTAAGTTCCCTTCAGATAAGCAAAGAACAGAGGTGGTAGAAGTACTCATATATTGTACTTAAGTAAAAGTAGAAATACCACAGTGTAGTAATACTCTGTTAGAAGTAAAAGTCTGGCAATGCAAATGTTACTCAAGTAAAAGTACAAAAGTATTAGCATCAAAATATAGTTAAAGTATGCAGATTGGCCCATTTTCAAATAATATATATATCATGTTTTGATTATAATGATTGATCATTAAAGTGTTATCAAAGCTGGTAAAGGTGCAGCTAGTTTGAATGACTTTGTATTCTGCAGGGTAGCTTGTGAATTTACTCCAGGTGGAACTAAAGTCTGATTTAAGTGTTTATTATATTTCACATCATTAATCCAATTCTGCAAAGTAACTAAAGGTATTAAATAAATGTAGTGGAGTAAAAGTACACGATGTATACCTTTTGAATTGTAGTGAGGTAGAAGTACAGAGTAGCACAAATTGGAAATACTTAAGTAAAGTACTACTGTTTTGAAATTGTACTTAAGTAACGTACTTGATTAAATGTACTTACACCACTGGCAAAAGTATGATATAATGTATGAATGTGTAATGTCTCCTGATTTCTGTCATGCTGTTAAAACTGGCTTAAAGTGGCACAAACTGGTACCCGCTGCAGTATCTTTGACTCAGATGCTTGAAATGAAACTCCTTTCCTTTCAGATACAAAGATCAAGAACAAGTACATCATCAACCTCACAAATACAATCGAAAACTGCTTCAAATGTGATAATCCAGAGAAAAAGCCTGAGATAGATCTTAAATGGAATAAAACAGTAAATGAAGACGGAGGAAAAGTTGGTGCTGTCCAAGCTGCGTAAGACACGCTGCATTAAATCGTTAAAGGAATTATTTGAAGGAAGCATGCTTTTTATTTTGCTTGCTTTCTATATGATAGTGAGATAAAAAGAAAACAACACTACTGTAAAGTTTCCAGAGATCATAATGTTGATATAATAGATAATGTTATGCTGATATGACCATGGTCACACATCTTGGTTTTTATTGTCAAAGGTTATGCCGCTATGCAAGGGTTAAATATGTCAAACATAATGTAATGTGTATATCCAGGTGTTGACCTTTATAAATGAGTGTGAAACTCTATATTCTGAATAAATTTGATTTTCTTCCATCTGACAACAGTGAAATCATGAACAACATGGCCAACTTCATCACCTCCTTCGAAGGGAATTCTGCTGCGGTGTCTGTGGCAGAAGGAATTTCAGGAGTCTTAGTGAAGATACCGGATCCCGTGGACATCGAAGGAATCAGTTTCGCTTATAATTCCCCAAATGAAAGCATGAATGTGGGTGCACCACTTTTATTTTACCTGCATGTGTTACAGTTTCTACTCCTTAAGAACTTCAGAAAGAATGTAGGCCATGTTTCGGGATGATGGTGATTATCCCGGCCACCTGCTTAATTGAGAGTGGTGAAAAAAGTTGTTTAGTTTATTAAGTTTTCTCATTTTAGTTTTTGATAAACCTTATCTCTTACTGGTTTTCTTTCCAAGACTGAAGTAGAAGGATCAAAACCAATCCAACATACTTGTTACCTAAATACTAATTCCATGCATAGTAATTGGATCCAGGACTCAACACAATTGTTCTGTTCTTCCCTGCAGATAGTAGAAAACAGTGATTATCTCGGCAAATTTTCCAGAAGTGTGTCAGTGTCCAAGGAGGCGTTTGAAAAGGCTGTGAGTTTGAACATAACAGTTCCATTTGCCGCTCTTTTCCGATTCAACAATCTGGCTTCGGTAAGTACCAATATCTCAACTTAGGCGCTTTCACACCGGAGTACTTTTCCCAGGGATAGTTCCGATAGTTCTTGGGATTTTGCGTTCACACCAAAAAGATCTGGAACTAGAACTTAGTTCATGCGAACCTTTTCCCCCCTTTTCAGTCCCTGCTAGAGAGCAGGTACTTTCCTGGGGAGAAAAAGGTTCCAATTTCTGATTGGCTGGCCGAATTGCAAAACCACGCCCCGTAAAACTCCCAAAAGTTTTGTGAAGCCGCCATTTTATTTGCTCGCATTAGCATTATTAGCATTAGCCGAGCGCACCAACGGAGAGACACTAACTTATGGCAACACAAAATAAAACGTGGGAGCGGTGGAGTGATGAGGAGGTGTCGGCGCTTCTGCCGATTTACCCAGGACTTCGGGTGGCGATTTACTGCCACCCGAAGTCCTGCGACTCCGGGACGCAGAAGAAGAAGAAGTGACGTCAGCGGCTTCATTTGAGTAATCCTCCCTTAAGGGACTTATTAAGGTGTGAACGCGATTTACTAGGACAGTTCCGGGACTAAAGAGTTCGGCGGGACTAAGTACTGGGAACTAAGTACGGCAAAGTACTTGGTGTGAAAGCGGCTTTACAGTAAATGCACCCCACACATTTGATCATGTTGCTTTATTTTTTATTTCAGGATGAGCTGAACAGCACTGTTTTAGGCAATGAAGTCCTAGCAGTTGAAATGGGAACCACCATCTCCAATCTCACAGACAAAATGTCCATCCATTTTCGGAACGTTACCTACGTGAGTACAAAAAAGTGCCTCGTTGAAGATATACTTGAGTTTGTCAACCATCCATTTAGTCATGATGTTTTTCTTACAGGAAGGATATCCCTCTTGTCAATCTTGGAATGGTGAAGGTATTGTCCTTTTACTTATCTGCAAGTTGATATAAGATATTGCTTGAAATAAATGCAATATAAAACCTGTGAGTGATGGTGCACGCTATCCTTTACTTGTAACCAAATGTGATCCGTGCAGTTTGATGTTTCTCTGTAATAAGTTGGCTCAAGTATTATTTTTTTATTGTATTAATGGCTTTGACCGACAGGTGCAAACGAGCTACAATGGCCCGAAACAATGGAGAAATGCGTTGCAAGTTAAAAAACTATGCAAATAAAAACCCACAAATGTGCCAAAAAACATGCAAACAGCCCATTTCTCCTAGTGGAAATGTTGTGTAATTTCGTTGGTTCAAAGGCTGCAGATAGTAACCGCTGCTTTGCCCCATAATTGAAGAGCAGATAGAACATCAAATTTCACAAAATAAAATAGTTGTCTATGTAAAGGGACTTTTTTTCATAAGACTTTCTCACATGTCGCAGTAGGAAAATCACATGTTAATTATACAAATAACGATGGCTCAATTCAAATTGGCTGCTCCAGTTTCAGAGTCATACGGCCATGGCCTACTGCTACACTGGGACACAATAATGCTCATTTTAATAGTTACATCTCTCTTATCTACTATAACAAGTCCCATGATGGCTGTGGAAAATAACTATAACCTTAACAGCAACATAAACAGCGAATAGGCATCATTACTCGGAAGCTGCACACATTATTCAGTAAACAATACACAAAACAATCTTTTTTATTCTTTGTCTGACACACATAAAAGAATAAAGACACTTCACATCACTTCTGGGTTTAATGTTTAAGCAGCTTCACCTCTTCACTGTTTACTCGTGTGTTTCTGTCTTTAAGGAAGCCGACCAAACTGGACCGATTACGGGTGTGAGACAATAAAAGATGGGAACAACATCACGTGCCAGTGTTCGCATTTGACATTTTTTGCTATTTTGTTGGTACGTCTTTGATTATATTTTCATACCATACTGATCTTGATCTTCATTGTGGACCAAACATATTTGGACATTCCTCTGTATGATCATCTAGACTGCACTCTGTATTCACGCCTTTTTTTTCCTTTAAAGAGTCCCTATTATGCTTTTTTTTTTTTTCTTTCCTGTGTAGTGTGTTATTTAGGTTTATGTGCATGTAAATGGTCTGCAAAGGCTAAAATCCCAAAGTGTCTTTGTTTACTTCTGTAACATAGTGACATCACTATGTAACACTCGTGCTTCTATTGGAAAGCGCTCCAACACATTGTAAGTGACAGGCTAAGGGGGCGGGACATCTCTAAGCGGTTGACCAATCACAACAGAGCTGGCCAGCTAACCAATTAGAGCAGACTGGGCTCTGGTTTCAGACATAGGGTGAAAAGAGGTGCTGCGTGCAGTATGAGAAAAATAAAGACCTTTTTGAACATTAAAGCAAGTAGACATGTCCCAGTAGACACTACATACAAATATGAACCTACATTTCACAGCTCCTTAATAAAAATAATACACCATTCTGACTACAAATGGCAGTCCCTGTGAGGAAAGTTTAATTTTTGCTCTTTTTGCAGGCTCCTCCGAATGTGACCATATCTAGTTCTGACCTGAAGAACCTCACCACGATCACCCAGGTCGGCTGTGGCTTTTCCTTGTTCTTCCTCTCCATAGTCCTCTTCATGCACTCTCTTCTGAGGTAATTATACATCTCATAAATCTCATCTTAAAGGTGGGGTAGGTAAGTTTGAGAAACCGGCTCGAGATACACTTTTTGTTATATTCCATGGAATGCTCTTAACATCCCGATAGCAATGAATATCTTAAGTGCTTTGACAAAAAATCCATAAAAAAATGTTCATCTGTAGAAGCCGTAGTACTGTAAAAAGTACGACTAATCATTTTAGCCGGCCCGGCTAAAATAACTGGATGGCCTACCTGCCTGTCAGCCTTCCATCTGTGCACAAACTTATCTCGTGCCCTCATTGGTCATGTGCGCGTTTGTGTGTGTTGGAGGAGGGGCTCTGTAAGGAAGTGGCAGATTTTCTCCGGTTGTGTATTTTCAAATTCTAGCGATCTCGAGCCGGTTTCTCAAATGTACCTACCCCACCTTTAAGCCTGCATGCGTATGTATAGTATTCCTTAGTAAAATTACTCAATCATTTATTCTTTGAGTAATATTTTGTTCGACTAAAAGGAGTCTTGCATTATAAAAAGAATGTACTTAGTCCAAGTGTACCACCATGTGTGCCTTTTTTAGGCTGCAGAATGAAAACCCTCTTAATATGTGGAGATATATGAGTATTCAGGTTATTTGTATGCAAGTTTTCAATTTTTTTTAAGCATTCATACTGAGATTTTTCCTGTCAAAATCTTGTTTTCAATCCCAATTAGTAGAAAAAAAGATATAGAAATCAATCGACAGTTACAACCAAGTTAAACATTTGTGCCGTCTTCATTTGTTATTTTCTATTGCTAGGAGACAGGACAGGAAACACTGCGCTAGGTTTAGAGAACACATTCGCTGTTGGGAAATGAGACTGTTGAGACTGTGGCTTCATTCATCTGGGATGTCTTTCCAATGAATGCTTATGAAAATAAAAATAATATGGTTATGTGAGGGCAAATAATCAGTTTATGGGGGGGTAATAAATAATTAAGAGATGCCGTCACAGTTACCCAAACTCAGCATAATCTAGATTTGTAATAGTAATTACAGCCATCAGAGAAAAGTAGTGGCTGAAGAAGTCCAATATTTATTTATGAAATGCAGTGGGGTGCAATTGAAAGTGTCATAAATTGTGAATATCAAGATACCTTAAATGTATTTATTCTGAACAATAGTTAGATAGTTAGAGTGAGTGAGTGAGTGAGTGAGTGAGTGAGTGAGTGAGTGAGTGAGTGAGTGAGTGAGTGAGAGAGAGAGAAAATAACATTTGTTTAATTGCAGCGACACGAAAATTGCATTATGTTACATTGCAATGTTGGTTTGAATGCAATTAATTAGTCATTTGGAGAGGAGAGGAGAGGAGAGGAGAGGAGAGGAGAGGAGAGGAGAGGTGAGGTGAGGAGAGGAGAGATAGAGATAGAGATAGATAGATAGATAGATAGATTAGTACTTTATTGATCCCAATTTGGGAAATGTTTGCGTTGCAGCAGCATGAAAAACAAGGCAATGTACATAAGAGAAATTAAGACACTAGAAATAGTGAAATAGTAATAAAATAGCATAAAAAAGTTATCAATATTAAATTGAACATAAATGTAAAATGTACAGTGGGAGTTTGAGTCCAGTTATCGATAGAAGCTATGGAGCAGAGAGTAGTCTGAAAACCAAAGCACTTTACAATAAACTGAGGAAATGATAATCAAAGCTAGTTGAAGCTGTTACCGGTAAATATTTAGTTTCTGCCACTTATTTCCTAATTCTTTGTTAAAAACATATATGCTTGTCACCCTTTACAGGAGGACCAATGCCAGCATATCCACGAGGATTCTCATCTACCTGGTTGTAGCCTTGTACCTGCTGAATCTCTCGTTCCTCATCAACAACTTTGTGGCCAAAGTGGGGAACGCGGTGGGATGTAAGATCATGGCGGCTGTCATGCACTACTCCATGTTGGCCACGTTCACTTGGTTTGCTGTGCAGGCGTTCCACCTCTGCCTGCAGCTGCACGTCGGAGGCAAGGTTGTAATCCCTCACTACATACTCAAGGTCTCCATCATCAGCTGGGGTGAGTTCAACATCTTACTGTTTAACCTGAAAATGCACCATAATATGTGACAATAAATCACTCTATTTCCCCCATTCACTATATCTCGTATGAAAAGGCAATATTCAACATAGGCTCTATTTACATTACATTACATTTGACTTGTTAGACACTTTTATCCAAAGCGACTTACATACATTCAGTACTGTGGGCAATCCCCACAGGAGCAATTTGGGGTGAAGTGTCTTGCCCAGGGACACAACGACATGCTGACTGCAGTGGGACTCGAACGTGCTACCCCCTGATTCCAAGTTCAGCACACTATTATGGGCTCAGAACAGTCTCATAATACACACATGCACACAGAAGGATTCACACTTGTATTTCCGGATCCACACTTGTGTTTTTCAATGCACACACAAATGTGTTCCATTTCATATACATGTAAATAAAACCCAAATACAGAAAAAAGTTTTACTAATAATAGAACATGTTGCTTACTTCCCATTGGAATTAATAAAGCATTTCGATTGTTTACATTTCTTGATATTATCTAAACACAATTGCATTGCTAGGCAACAGCATGGTTCCATTCTTACTTCCTGTCAGCTGATGTCATTCACTCCTTATTTGGAATGGAACCTTCAGAATTATGACATCATCTTTTGCCTTGATGTAGAATTCTGAATTCTGCATTGATCTTAGGAGATTGGATGTGACGGTGAATTAATCAGAGCATCAGAGCACCAGAGCACCAGAGCAGCAGGGAGAAGGAATTTGTCCAGCTAGAGTCAGATCATTGCAGAAATAGGTTTTGTTGCAAGCAAACATTAGGGATACTTGCAGTGTTTTTTAGCGAGATAATCTTCACAAGTGAACTCAACTTTTGTGGGATTTTTGTGACGTTAATTCAGTCGAACAATTACATTTAGTTTGCTAAACAACAGGTCATTTCGTCACAGCAGTAGAGATGGAGATGAACAATAGAGATGAGCTGGCAGTCAAGCTCGAGATTCTGCAAAAAGAAAATCAGGAAATGAAGTTATTGCTGGAGCAGGAGAGGACTTTAAGCGATAAGCTTGAGATTGAAGGCGCTAAAAAGAAGGAAGCGATGCTCAAAGCATATACAGAGAAATCAGCTTTGCTGTTTAAGCACAATGTGAAAGTGAAAGCCCAGGAAATTGAGCAGAACGTCTTGCGCGTCAACAATGAGGACCTGAACATGAAATACAGAAACCTCCAGAGGTCACACAAGAAGGTTGAAGCCGAGATGGCTGCCTTGAGAAAGGCAAACCAGGAACTCAAACAACTGAAAGAACCCTGTGTTGAGGAGCAAGGTGTAGAGATGGCTGCCTTGCAAAAGACTAACCAAGAACTCAAACAACAAAAGGAGCGTTGTCTTGAGGAGAAATCTGTAGAGATAGCTGCTCTGCGTGAGAGAAACCAGGAACTCCAACAACAAAAGGATCATTGTGTTGACAAAGCTGTAAAGATAGCTGATTTGCGTGAGAGAAACCAGGAACTCACACAACTGAAGGAGCGTTGTGTTAAGGAGGAGACAAAGATGGCCGCCTTGCAAACAACAAACCAGGAACTCAAACAACAAAAGTTGCGTTGCGTTGAGGAGAAAGATGCAGAGATAGCTGCTTTGCTGAAGGAAAACCAAACACTGAAGCAAGAGAAGGAGCGTTGTGTTGAGGAGAAGGTGGACAAGAAGGAGGATGTGGAGGTGAAAGTGGAACCAGAAGTGAGGCATGATGTTAAAATGAATGCCCTGAAAATTGAGCAGAAAATCTTGCGCGGAAACAATGAGGAACTGAACATGAAATATGGAAAGCTCCTCAAGATGCACGAGAAGGACAAAGCAGTGATGGCCACCTTGAGAAAGGCAAACCAGGATCTCAAACAACTGAAAGAACCCTGTGTTGAGGAGAAGGATGCAGAGATGTCTGCCTTGCAAAAGACAAACCAGGAACTCAAACAAGAGAAGTTGCGTTGTCTTGAGGTGAAACATTTTGAGATAGACGTTTTGCATGAGAGAAACCACGAACTGGAACAACAGAAGGAACGTTGTGTGGAGGAGAAGGATGCAGAGATAGTCGCTTTGCATGAGAGAAACCACGAACTGGAACAACAGAAGGAACATTGTGTGGAGGAGAAGGATGCAGAGATAGTCGCTTTGCATGAGAGAAACCACAAACTGGAACAACAGAAGGAACGTTGTGTTGAGGAGAAGGATGCAGAGATAGTCGCTTTGCATGAGAGAAACCACAAACTGGAACAACAGAAGGAACGTTGTGTGGAGGAGAAGGATGCAGAGATAGTCGCTTTGCATGAGACAAACCAGGAACTGGAACAACAGAAGGAACGTTGTGTTGAGGAAAAGTATGCAGAGATAGCCGCCTTGCTGAAGAAACAGCTGAAAAAACAGCTTGTGGAGGTAAAGGTGGAGTTGGAGGTGGAACAGGAAGTGAGGGTGGATCCACCTGAGCAAACCAATGAGCCGATCCCAACAACGCAGAGGAGGACAACACCACGGTGGAGAAGATTCATCAATTCCTTTTCTTGTATCCGCCCAAACATCAACGATGACTAAAAAGGAAAACATAAGACTCAAAGGCAGCCCTGACATCGGCTTTAAAAACTTTAAAAAACAAACTCACAACATCAAAAATTAGTAAGACATTAAAACATTTCAAGTACAGTCTAAAGCTCAAAGTGAGTGAGCAACAACATATACTCACAGCCAGTCAGGATATATATTTAAACACTTAACAGTTATTAGATCTGGTTAGACATCAACAAAGGTTCCAGAAGAGACTCACAGTGATGTGCAGTTTTAGCCACTAGGGGCAAAAAAACAACCTTAATTTTAAAATAAATAAACTATTCCTTTGCTTCTAGCACCCCTAAATAAGAGGAACATTTAGTCATTACAAGTTATCAGGTTTATGTTATATCGTCATGTTTGGTTTATAGTGTTCATTTTCATATTTAAGTTATATTTTTCATATTTACTTAATAGTTCATTTTTATATTTATGTTATATTTATCATGTTTAGTTAATAGTCAATTTTTATATGTATCTTATATTTTTCATATTTACTTAATAGTACATTTCTATATTTATGTTTAGTCCATTGTTTTCTTGTTAAGTTAAAGTCTTGTCAATCAATAAAAAAATAATAATGATAATGATAACAATACTGACACGTTTGATTTATTTCACGTTTGTTTCTCCTGTCTAACTTTAGCTTCTTGCTTTTCATTTCAAGTCACCAGAGATTTAGTCTGAGAATTCAACTAATAATAACAATAAATACAAAGACATTCAAATTCAAAATAACACTAGAATTCTTTCTCGTTTGTTCCTCCTGTTTTTGTCAAGTTACCTTTGTATTGAGTGACTTTAGCTCACCTGGCTCTGCCCTGATCAATACACTGACTTAAAGCTACTTCAGTACTTACTTTATTACCTTGTTTACATTCAACAATTATCATAATAAATATAAACAAATGAAAAAACAACACTATGTATTTGATTTCTTTCAAGTTTGTTTTAGTCAACTATTTGATTTTAAATGCAACAGCACCAGCAAAAGTAGATTTTTTTTTACATTTCTGCTGATGTCCAGGTGTACAGTATATCAGTATGTAGTGTCTCTACTTTAAAGAGTCCTCTCCTGCTGATGTTCAGGTGTATATCAGTATGTAGTGTCTCTACTTTAAAGAGTCCTCTCCTGCTGATGTTCAGGTGTATATCAGTATGTAGTGTCTCTACTTTAAAGAGTCCTCTCCTGCTGATGTTCAGGTGTATATCAGTATGTAGTGTCTCTACTTTAAAGAGTCCTCTCCTGCTGATGTTCAGGTGTATATCAGTATGTAGTGTCTCTACTTTAAAGAGTCCTCTCCTGCTGATGTTCAGGTGTACTGTATATCAGTATGTAGTGTCTCTACTTTAAAGAGTCCTCTCCTGCTGATGTTCAGGTGTATATCGGTATGTAGTGTCTCTACTTTAAAGAGTCCTACAATTAGATGGAAAACAGCTGCAAAGAGACAGAAAATTACAACAAAGAGACAATTAATCACCATAAAAAAATATTTTAGTAGAGAAATGTTTTCATTGAAGTTAATGTGTTGAAGGGAATCCTGTAAAAAAAAGTTTTATTCAAAATGGCACTTTATCAAAATGCAATTGAGTGCAACTTCAACGTAACTGTATTTTTGGTTCCTATTAGATAAGATGTACTTTATTGATCCCAAATTGGGAAATGTTTGCGTTGCAGCAGCATAAAAAACAAGGCATTGCACATCATTAGAAATTAAAAGAGTAGAAATAAACATTTCAAAAATTTGAAACATATCAAAATAGAAATTAAAAAGTAGAAAATATGCATTTGACGTGAAGATGAAACATATAGTACAGTACAGCGGATAAGCACAACAATTGTGCATTTTATGAGAAAAGCATGACATTTCTAACATAGTTAGTGCATACCATAAGGTTTATTTTCAGATGTGGAGGGAAGTCAGATTTGACCTGTGAGGACCGTGAGAGGTCAAATCCAAGATGGCCGCCAGTCTCTCTGGTCAAATGTTCAAACACGCTTAATTTTGGAACCAAACATTGTAGAAAAACATTTAAGGTGTCATATCCAACTAAATTAGGGATGCCCAATCATTTGATGATACTTTTGAGATCGCCAGAATTCAAGAAAATGCATTTAGGTGAAGATAAAGGTAGAAATTGACCAAAAATAAGCTGTCAATCAGTTGAAATTTGGTGTGTGTGTGTGTGTGTGTGTGGTCACCCAGCGCTAGCATTAATACAGAGACTGGAGGAATATGGCTTTACTTGGCACAGTCTGCATGCTGAAGCAAACATTTGTTTTTGTCTTCAAATACATACTTACATGATTGTGACGAGCATCATATTTGCTCCCCGCCCAACTCTCTAAGTGCTTGAACTCCGTGACAGGAGGATGAAGTATGTATAAATGGATGGAACTATCAACAAAACAACAGCGTTTTATTCCCCAATGTCATATTTAATAGAAAAATAATGATGCACCACTTATTGGAGAAAGAAGAATGGGGAACAGAAAGGTTTAGAGAGGGACAACATGCTGAAACCTATGGAATGCCATTTAAGCCAAAATTAAATAAATAAATAAATACATAAATAATTAAATAAATACATATATAAATATGCCTATGAAATAAATTCTGAAATAAATAAATGAGGCAATAAATATGTATACATGTACATTTAAATACACATTTATTTATTTCATGGGACTTTTATTTCATAATGACACATTTATTTATTTCAAGAGACTTGTATTTCATAATGACACATTTATTTATTTCAGGGGACTTGTATTTCATAATGACACATTTCCATTTCTTATATGCAAATGAACGGGGCGTGGTTAGCTCACAGATCCAGACCAAAGCAACAGCACCGCAACACTGACTCAATAGCTCTTGTTTCACACTCAGCCTGATTTAGCTCTGGTTCTTCCTGTTTCAGCCACAGCGGAGCCGGCTCTAAACACCGAACACCGGTTCTTAGCTGACCCCACTTGGCTGCCCGGCAAGAACCAAGAACCACGCTCACGTCGGAAGGGGGCGAGATTAACCTGAGCCATAATAACAGTTTATGGCGAGTACGGAAAATGAAAGTTGTAACAAGCAGTAGCGCTGAGCAAAGTGACTAGAACGCAACCAAAAAAACACACTTTACAAAGTCAGGCAACACTAACCAGGCTTCGTGTGATTCTGTTTATTTGTATTACTTTGACCATCCGTTCACTGTCATTGATCATTGTGGAGAGCAGGCAGACGTTTTGTTTTGTATTATTATAGCAGCTATCAGATGGAATCAATACATGGGCTGCACAGGTTGTCATGTCCGACTATCACAAATATGTGAGGATCAAAAATACATATTATGTATTTTTGATCCTCACATATTTGTTTTCCGTTTAAAACCGCTGCACCTGCAAACACAAACCGCTTTCTGTGCATGGATCGCTGTGCATTCGTGTGTGGGTTTTTTGAGACTCCCCTGACGGTGACCCGATTCGTACTTGTAATTGTTTCTATCTATAGCCAATCAGATGTCTCCTCAATTCTAAGCCAATCACATGAGCGCGCCCACGAGGGTAGATTTCTTGCGTTCATGACGTAGCGCTTCATGTACGCATTTTGCGCTGTCCGGAGCTGACAGGTGACAGGTCCATGGAGCCTGTCTGCAGGCGCTAATCTCAGGACACCTCCACTCTCAGTACATTGCCACTTTCCGAGCAGGAAATGCACGCAAATACAAGCCTTTATATGATTAAGGTACAGTGCCACTTTCCGAACCATTAATGAATGCTTGTGTAGTGTGTACACAAAAACGGCAGGCAAAACTGTTTTAAATGTGTGTTTCCTGTGTGGCGAATACAGCTGCTTTATTTATGTCTGTATGAAGTTGTTGTGAGTGTGGAGGGAGCAGCTACAGGTTAGCTTAGCCTAATCGATCAGTGCACTACGAAGCCAGTGCTAGACAGTGAACTGTCAACGGGGGGAGCCCCGCCGGTCATTATCGGCCGATATTCACTCTTAATAGTTTGATCGGTGCTCTCTATAAAGGCCGATCAGGAGAGCTGGATCTGATCGATATGGACATAAACGCGAGTGAAGTTTTAGCGAGCTGCATGAGAAACTGACGGGCTGTCAGGAGAGAGGGAGGGAGAGAGGAAAAGAGATGATCCTTACTCCCGTGTTATTATCCGGTCATAGTCCGGTAATTACCTAACGGAAACGCTGCTACACAATTCTTATTATTATTATTATTGAAACATGACCGGTAAGTTTCAAATTTGTCCGGTAAAATTAAATTCTGTCCGCGGAAACCCTGCTCCGGACTACGCAAAATGCGTATATGAAGTGACATGAACGCAATAAATCTACCCTCGTGGGGGCGCGCTCAAGTAATTGGCTTAGAATTGAGGAGACATCTGATTGGCTATAGATAGAAAAAATTACAAGTACGAATCGGGTCACCGTCAGGGGAGTCTCAAAAAACCCACACACGAATGCACAGCGATCCATGCACAGAAAGCGGTTTGTGTTTGCAGGTTCAGGGGATTTAAACGGAAAACAAATATGTGAGGATCAAAAATACATATGTAAAACTTTTTTCTGTATTTGGGTTTTATTTACATGTATATGAAACGGAACACATTTGTGTGTGCATTGAAAAACACAAGTGTGGATCCGGAAATACAAGTGTGAATCCTTCTGTGTGCATGTGTATATTATGAGACTGTTCTGAGCCCATACACTATCCACTGAGCCACAGCCTCCCTACACAAATATACTTTGAGATGTGCTTGTCTTCGACCAGTTAGAATCTACTATTGCGTTTATTTCTCCTCACCATGATGGGTCACTTTCTTTCTCCATTTCCAGCACTACCAGGTGTAGTTGTGACTGTCCTGCTCATCTTAGGAAAATATGGTGAACAAGTGATCTACACTGATAACCCTCAAGACAACGTGGCCATGTGAGTGTGTGGATTCACATTTAATGTCCAGCATCTTATAATAGAGGATCAGTTGTTCATGCAGGACTAAATGTCATTGCATTTTTTGTATAAGGGCACCTGTAATGTGCAAAAAATGCTACCTAAGGAACTGAATGCATTTTTTTAAAACATCATTTTATAGAGTTTTATTTGTTAACAACTTCCTATGTTCTTGCTATGCAGTGTTCTTAATTGTATGTTGTATATGTTTCCCTCCTTTGTTAGTATGTAAAGCACTTTGTAAACATAGTTATTCATATATATTAATGTATATTATTATTATATTAAACGGCAGCCACGTTTCCCTTCTTTTACTGACATATCGTTATTTTCCAAGGTGCTGGATAACGGACATTGACGTGCACTACATCGTCAACATAGGCTACTATGCGTTGGTCTTCATCTTCACCTTCACCGCCTTCATCGTCATGATGGTCTGGCTCTTTGGTCTCAAGAGAAACGGACAAGTCCCCACAAATCGCCATAGTATTGGGGTCATCCTGGGACTGTGTTGCATGCTGGGTATCGGTTGGGGTTTTGCCTTCTTTGCATACGGTGTGCTCCAGATCCCCGCCTACTACATTTTCACCATCCTCAATTCTTTCCAAGGTAATAACTAAGAAATTGAAATTCACTCTTGGCTTCCTTTACAGACTTAAATGTTGTTTTTCAGCTTCTTCCCGTAAAAGGTTGGTCTCTGGCTTATTCCTGCCCCAGCTGGACTACGGTGATACCATTTATAGATTTGCCTGTCCCACTGTTTTGGCCAAACTTGACCCACTCTACCATGCTGCACTGCGTTACATATCAAATGCACCCTATAGGACTCATCATTGCAAACTGTATAGCCTAACTGGATGGTCCTCACTTACCATGCGTAGGATGCAGCATTGGTTTTTATTAAAGGGGACCTATCATGCAAAATGCACTTTTGTACGTCTTTTATACATGAATATGTGTCCCCGGTGTTCCAGGGAACTCACCAAGTGTCAGAAAACACAACCCTCTCTATTTTCCTCCATACCCAAATCTCTAAAAAAGGGGCTGCAACGGATCTGATAAAAACTGATCCAGATTTGAACACTGTCCTGACGTCAGGACAGTGGCGCTACGGCTATTCGGCCAACTCCACCAATCAGGAGGAGACAGCCACGGCCATTGCCGTTCGAAAGCGCTGGAGACGCTGTAGTACATATGCCAGGCCAGTAGATGGTGCTGTTCTCACATAATCAGCCCTTACAAACACAGAGCTAAAAATTGTCAAATTGAGCAAAATGAGGCATGGCTAAAATGCATGATCTGTTTGGTATTTTGCACAAAAAAAAGTATAAATATGCCTTATATAGGTATGGTCCTACACTATATTATTCAAATATAGCATGATAGGTCCACTTTAACGTATAAAGCCATTTTAGGTAAGCTTCCACTCTACATATGTGCCAGATTTGCTCCAGTTTGTGACTCTTACAACCTCAGATCCAGTGCCTGGATACGGTTCCAGGTTCCTGCTGAAAAATGAGCCTTTTTCATTATGGTCCTTGGTCTTGGAATGACCTTCAATCACGCCTTAAACTGACGGCACTTGTCCCTATAGCATGTTTTCAATTGAAGTTGTCTGAGGTCCTTACCACCAGCTGCTCTTGCAGTAATCAAGTAGTACCTTTCTTACTGTCCCAAATGTGCACAATGTAGTGACTGCTTTTCGTTTTTTTTTTGTTTACTTAGTTGTGTTCTCTGTATTTTACATGTCTGTGTTATGTGTAAAAATGTGTAACGTTGCTGCCTTCTTGGCCAGGTCAGCATTGTAAATGAGATTGTATCTCAATGCTTTTTATCTGGTTAAATAAAGGTTAAATTAAAAAATTAAAAAAACGAATTTTAGGATAATTTATTTATTTATTGCTGTTGTATTTAAAAAAACAACTTGAGTCCTAATTTAAACATTCGTTTTTAGATTTAAATTAACAGTATTATGCTGGTTTAGATAAAATAAGAGATAAGATAGGACTTTATTCATCCCGAAGGAAATTGTTGTGCCAGAGTTACACAAATACAATAAACACAGCAGCACAATAATAATAAAACTGTACACTAACAGTGCAGTGAAAGGAGCAATTCAATATCTACAGAAACATAGATGGTCACATAATTAATGTAAATATTAACAGTATTTAGTATAGTGCAAAAACCGAGGTGGTAGTTACGTAATTGCACGTTATTTATCGAACATTATTAATAATAATAATATTGCACATGTTATATAGCAAAGTGTTTTGTAATGATGGTTATGGTGGTTTAAATAATATGTAATATTTGACAAGCAATCAAGCAAGCAAATGTTATTTGTTCATCCAGGAGGAAGTACAATGTGCTGAACAATGCATGAGCAACCACACACATTGCTGCCACAAACACAATATACAGTAGTGTTATAGTTCACATTTAGATAAAGCACATTATGAACACAATTAAAACAGACAGATTAATAAGTGTAAAGTAGCAATGCAATACAAATACATTTCATATGTTGAACTTGTCTTTTTTGTTTGTTTGTCACCTGGCAGGTTTCTTCCTGTTCATCTACTACTACAGGAGCAGCCACTCTGGAGAGACAGCCAGTGGCTCTCAGGGTTCAAACTCCAGCAGCAGCACGCTCAAAAGCAACCTGGACATCTTTGAAAACCCCTACAGCAATAGATTAGAGACAAAATAATAAAACCCTGAAAGACGAACAGGGACTTGAGAGGGATGAAGATTGTAAGCTGAAAGAGGCCCTATTGTACTTGTATGAGTTTTCCCTTTCCTGTAGTGTGGTATAGGTTTGTGTGCATATACAGTACACAGTGAAAAGAGCAGCTGCAGCATGTGAACATGTCACAGTAGACACATATACACCTGACAATTAGCATATGTCCACATAATAAGGGACTACAAGCTGCACAATGTACGGATTTATGATACTGCAATAGGCATTTTCCATGACATATTAGTCATTAGTGTTTTAAAAAATATATATACACAATACTATTTTGTATGTATTTATCGAAGGACTATAACAACTAGGTTAATGTGATTTAAATGCAAAAATCAATTAGTTATCAAGTTTTTTTTAACTACATTTTCAGGACCCGATGATCATCAACTTACATGGAAAATATCTGAAGTTGTAGATAATTATTACAATCTTTAGTTGTGGGTATACTGGAAAAGAAAATCCTCTCATATATGGTATAGGTAATTGTACATTTTACTTGAACATCTAAATATGTTATATTCTGAAATGGAGCAACTGTTACAAAATCCAATTTCTCTGTTAATCATTCAATATTAAATGGGTGTTATGTTAAATGTCTTCTCTGCATCATGAATAACATCTTGTGTGAGACTTGTACACAATGCATGTCCAAAGTCAGTACATCAAGTTGGGAAATTCAATGTCCAGTTTAATAAGTATCCACTAGGCCAGCCCTCATTTAAAAAAACGACAAATGAACGTTTTGCTTTCATATCCGTCACTATTCACACCACACACATCACAAATGAGCCATTTCTCAATCCGTCTGGGTCCATTGTGGTATTCGGCATACACCACATTTACTTCAATACTTATTTAAAGGAAGTTTTAATCTTATATTTGTCTTTCAAAGAAGTTGGTTCGACAGCGTCTGCAGGTAAAACACAGTATTGACTACTCCAACCGATTTTACAAGCTTGTTAAGTGTAAAGTTCACTAGTAAGTCAGTAAACCTTAATTATTTACTAAATGCCTTGCAGTAAATGCATGTGTTGAACTGGTGTGGAATTAAAATGTCAACATTAACTTTTAAGAGTTAACATGGGAGGCTGTAGTTGACAGAGGGAGTTGATAAAGTAATATAGGCTGAGTTTGGTTAAGACCTAACAATAGGAACATGAACTTTCAATTAATACACTCTTGGTGGTAAGTGGTGTCATTGAGAAATATTACCTTGTTCTCTAATTATACACAAGCGGTTAAAACACTAATACAGGAACACATGGTTGAATAAAGATAAGCGCAAATCTCGCATGGCATTACATTCTCTCAATTAATAAATGTATGTTCTGTAATTTTGCTGTTTACTCACTGAATATCAATGTCATGTAGTCATGCTTACTGCAGCAGGGTTGTCACTGTCACTACCCGATCCGTCCACCTGCCCGATCGGTACTGCGCATGTGCGAGATGGTCCGCCATATTGCACAACTCCGTACGGCAACCCAACTAGGACACTTGACACAGTGGCTTTTGGCAAAGCACACAAAGAAAACTAAAAAAACCGAGAGAGATGAGTTATTGTTATTACAACGTGACTTCACTATTATTTAACAACTATTTTTATTGGGTTCTTTTATTTGGGGTTAAGTACATTGTCAGAATAAGTGAGAAATGGATTTAACTTCTGTTAGACAGCTATCATACTGAATAAATATTTATGCAAAAATGTATGGCATTAATAATGTATATCTAATTACATTAACTGTGAATGTCTTTCATGTTATTTAAAATGAAATAAAATTACAAAAAGTTGATTCAATAACAAATCTCTGTTATTAGATCAGTACTTTTCTTATATGACTATTATTGGTAAATTTGAAAGGTCTTTACCAGCTTTGGAATTATATATATATATATAGCACCTTCTGCCATCCCATCTCTACTGACAATCATTAACACTTAGATTTTATGATATCGTAAGCATCGTCAGTGATTGACTTGAACACTGAGAATGTATTTATTAACTTCAGACATTTTCATATACAAATGTGATCATACACCAACACACTTTTTAGATATATACATTTTTCACACACAACGCACAACCATTTACTAAATTAAACCATATCCCATCATAATACGAGCAAATAAAAAGGCACAACAATAAATATATATTATGTGTGTGTGTGTGTGTGTGAGTGTCCTAGTTGGGTTGCCGTACGGAGTTGTGCAATATGGCGGACCATCTCGCACATGCACAGTACCGATCGGGCAGGTGGACGGATCGGGTAGTGACAACCATAGATATATATATAAACATTTATATTGTTTATATATATCTATGGTGACAACAGTGGTGACTGTTGTGTATACTTCCGCCATCTTTTCCTTCTTCTTCTTCTTCTCTCAGGTTCATGGCGGTTACCAAGCAACGATCTGGTGCATTACCGCCACTTACTGGACTGAGGTGTAGCGCAGAAGATTTAAATACATGAACAGGTTTAGGAAGTAACAGAGATGGAAAGTAACTAAGTACAAAGTACTGTACTTGAGTACAATTTTGAGATACTTGTACTTTACTTGAGTATTTAATTGTAGGCCTATGCTACTTTGTATTTCTACTCCACTACAATTCAGGGGCAAATGGTGTACTTTTACTCCACTACATGTATTTTGTACCTTTGGTTACTTTACAGATGTGGATTAATGATGTGAAATACAAACACTTAAATCAGACTTTAGTTACACCTGGAGTAAATTCACAATCTACCCTGCAGTATACAAAGTCATTAAAACTAGCTGCACCTTTACCAGCTTTGATAACACTTTAATGATCAATAATTATAATCAAAACATATCATATATATTATTATTACTTTAAATATACTTTGATGCTAATACTTTTGTACTTTTACCTGAGTAACATTTTGAATGCAGGACTTGTACTTCTACTTTTAATGAAGTACCACATCTAAGTACTTCTCCCACCTCTTAACGTATTACATGCAGTAGTAAGGAAACTTAGCTCATTTACTCAAGTACTGTGCATAAGTAGAAAATGTAGGTACTTGTACTTGTACTTTATTTTAGATATCTAGATACGTGTTACTCTGCAGCTTTAAAATATAAATGAATCTATTAAATACATTGATAAAAAAGACAAACATAAGTACTAAGGGCTCCAACAATTTCGACGTGGCTATGTACTTGGTGTTAAGATTTTAGCAAGTAAGGGATACCACAGCTTTTCATACACCCTTTTCCTTCCTTTGGCTATATACAGGATATATTTTAACACTCCAAGCCCAGTAAATTAATAAAACACACAACTTGAATATTTACAATTTAGCTGATTTGAAAAAACATTACAAAAATGATACAATCTTTTTCTATCGAATGTTTTTGTGTAAGGTTTTTTAATATTTAATTTATTTTAAAGCAGATACTAGTGTTTGTCACACACACTACTGTACATCAACACCACTATTCATTCCTTGAATTAATTTACATAGTGCCTAAATGTTTATCTAAACATCAGGATATTTTGCTTATTTCTGCACACAGGAATTTTTAGGTACTGTGAATTTGCAAAACAAAATGATTGTGCCTGCAGCAGGTAGTTATGCAAAGTCAGTCATACAACATATTAGTGTGGCCATCCGGTACAGTTGCTTTTGGTAAATGATGCTGCTTTGACCGGACTCAACCAGAGAGAGGTAGGAGTTAAAGTAGATGTGTCTTGTTGGAGAAACAGTGCTTTAATTTGGAACAATACTTGTTATAAGTCCTGTGCAGCAGTGAATGGATCCCGCACCCTGATCGAGACTTAGTGCCATTGAAAGATCATGAGCTGGAAGATTTGCGTTTTATTTGCGGGCCTGCTGTGGATTCATCCTGTTTGTAAGTTGACATGATTTCCTAACACTAAAGTCCAGCAAATATCACATTGAAATATTCTCTAGACATATTTAATCATGAAAATAGAGGACATAATCCTCTAATCTGTTATAATTATTATAATGTGTAAAACAAATTGTGTAATAATAGGGCAATTTTTAACTTGTTATCTGATTTTATTTAGCCAGTGACTGCGATAACCAAAAGAAAGAGGAATTGAAAAAAATTGAAAAATGCTTAGCAAAGGGGACAAAGAAGCATTTTATTATTCAAGACAGCTTCAATTTCTTCACCGATGCACGAACCGTTTGGAAGGATGGTGAGTCTAAACTATAATAAACATTTTAATAACAGTAGATGTTGGTGGTTGTTAAAACATCCTAATAAAGTCTGGAAGGAAGGGTGCACATTTACAGCTTTATTTGTATCTAAAAGCTATATTTATAGACTGGTAAAATAATGGGGAACAGCAGCATATGTTTTAGTATCAATGATGAGTGAAGATAATGTAATGTTTATTTGTAATGTACTTAAAGGGGACCTATCATGCAAAATGCACTTTTGTACGTCTTTTATACATGAATATGTGTCCCCGGTGTTCCAGGGAACTCACCAAGTGTCAGAAAACACAACCCTCTCTATTTTCCTCCATACCCAAATCTCTAAAAAAGGGGCTGCAACGGATCTGATAAAAACTGATCCAGATTTGAACACTGTCCTGACGTCAGGAAAGTGGCACTACGGCTATTGGGCCAACTCTCCACCTATCAGGGGAATGTGGGGTTGGGCCACGGCCGGCCATTGCCGCTCGAAAGCGCTGGAGACGCTGTAGTACATATGCCAGGCCTGTAAGTGGCGCTGTAGTCTGCCACAAAAGCAGCGAAGAAGACTTCCCGCGCATGGTTACCATGGTTACCCTTCTGTTTATTCTCCGCTGTGGCTTTTTTTCTCCCTCCCCGAGGCAAGCGTTTGCTCCCGCTGCTTTAATTCAATGCAATCCCTCCCCGTCGAGGCAAGCACTGTAATTCTCTCCGGTTAGTCCACCAGCAGATGACAAACACCCACCTCTCCGCCTCTTCCAAGGAACGAGGGGACCGTGCGGCAGAGTTTCAGTTTCAGTTTCTTTCGCCGGTCAAGATGTCCGTTAAAGTTTAAATCTTCCGGACAAAATTAGAAAAGTGCCAGTCAAAGGTCTTCTTTGTTATTTATTGAGCTTTAAAACAAATGAATAACGACTCTATAGGCCTATAATAATATAATAAAACACGGAGGACGGAGATCTATTTTTCTCCCCCTCTTCTGACTTCATCAGAGCACGCCTCCCCTCTCCTCTCCACGTGGTCAGCTGCAGCTCACAGAATCAGCCCCCTGCAAAAACAGTGCTGGAGAACAGCAAATGGAGCGAAATGAGGCATGGCTAAAATGCATGATCTGTTTGGTATTTTGAAAACAGAAACGTATAAATATACCTTATATAGGTATGGCCCTACAATATATCATTTAAATATAGCATGATAGGTCCACTTTAAATATTGTGTATTTTGTTGTTTTGTTATAGTTTTAATATACATTTAAAAATATTTGTCATTATGTAAGCTGCCTTTGAATATCTACACTTCTGTAAAAGGTTAGGAGTAAACTATGAAGGTAGATATGGTGCAAAATGCGAGAGCGTGTAAAACCTGATGTGAGCACTTGCAGAAAAATTAATCTGAGCTTGTGTGCATACATTTACACTTGCATTCATCACATTTCTGAATGTGAATGCGATGAATGTGTCGCTAAAGTTTAGCGACACATTCATCGCAAGAAGTGTAGCAAAAGTCAAGGCCGCAGATTTGTCGATTTATACTGCCACAGAGCAGATTCGTGAAGTTATAATGACTGATTTGAGAGGTTGTAATAACCAAGTTACAGTTGTAATGGAAAAGATATTTTAAAGATATATAATTCATTTTCTTTCTACAAGCTACAAAAACTTTATTTTTTCTTCTGTGACTTCAAATGTGGTTCATTTTTTGTGGATATTTTATACAAGTGTAAATGTATGCACACAAGCTCAGATTTTTTTTCTGCAAGTGCTCACATCAGGTTTTACACGCTCTTGCATGTTGCACCATATCTACCTTCATAGCCTCACTCTTTGAAAACCACTGATATAAAGGATCCAATAGAAAGCAAATAGTCACACGAAAAGTTAAATAAAATATGGCAACTGCCTGTTCATTTTCATCTCTGGTCAGATGAATACAGGTACAACTTCTGTGACTAACTCAAACTATGTTTCATAACACATGTTGTTACTTTGTTCAGCTACTAATATTGCTAAAGGTGGAAAAGTGACTCAGTCCTCCGTGTGGTCGAAGGGTGTCCCCGAAAGAGCCATTGATGGAAATCGTGCCAGCAAATATGGAAAGGAATCCTGTACACACACATTAAAAAAAAAAAAAACCCTGGTGGAGACTTGACCTCCTAAAGAGATATAAAATCAACAATGTCACCATCACCAACAGAGGAGACCCCTGTTGCCACGGAAGGATCAATGGTGCTGAGATCCGCGTTGGGAATTCCCTCTATGACAAGGGCAACGCCAATCCCATGTAACAGCACTATCTGCCTTATACAAGATTTACAAATGTTACCTTTCCTCTGAAGGTTATAGAGAAAGATAGAATTGGTTATCTAAATAATTTACTAATATTTTCCTGTTTCTTTCACCAGATGTGCTGTTATCTCATCTATCGCAGCTGGGAGCTCAACAACATTTGTTTGCAATGGAATGGAAGGCCAGTATGTAAACATTGTAATTCCTGGAGTAAGAAAAATCCTGACACTGTGTGAGGTGGAAGTCACTGGTCAACCTTCTGGAAACACTGCTCCAACTGGTAAATTGTACTATATAAGGGGTTTTCAAAGTGTGGGAAGGTGAGCCTCCCCTCAGAGAACATAAGAACAGCCGCGCCCCCCCTCCCAATTATTATTGCTATTATTATTATTATTATTATTGTTGTTGTTGCTATAATGCAGGGGTATTCAATTGCATTTCAAAGAGGTCCAGTAAGAGAAAATGTCATTAAATGCTCTGTTTTCGCTGTCTACCTTCCGCCATTTGAAATTACTCCGACTGTTTCTCTCCTCTTGTCTCGTCTCTGTGTGTGTTTGAATCTATATCGTGCTGACTCACTGACTGCACCGATTTGATTGGCTGAGTAGCTTCACCTCCTTAAAACATTAAACAATAACTTTTTAAAACATTTTTATCTTTATGTTTTACACATATTGTATAAAACTCCCCCACTTGGACTGTTCCTTGCACCCTGACATCTGCCATTTTTTACATATCTAGTGTTCATATTCAGCGTATTATTTACCGTACTGTACTCTATATTTATAGAACTCTGTGAAAAGATAATGAAGTTGAATCTAATCTAATCTAAAATCACTAATGTATCACCTACAGGTAATGAATGTACAGGAGACATGAGCCAGGATATGGAAGATCTTCCAGGTGAGTGTATTTATTAGGAATGATAGTAATTACTTCTGACAGAGATATGCTTTAAAGACTGAGTGAGCCACCAGTCTAAATCATAAGGTCAGATCACTTGTGTGGCCATGAACTGTAAGTAATAAAGTGTTCATTTCATTTCAGTTCATTGAATTGTAGTACTACAAACAGAAAACACATGACAATTCAACAATAAATATATATTTTTAAGCGTTACAGTCCTAAGTATAAGACGACATCACACTGGTTACATTTACATTTTGTTGAAATTATGCATGTTTATTGCATTAGAAACAAACTAAAATATTGTCCCAGTCCCACTATGGGGAGTTTGAATTTCAGCTGAGCACTACAAACAGAAAACTCAAGACAATACAACAATAAAAAAACAATCTTTAATAAGATATATTGTTTGTAAATGCTATGTTCCTGAATGAATTGCATTAGTAACATTTAGTTTATTGCATTTGGAACAAATGATAACATTTACACATTTTATTTGATCAATTGATGGCTAACGAGGATTGATCTATTACACTTTGCCAATGGAGATTCAGATTTGTATCGTTTTACATTTTGTTAAAATGTAATTCAATGTTTGGGTTACTGCTATGAATTATTGTGAAAAAGTAAGGAAGAGATGAGAAATGTGGATTTACTGAGTGAAATAACACGGCTGCAATTCTGTCTCCAGGGAACGGGTTTATCTCTTGGTTTGAGGAGTTTATAACTGCTAATGCCCTCAAGAACAGTAAGTCTAACTTAAAAATAAGGGTTTTCTGTTATCCGCAGCCTTTTATTATATCACACAACTACATCTTACACAGCAGTGGGATTCATGTATATTACCTATCCGATTCTATTTGATCTTGTTTTTGTGCTTATTTATGGGCTCTTAAATGTCTGCTTAGTATTATTATTATTATTACTACTTGTTTAAATGTATTTCATGTCATTTTCAAATGTGTTGCTTTTGTACTATAAGTCTTAATTCTGTTAATGTTTTTGTAGAGCATTTGTTTAAATCTGATGAATAAATAAACTTGACCATGCATTTTGTTTTCTTTACTTCTCAACAGAACCCCGTTGCATTGTATTTCTGCAAGAAAACACATCTCAACCAGGTGAGTCAAAACCGCTCGTCAAACACATACTGCATTTTAAACAAGTTCACATCCGTATTTTTTACAGAATAAAATGTAACTGTGTGTCTGTTGTTATTCAACAGAATGCTTGCCGGAGGAATGGCCCCGAATGGTTCAACGTGATGGTTCTCATCTACTGCTCATCTCAAAATGGCATACCAATAGGAATTTCGGTCTGTATGTCCTGACAGGAAGTCACTGCAACACTACATTAACTAATATGACAGGTGATATTACACAACTACATTGATTGACATAACAGTGTGTGTGTGTGTGTGTGTGTGTGTGTGTGTGTGTGTGTGTGTGTGTGTGTGTGTGTGTGTGTGTGTGTGTGTGTGTGTGTGTGTGTGTGTGTGTGTGTGTGTGTGTGTGTGTGTGTGTGTGTGTGTGTGTGTGTGTGTGTGTGTGTGTTTGGCCCTTATAATCCTAATGCAACACTTGCAAGAAGATGCAAAGTTAATGTGTTACTGTTCATTTTCTCACAGATCCAAATCGAAATTGCACCTACAATTACTCTGGCGAAGGTAAGATAATTCATTTTCACAGTTTCATCTGCAAAAATGATATGGTGAAAATAGAACTTATAAACATGTACTCACACTTAATGTAAACATTGGAATGATAAATAACGTCACTTTTAATCAAAGTCCATTTCTTTACCATCCCACGTAGAACCAGGTACTCCAAGTGATTTGATAACTTCAAGCTACTTTTATATGTTTAAATCATTTCACATGTGTACTTTCTAAAGTGATGTGCTTCTATAATTGTGTGCCTTTTTCTTCTTCACTGTTTTCCTTAATAGGACCTTGCCAGGTTAGATGTTTGAAGACAAAGAAGATATGTAAAGACACCAGATATAATAAAGAAGTCTGCAGCAAACTTGGTAAGTTCCCTTCAGATAAGCAAAGAACCGAGGTGGTAGAAGTACTCATATATTGTACTTAAGTAAAAGTAGAAATACCACAGTGTAGTAATACTCTGTTAGAAGTAAAAGTCTGGCATTGCAAATGTTACTCAAGTAAAAGTACAAAAGTATTGGCATCAAAATATAGTTAAAGTATGCAGATTGGCCCATTTTCAAATAATATATATATATCATGTTTTGATTATAATTATTGATCATTAAAGTGTTATGAAAGCTGGTAAAGGTGCAGCTAGTTTGAATGACTTTGTATACTGCAGGGTAGCTTGTGAATTTACTCCAGGTGGAACTAAAGTCTGATTTAAGTGTTTATTATATTTCACATCATTAATCCAATTCTGCAAAGTAACTAAAGGTATTAAATAAATGTAGTGGAGTAAAAGTACACAATGTATACCTTTTGAATTGTAGTGAGGTAGAAGTACAGAGTAGCACAAATTGGAAATACTTAAGTAAAGTTCTACTGTTTCGAAATTGTACTTAAGTAACGTACTTGATTAAATGTACTTACACCACTGGCAAAAGTATGATATAATGTATGAATGTGTAATGTCTCCTGATTTCTGTCTGTTTTGCCCAGTATTATGATCATCATGCTGTTAAAACTGGCTTAAAGTGGCACAAACTGGTACCCGCTGCAGTATCTTTGACTCAGATGCTTGAAATTAAACTCCTTTCCTTGCAGATCCAGATATCAAGGACAAGTACATCATCAACCTCACAAATACAACCGAAAACTGCGTCAAATGTGATAATCCAGAGAAAAAGCCTGGGACACATGTTAAAATGAATGTAACAGTAAATGAAGAAGGAGGAAAAGTCGATGCTGCCCAAGCTGCGTAAGACACGCTGCATTAAATCGTTAAAGGAATTGTTTGAAGGAAGCATTCTTTTTTTTTGCTTGCTTTCTATATGATAGCAGTGGCGGCGCCAGGGTATGGCTGGGGTAGGCTACAGCCATACCAAGAAATGGCTTAGCCCCACCTTAGCCCCACCATGAAAAGTGATGTTAAAGTAAGCAAATTCAATTAAATAATAAGCTAAATGCAAAATGTTGAGAACACGGATTGCGAAAATATACGGGTCGTGTCCACAACACACAAACTGATCCTGCTGTAACAACAAGTGCATGTTACTGATGCAATATGGTTGAGACCATTCGGGCTTATAGAAGAGGGGTGCAAGGAATAGTCTAAGTAGTGGGGGAGTTTTATACACTAAAGGTGTGGAAATTCTCTGGCGTTATAATATCAGCGCGGCCGCGGTCAGATCGAAATGCCTCCGAATGCAATTTGAATAGACCTACAGCCAATCAGAGCAACGAAACGTTGGGTCTGCGTCATGCCTTACTGATTGAGATCAATCGAAACCGCCATTCAGTATCCCTATTGGATCTTCAACGTGTACTATCATATGTCCGTTCACAGTGATCCCTTTTTATTTACTATAAGACAAATGTGCCGTTTATTTCATACAGTTCCATTTTGATTGAGAAAGGGAAATAATCTAAACCTCACGTGTGGCATTTCACTGTTTCACGGGGTGCGATATAGCGTGTATGTAATTCAATTGCAAATACTGACTTGAGCACCACCACTGTATGGGTTAGCACTACCATAGATTACCCAACAAAAATACCCTGGCGCCGCCACTGTATGATAGTGAGATAAAAAGAAAACAACACTACTGTAAAGTTTCCAGAGATCATAATGTGCCTTGCAGCACATCTAACGGTAACTCATTAACATCTGGTTTGTTTGTACACAAATAGAAATGCAAAAACTGTAACTCTGTAACTGCTGTCAAAACTCCGGGAAGTCACAGCTTCCAGACATAATTGCAGCATTAACCATACAAGATACTCCCAGGACAGTAATATGTCAAAAATATTGTCATAAACACTGAGTAAAATATCTTAACCAACATCAGTGTTGAGACAAATACCAAATATTCACAGATTTTGAGAACATTTACACTTTTAATGCCAGTAAGTTTGAAAAAACCCTCATGAAATACAAATTATTTACCCTATAATATATGCTAGGGATTGTTTTTTTTGTTTTTTTTTTACAGTTTGTCAATAATAAGAATGACAATCATTTTTAAATGCATTTCTTCAAACACTGCAGTGCTCCATATCACAGCAGCAATGCCCAAACAGGTAGAAAAGAGTAAAAACTACATTGTTGAATTCAGAGCTTTTGATTGAAGTATTGATATAATAGATAATGTTATGCTGATATGGCCATGTGGTCACACATCTTGGTTTTTATTGTCAAAGGTTATGCCGTTATGCAAGGGTTATGTCAAACATAATGTAATGTGTATATCCAGGTGTTGACCTTTATAACCCCTAGATTCCACCGGGTCCGTCTGCATCGCGTTACGGCTGCGCCGCGGTTTTGGTCCGGCCTCCTCCGGCGTCATACCCTACCAGGCGCGTTTCAGAAGCATTTCAGAAGCGGAGCGTCTTGCCTGCCGGCTCGCAGTTTTTCTTGATTTGGGCATATTTCCTGGACAGGCTACTTTGTACAGACAAAGTTAATAATAACTGTAATATTCCAGTTATACACGACATGAATCAAAGATGTGTTGCTGTATTTTAGTGGTAAAAAAATGCATTCATCATCATAATTATTCTATATATATAATTTATACAGTGCCTGTAAACCGGAGGAGAACGCTGGCAATTCCTCCTACTTGAAAGACTACGGAGGGATAGGGTCTGCAAAATTAGTTTGTGTGTATATATATATATATATATATATATATGCTATATATGCTCTGAACGTTCCACTTTCTGCCTGCCCGACCTTACGTTACGACTGCGCCGCGTCAAAAATAGGATTCATCCTAATTTTAGAGGAGCCCTGCGCCGAGCCGCTTCTGGGACGCTTCTGGGACGCTTCTGAGCCGTAACGCGCCGTGTGTGGTGGAATAGCACCCATTGACTAGAGTGGCCGCGATCGCCGCGATCGCCACGATCGCCGCGACGTGAGCACCGCGGCGCAGCCGTAACGCGCCCGTAACGCGCCCGTAACGCGCCCGTAACGCGCCGCAGACGGACCCGGTGGAATCTAGGGGTAAGCGTGTTTGAAACTCTATATTCTGAATACATTTGATTTTCTTCCATCTGACAACAGTGAAATCATGAACAACATGGCCGACTTCATCAACTCCTTTGAAGGGAATTCTGCTGCGGTGTCTGTGGCAGAAGGAATTTCAGGAGTCTTAGTGAAGATACCGGATCCCGTGGACATCGAAGAAATCAGTTTCGCTTATAATTCCCCAAATGAAAGCATGAATGTGGGTGCACCATTTTTATTTTACCTGCATGTGTTACAGTTTCTACTCCTTAAGAACTTCAGAAAGAATGTAGGCCATGTTTCGGGATGATGGTGATTATCTCGGCCACCTGCTTAATTGAGAGTGGTGAAAAAAGTTGTTTAGTTTATTAAGTTTTCTCATTTTAGTTTTTGATAAACCTTATCTCTTACTGGTTTTCTTTCCAAGAGTGAAGTAGAAGGATCAAAACCAATCCAACATACTTGTTATCTAAATACTAATTCCATGCATAGTAATTGGATCCAGGACTCAACACAATTGTTCTGTTCTTCCCTGCAGATAGTAGAAAACAGTGATTATCTCGGCAAATTTTCCAGAAGTGTGTCAGTGTCCAAGGAGGCGTTTGAAAAGGCTGTGAGTTTGAACATAACAGTTCCATTTGCCGCTCTTTTCCGATTCAACAATCTGGCTTCGGTAAGTACCAATATCTCAACTTAGGCGCTTTCACACCGGAGTACTTTTCCCAGGGATAGTTCCGATAGTTCTTGGGATTTGGGATGCGTTCACACCAAAAAGATCTGGAACTAGAACTTAGTTCATGCGAACCTTTTCCCCCCTTTTCAGTCCCTGCTAGAGAGCAGGTACTTTCCTGGGGAGAAAAAGGTTCCAATTTCTGATTGGCTGGCCGAATTGCAAAACCACGCCCCGTAAAACTCCCAAAAGTTTTGTGAAGTCGCCATTTGATTTGCTCGCATTAGCATTATTAGCATTAGCCGAGCTCACCAATGGAGAGACCCTAACTTATGGCAACACAAAATAAAACGTGGGAGCGGTGGAGTGATGAGGAGGTGCCGGCGCTTCTGGTGATTTACCCAGGACTTCGGGTGGCGATTTACTGCCACCCGAAGTCCTGGAGTCCCCCGGACTCCGGGACGCAGAAGAAGAAGAAGTGACGTCAGTGGCTTCATTTGAGTAATCCTCCCTTAAGGGCAGGGGCGTAACAGAGGGTAACAATTGGCCTAGCAACGGCTTAGCAACCCCATTGTTTTGTTATGAAAATGCATCTATATATATTTATACACATTCTCGCGAGATCTATCAGGGGTCGTTGTAAGTTAAAGCGCAAACTGTTACTTGGCTAATGTTGTTATAATTCTCAGTATGTGAACACAGATCGAAAATGGAAAGATTTCTTACAAGTCAGCGTAAACGACCGCGATCTCCAACGGAGCCGGTCCAGCCGGACAACCCTGTGTGTGTGTGTGTCAGTCTGTTTGCGGTGTGGTGATGAGGTTAAATGCCACAGCATGCCAGTTGAAACAGTGAACGATCGCTATTGTGTACTTGTACGCTTAGGGTGTAATGGTATTATACACAAATATTGTAGGATTCAAATTCTGCTTTTACAAACTTATTTTGGTTGTGCTTACCTTGCAAAGTAATGTTATAAGTGTCAAAGGAATGTTTTAATGTAAATATTAATGATAATATTGTAGCGTGTCCAAGTTAATAGTTATTTCAGTTATCAGATGTGCAGAGTTTAGTACATTTGTAAAGTTATTTAGGCAATGTTGTTGGTGGGAGTTAGGGAGAGACCGCCCCTTCCAGGTGTGTGTGTGCGTTTTCCGGTGTGTGTGGAGGGAGTACGAGACGGTAGGAGTTGTGTTCGAGTGTGGGGAAAAGTCATAATGAGTGTTATACTATTGATTGGTTCTGTAAGGCGTGGCTGTGGCTATCAATACCATAAAATAAAGAGAACGTTTTCGACATTGAAGGCTCGTAATCTGTGATCTTGAATAGCGGTGAACGCTACAATATGAACAGGCTCGTGCTTGGCCCACTGGTATTGTTTGTTTATTTATTTTGAAAATGAACTAGCAACACCGTGCTGTCATATAGCAACTGCTAAGCTACTGCAGCAAAAAAATCCTGGCGCCGCCCATGCTTAAGGGACTTATTAAGGTGTGAACGCGATTTACTAGGACAGTTCCGGGACTAAAGAGTTCGGTGGGACTAAGTACTGGGAACTAAGTACGGCAAAGTACTTGGTGTGAAAGCGGCTTTACAGTAAATGCACCCCACACATTTGATCATGTTGCTTTATTTTTTATTTCAGGATGAGCTGAACAGCACTGTTTTAGGCAATGAAGTCCTAGCAGTTGAAATGGGAACCACCATCTCCAATCTCACAGACAAAATGTCCATCCATTTTCGGAACGTTACCTACGTGAGTACAAAAAAGTGCCTCGTTGAAGATATACTTGAGTTTGTCAACCATCCATTTAGTCATGATGTTTTTCTTACAGGAAGGATATCCCTCTTGTCAATCTTGGAATGGTGAAGGTATTGTCCTTTTACTTATCTGCAAGTTGATATAAGATATTGCTTGAAATAAATGCAATATAAAACCTGTGAGTGATGGTGCACGCTATCCTTTACTTGTAACCAAATGTGATCCGTGCAGTTTGATGTTTCTCTGTAATAAGTTGGCTCAAGTATTATTTTTTTATTGTATTAATGGCTTTGACCGACAGGTGCAAATGAGCTACAATGGCCCGAAACAATGGAGAAATGCGTTGCAAGTTAAAAAACGATGCAAATAAAAACCCACAAATGTGCCAAAAAACATGCAAACAGCCCATTTCTCCTAGTGGAAATGTTGTGTAATTTCGTTGGTTCAAAGGCTGCAGATAGTAACCGCTGCTTTGCCCCATAATTGAAGAGCAGATAGAACATCAAATATCACAAAATAAAATGGTTGTCTATGTAAAGGGACTTTTTTTCATAAGACTTTCTCACATGTCGCAGTAGGAAAATCACATGTTAATTATACAAATAACGATGGCTCAATTCAAATTGGCTGCTCCAGTTTCAGAGTCATACGGCCATGGCCTACTGCTACACTGGGACACAATAATGCTCATTTTAATAGTTACATCTCTCTTATCTACTATAACAAGTCCCATGAGGGCTGTGGAAAATAACTATAACCTTAACAGCAACATAAACAGCGAATAGGCATCATTACTCGGAAGCTGCACACATTATTCAGTAAACAATACACAAAACAATCTTTTTTATTCTTTGTCTGACACACATAAAAGAATAAAGACACTTCACATCACTTCTGGGTTTAATGTTTAAGCAGCTTCACCTCTTCACTGTTTACTCGTGTGTTTCTGTCTTTAAGGAAGCCGACCAAACTGGACCGATTACGGGTGTGAGACAATAAAAGATGGGAACAACATCACGTGCCAGTGTTCGCATTTGACATTTTTTGCTATTTTGTTGGTACGTCTTTGATTATATTTTCATACCATACTGATCTTGATCTTCATTGTGGACCAAACATATTTGGACATTCCTCTGTATGATCATCTAGACTGCACTCTGTATTCACGCCTTTTTTTCCTTTAAAGAGTCCCTATTATGCTTATTTTTTTTTTCTTTCCTGTGTAGTGTGTTATTTAGGTTTATGTGCATGTAAATGGTCTGCAAAGGCTAAAATCCCAAAGTGTCTTTGTTTACTTCTGTAACATAGTGACATCACTATGTAACACTCGTGCTTCTATTGGAAAGCGCTCCAACACATTGTAAGTGACAGGCTAAGGGGGCGGGACATCTCTAAGCGGTTGACCAATCACAACAGAGCTGGCCAGCTAACCAATTAGAGCAGACTGGGCTCTGGTTTCAGACATAGGGTGAAAAGAGGTGCTGCAGCACAGGCAGTATGAGAAAAATAAAGACCTTTTTGAACATTAAAGCAAGTAGACATGTCACAGTAGAGACACTACATACAAATATGAACTTACATTTCACAGCTCCTTAATAAAAATAATACACCATTCTGACTACAAATGCCAGTCCCTGTGAGGAAAGTTTAATTTTTGCTCTTTTTGCAGGCTCCTCCGAATGTGACCATATCTAGTTCTGACCTGAAGAACCTCACCACGATCACCCAGGTCGGCTGTGGCTTTTCCTTGTTCTTCCTCTCCATAGTCCTCTTCATGCACTCTCTTCTGAGGTAATTATACATCTCATAAATCTCATCTTAAAGGTGGGGTAGGTAAGTTTGAGAAACCGGCTCGAGATACACTTTTTGTTATATTCCATGGAATGCTCTTAACATCCCGATAGCAATGAATATCTTAAGTGCTTTGACAAAAAATCCATAAAAAAATGTCATCTGTGGAAGCTGTAATACTGTAAAAAGTACGACCAATCATTTTAGCCGGCCCGGCTAAAATAACTGGATGGCCTACCTGCCTGTCAGCCTTCCATCGGGGCACAAACTTATCTCGTGTCCTCATTGGTCATGTGCGCGTTCGTGTGTGTTGGAGGGGCTCTGTAAAGGCCCCTACACACCAGGCCGATATCGGCCGTCTTGCGTTGTTGGGCGAAAACGGGTTCCTTGTCGCCCAAAGTCAATTTGGTGTGTCCCGAACCCTCGGCCGTGAACACGCCTTATTTGGCCTTTCACGGTCGACACCCGGCCGATTCAACATGTTGAATCGGCCGGGTGTCGGACACAAGCTATTGGGCCAAGAAACCACTCTGATCAGCTGTTCAGCTAGCAAATGAGAGGCGAAACGGAAGTGAGGGACGTAAACAAACGATTTAAGGCACAAGACAGCAGCTAAACCCCAGCAGGTGATACTTAAAGACATCAAACATAGCCCTTAAATGTCCTCTCTTACCTCCCACACATAGCAGGGACATCTCTGATATCGGCGGGAGCGTCCCCGGCTGTCCTCTGCTGAGAGCTCCGTGATTTGTTTGGTCAAGTCCGGTTTTTCATCTCATCGTAAATTTAGCAAGAAGTGACCATTATTACATTGCTGACTCAATAAACTACACACCCGCCAGAACACTGCGATCATCAGATGCAGGTCTATTAACTGTGATTTTATAGTATGTCTGCACTTTATGTGCTCATTTCATCATTCATGTATTTTTATATTCTAAAACATGTTTTCGATGGACGAGAGTGAAAATGGAACGCACATGCTATTTGTTTGTTTATATCAGTCTGTTCTTCTTCTCTGTCTTCCGGTTGTTGCCTATTTTGAATGACGAATACACACTACCGCCGCCTGCTGGTAAGGAGAGTTATTGCCACTCACGCATGCGCAGTTCGTACGTGCTCGGCTGAAGTCTTTGCGGTGATTTCCAGTGCGACACACGGCCAATACGCAGGAGAACTCGTCGATGGAACTGTCGGTGTCGGGTGTCGGCGAGTTCTCTGGTGAGTGCCTGGTGTGTCAGGGCCTTAACCTGTTTCACACCTTCCCCCCGGTACCGGGCGGATAAACGCGTCATTTGCAGGAAACAACGTCTAAGGAATCTTAATATTGAATAAAACTATGAATGTGTTATATCCATGTAACGGGAAGAAACTCAGCTAACTGATCTTTTTAAAAAAAAAAATTTAAAAAACCCCACAATGCTAGCACTCAGCCTCTGAATTAGCCTCGATCGAAAAAACGGGACCGACAAAGGCACTTAAACTCACTCATAACTCCCTTATTACTTATCCTAGATGCACAACCAAACACTCTTTTTTGGTGTCCTGGAGACACTGAATCTACCGGTGCCCACCTCAACACTCAGTGATAAACATTCGCGACGCTATCAACGAAAGCGTACATCATCACATGTGGAGCTAAGAAGCTAAACATGTAAATATGGCTTACCTTGGTCAAAAGTGGTCTTCAATGGCATTAAAACGATAAAAAAACGATGCTGCAGTTAATCCATAGGTTCATCCTATGTGTCTGTGCCTTCTTTGAAATTATTTCTGATAATCCATAAGCAATACAACTGCGTTTTAGTTTCCAAACTCCAGAAGGAGACATTCCTCCAGTTTAGTTTCGCTTTCCACACGCGAAGCGGCCACATTTTTTCTTTACAACCTGTCTGGGTGGGAGCCTCCTCCTTCGATTCTATTGGCTCTAACGGTCACAAGGGTATGTCAACCAACCAGATCGAGCAAGGGGGGCCAGAGATAGGTCAAATCCACCCAAATGACCCCAGATGGCCCAGTTTTTGGCTAAATCTCTCTAAAAAGGTCAAATTTCACTTGTTTTGCATCAATCTTGATACAGGGTACTTATTATATGTTGTACTTTGGATTCCTAAAGCTTTTAGTCTACTAACCCATCATCCAAGGGTAGTTTTCACTATCTGTAAAAAATAATTTTTGGACGGACACTATAATTTACATGTAAAATCTGAATTTTCTTTAAAATAAAAAACATTTATATTGATTCTGACACTTCTACATCCAACTCACAGGTTTATCATTACTTTGAGAAAAAAGATTATTAATTTAACCCTTTTAGAAGGGAAGATATGGTCATTTGTTCTGGGAATGTCATTTTCGAGCCTGAGACCTGAAAAACAGGCTCAGAGTGGAACAGGTTAAGGAAGTGGCAGATTTTCTCCGGTTGTGTATTTTCAAATTCTAGCGATCTCGAGCCGGTTTCTCAAATGTACCTACCCCACCTTTAAGCCTGCATGCGTATGTATAGTATTCCTTAGTAAAATTACTCAATCATTTATTCTTTGAGTAATATTTTGTTCGACTAAAAGGAGTCTTGCATTATAAAAAGAATGTACTTAGTCCAAGTGTACCACCATGTGTGCCTTTTTTAGGCTGCAGAATGAAAACCCTCTTAATATGTGGAGATATATGAGTATTCAGGTTATTTGTATGCAAGTTTTCTAATTTTTTTAAGCATTCATACTGAGATTTTTCCTGTCAAAATCTTGTTTTCAATCCCAATTAGTAGAACAAAAGATATAGAAATCAATCGACAGTTACAACCAAGTTAAACATTTGTGCCGTCTTCATTTGTTATTTTCTATTGCTAGGAGACAGGACAGGAAACACTGCGCTAGGTTTAGAAAACACATTCGCTGTTGGGAAATGAGACTGTTGAGACTGTGGCTTCATTCATCTGGGATGTCTTTCCAATGAATGCTTATGAAAATAAAAATAATATGGGTATGTGAGGGCAAATAATCCGTTTATGGGGGGGTAATAAATAATTAAGAGATGCCGTCACAGTTACCCAAACTCAGCATAATCTAGATTTGTAATAGTAATTACAGCCATCAGAGAAAAGTAGTGGCTGAAGAAGTCCAATATTTATTTATGAAATGCAGTGGGGTGCAATTGAAAGTGTCATAAATTGTGAATATCAAGATACCTTAAATGTATTTATTCTGAACAATAGTTAGATAGTTAGAGTGAGTGAGTGAGTGAGTGAGTGAGTGAGTGAGTGAGAGAGAGAGAAAATAACATTTGTTTAATTGCAGCGACACGAAAATTGCATTATGTTACATTGCAATGTTGGTTTGAATGCAATTAATTAGTCATTTGGAGAGGAGAGGAGAGGAGAGGAGAGGAGAGGAGAGGTGAGGAGAGGTGAGGAGAGGAGAGATAGAGATAGATAGATAGATAGATAGATAGATTAGTACTTTATTGATCCCAATTTGGGAAATGTTTGCGTTGCAGCAGCATGAAAAACAAGGCAATGTACATAAGAGAAATTAAGACACTAGAAATAGTGAAATAGTAATAAAATAGCATCAAAAAGTTATCAATATTAAATTGAACATAAATGTAAAATGTACAGTGGGAGTTTGAGTCCAGTTATCGATAGAAGCTATGGAGCAGAGAGTAGTCTGAAAACCAAAGCACTTTACAATAAACTGAGGAAATGATAATCAAAGCTAGTTGAAGCTGTTACCGGTAAATATTTAGTTTCTGCCACTTATTTCCTAATTCTTTGTTAAAAACATATATGCTTGTCACCCTTTACAGGAGGACCAATGCCAGCATATCCACGAGGATTCTCATCTACCTGGTTGTAGCCTTGTACCTGCTGAATCTCTCGTTCCTCATCAACAACTTTGTGGCCAAAGTGGGGAACGCGGTGGGATGTAAGATCATGGCGGCTGTCATGCACTACTCCATGTTGGCCACGTTCACTTGGTTTGCTGTGCAGGCGTTCCACCTCTGCCTGCAGCTGCACGTCGGAGGCAAGGTTGTAATCCCTCACTACATACTCAAGGTCTCCATCATCAGCTGGGGTGAGTTCAACATTTTACTGTTTAACCTGAAAATGCACCATAATATGTGACAATAAATCACTCTATTTCCCCCATTCACTATATCTCGTATGAAAAGGCAATATTCAACATAGGCTCTATTTACATTACATTACATTTGACTTGTTAGACACTTTTATCCAAAGCGACTTACATACATTCAGTACTGTGGGCAATCCCCACAGGAGCAATTTGGGGTGAAGTGTCTTGCCCAGGGACACAACGACATGCTGACTGCAGTGGGACTCGAACGTGCTACCCCCTGATTCCAAGTTCAGCGCACTATTATGGGCTCAGAACAGTCTCATAATACACACATGCACACAGAAGGATTCACACTTGTATTTCCGGATCCACACTTGTGTTTTTCAATGCACACACAAATGTGTTCCGTTTCATATACATGTAAATAAAACCCAAATACAGAAAAAAGTTTTACTAATAATAGAACATGTTGCTTACTTCCCATTGGAATTAATAAAGCATTTCGATTGTTTACATTTCTTGATATTATCTAAACACAATTGCATTGCTAGGCAACAGCATGGTTCCATTCTTACTTCCTGTCAGCTGTTGTCCTTCAGTCCTTATTTGGAATGGAACCTTCAGAATTATGACATCATCTTTTGCCTTGATGTAGAATTCTGAATTCTGCATTGATCTTCTAGGAGATTGGCTGTGACGGTGAATTAATCAGAGCATCAGAGCACCAGAGCAGCAGGGAGAAGGAATTTGTCCAGCTAGAGTCAGATCATTGCAGAAATAGGTTTTGTTGCAAGCAAACATTAGGGATACTTGCAGTGTTTTTTAGCGAGATAATCTTCACAAGTGAACTCAACTTTTGTGGGATTTTTGTGACGTTAATTCAGTCGAACAATTACATTTAGTTTGCTAAACAACAGGTCATTTCGTCACAGCAGTAGAGATGGAGATGAACAATAGAGATGAGCTGGCAGTCAAGCTCGAGATTCTGCAAAAAGAAAATCAGGAAATGAAGTTATTGCTGGAGCAGGAGAGGACTTTAAGCGATAAGCTTGAGATTGAAGGCGCTAAAAAGAAGGAAGCGATGCTCAAAGCATATACAGAGAAATCAGCTTTGCTGTTTAAGCACAATGTGAAAGTGAAAGCCCAGGAAATTGAGCAGAACGTCTTGCGCGTCAACAATGAGGACCTGAACATGAAATACAGAAACCTCCAGAGGTCACACAAGAAGGTCGAAGCCGAGATGGCTGCCTTGAGAAAGGCAAACCAGGAACTCAAACAACTGAAAGAACCCTGTGTTGAGGAGCAAGGTGTAGAGATGGCTGCCTTGCAAAAGACTAACCAAGAACTCAAACAACAAAAGGAGCGTTGTCTTGAGGAGAAATCTGTAGAGATAGCTGCTCTGCGTGAGAGAAACCAGGAACTCCAACAACAAAAGGATCATTGTGTTGACAAAGCTGTAAAGATAGCTGATTTGCGTGAGAGAAACCAGGAACTCACACAACTGAAGGAGCGTTGTGTTAAGGAGGAGACAAAGATGGCCGCCTTGCAAACAACAAACCAGGAACTCAAACAACAAAAGTTGCGTTGCGTTGAGGAGAAAGATGCAGAGATAGCTGCTTTGCTGAAGGAAAACCAAACACTGAAGCAAGAGAAGGAGCGTTGTGTTGAGGAGAAGGTGGACAAGAAGGAGGATGTGGAGGTGAAAGTGGAACCAGAAGTGAGGCATGATGTTAAAATGAATGCCCTGAAAATTGAGCAGAAAATCTTGCGCGGAAACAATGAGGAACTGAACATGAAATATGGAAAGCTCCTCAAGATGCACGAGAAGGACAAAGCAGTGATGGCCACCTTGAGAAAGGCAAACCAGGATCTCAAACAACTGAAAGAACCCTGTGTTGAGGAGAAGGATGCAGAGATGGCTGCCTTGCAAAAGACAAACCAGGAACTCAAACAAGAGAAGTTGCGTTGTCTTGAGGTGAAACATTTTGAGATAGACGTTTTGCATGAGAGAAACCACGAACTGGAACAACAGAAGGAACGTTGTGTGGAGGAGAAGGATGCAGAGATAGTCGCTTTGCATGAGAGAAACCACGAACTGGAACTACAGAAGGAACATTGTGTGGAGGAGAAGGATGCAGAGATAGTCGCTTTGCATGAGAGAAACCACAAACTGGAACAACAGAAGGAACGTTGTGTTGAGGAGAAGGATGCAGAGATAGTCGCTTTGCATGAGAGAAACCACAAACTGGAACAACAGAAGGAACGTTGTGTGGAGGAGAAGGATGCAGAGATAGTCGCTTTGCATGAGACAAACCAGGAACTGGAACAACAGAAGGAACGTTGTGTTGAGGAAAAGGATGCAGAGATAGCCGCCTTGCTGAAGAAACAGCTGAAAAAAACAGCTTGTGGAGGTAAAGGTGGAGTTGGAGGTGGAACAGGAAGTGAGGGTGGATCCACCTGAGCAAACCAATGAGCCGATCCCAACAACGCAGAGGAGGACAACACCACGGTGGAGAAGATTCATCAATTCCTTTTCTTGTATCCGCCCAAACATCAACGATGACTAAAAAGGAAAACATAAGACTCAAAGGCAGCCCTGACATCGGCTTTAAAAACTTTAAAAAACAAACTCACAACATCAAAAATTAGTAAGACATTAAAACATTTCAAGTACAGTCTAAAGCTCAAAGTGAGTGAGCAACAACATATACTCACAGCCAGTCAGGATATATATTTAAACACTTAACAGTTATTAGATCTGGTTAGACATCAACAAAGGTTCCAGAAGAGACTCACAGTGATGTGCAGTTTTAGCCACTAGGGGCAAAAAAACAACCTTAATTTTAAAATAAATAAACTATTCCTTTGCTTCTAGCACCCCTAAATAAGAGGAACATTTAGTCATTACAAGTTATCAGGTTTATGTTATATCGTCATGTTTGGTTTATAGTGTTCATTTTCATATTTAAGTTATATTTTTCATATTTACTTAATAGTTCATTTTTATATTTATGTTATATTTATCATGTTTAGTTAATAGTCAATTTTTATATGTATCTTATATTTTTCATATTTACTTAATAGTACATTTCTATATTTATGTTTAGTCCATTGTTTTCTTGTTAAGTTAAAGTCTTGTCAATCAATAAAAAAATAATAATGATGATAACAATACTGACACGTTTGATTTATTTCACGTTTGTTTCTCCTGTCTAAGTTTAGCTTCTTGCTTTTCATTTCAAGTCACCAGAGATTTAGTCTGAGAATTCAACTAATAATAACAATAAATACAAAGACATTCAAATTCAAAATAACACTAGAATTCTTTCTCGTTTGTTCCTCCTGTTTTTGTCAAGTTACCTTTGTATTGAGTGACTTTAGCTCACCTGGCTCTGCCCTGATCAATACACTGACTTAAAGCTACTTCAGTACTTACTTTATTACCTTGTTTACATTCAACAATTATCATAATAAATATAAACAAATGAAAAAACAACACTATGTATTTGATTTCTTTCAAGTTTGTTTTAGTCAACTATTTGATTTTAAATGCAACAGCACCAGCAAAAGTAGATTTTTTTTTACATTTCTGCTGATGTCCAGGTGTACAGTATATCAGTATGTAGTGTCTCTACTTTAAAGAGTCCTCTCCTGCTGATGTTCAGGTGTATGTAGTCCCTCTACTTTAAAGAGTCCTCTCCTGCTGATGTTCAGGTGTATATCAGTATGTAGTGTCTCTACTTTAAAGAGTCCTCTCCTGCTGATGTTCAGGTGTATGTAGTGTCTCTACTTTAAAGAGTCCTCTCCTGCTGATGTTCAGGTGTATATCAGTATGTAATGTCTCTACTTTAAAGAGTCCTCTCCTGCTGATGTTCAGGTGTATATCAGTATGTAGTGTCTCTACTTTAAAGAGTCCTCTCCTGCTGATGTTCAGGTGTATATCAGTATGTAGTGTCTCTACTTTAAAGAGTCCTCTCCTGCTGATGTTCAGGTGTATATCGGTATGTAGTGTCTTTACTTTAAAGAGTCCTACAATTAGATGGAAAACAGCTGCAAAGAGACAGAAAATTACAACAAAGAGACAATTAATCACCATAAAAAAATATTTTAGTAGAGAAATGTTTTCATTGAAGTTAATGTGTTGAAGGGAATCCTGTAAAAAAAAGTTTTATTCAAAATGGCACTTTATCAAAATGCAATTGAGTGCAATTTCAACGTAACTGTATTTTTGGTTCCTATTAGATAAGATGTACTTTATTGATCCCAAATTGGGAAATGTTTGCGTTGCAGCAGCATAAAAAACAAGGCATTGCACATCATTAGAAATTAAAAGAGTAGAAATAAACATTTCAAAAATTTGAAACATATCAAAATAGAAATTAAAAAGTAGAAAATATGCATTTGACGTGAAGATGAAACATATAGTACAGCGGATAAGCACAACAATTGTGCATTTTATGAGAAAAGCATGACATTTCTAACATAGTTAGTGCATACCATAAGGTTTATTTTCAGATGTGGAGGGAAGTCAGATTTGACCTGTGAGGACCGTGAGAGGTCAAATCCAAGATGGCCGCCAGTCTCTCTGGTCAAATGTTCAAACACGCTTAATTTTGGAACCAAACATTGTAGAAAAACATTTAAGGTGTCATATCCAACTAAATTAGGGATGCCCAATCATTTGATGATACTTTTGAGATCGCCAGAATTCAAGAAAATGCATTTAGGTGAAGATAAAGGTAGAAATTGACCAAAAATAAGCTGTCAATCAGTTGAAATTTGGTGTGTGTGTGTGTGTGTGTGGTCACCCAGCGCTAGCATTAATACAGAGACTGGAGGAATATGGCTTTACTTGGCACAGTCTGCATGCTGAAGCAAACATTTGTTTTTGTCTTCAAATACATACTTACATGATTGTGACGAGCATCATATTTGCTCCCCGCCCAACTCTCTAAGTGCTTGAACTCCGTGACAGGAGGATGAAGTATGTATAAATGGATGGAACTATCAACAAAACAACAGCGTTTTATTCCCCAATGTCATATTTAATAGAAAAATAATGATGCACCACTTATTGGAGAAAGAAGAATGGGGAACAGAAAGGTTTAGAGAGGGACAACATGCTGAAACCTATGGAATGCCATTTAAGCCAAAATTAAATAAATAAATAAATACATAAATAATTAAATAAATACATATATAAATATGCCTATGAAATAAATTCTGAAATAAATAAATGAGGCAATAAATATGTATACATGTACATTTAAATACACATTTATTTATTTCATGGGACTTTTATTTCATAATGACACATTTATTTATTTCAAGAGACTTGTATTTCATAATGACACATTTATTTATTTCAGGGGACTTGTATTTCATAATGACACATTTCCATTTCTTATATGCAAATGAACGGGGCGTGGTTAGCTCACAGATCCAGACCAAAGCAACAGCACCGCAACACTGACTCAATAGCTCTTGTTTCACACTCAGCCTGATTTAGCTCTGGTTCTTCCTGTTTCAGCCACAGCGGAGCCGGCTCTAAACACCGAACACCGGTTCTTAGCTGACCCCACTTGGCTGCCCGGCAAGAACCAAGAACCACGCTCACGTCGGAAGGGGGCGAGATTAACCTGAGCCATAATAACAGTTTATGGCGAGTACGGAAAATGAAAGTTGTAACAAGCAGTAGCGCTGAGCAAAGTGACTAGAACGCAACCAAAAAAACACACTTTACAAAGTCAGGCAACACTAACCAGGCTTCGTGTGATTCTGTTTATTTGTATCTTACTTTGACCATCCGTTCACTGTCATTGATCATTGTGGAGAGCAGGCAGACGTTTTGTTTTGTATTATTATAGCAGCTATCAGATGGAATCAATACATGGGCTGCACAGGTTGTCATGTCCGACTATCACAAATATGTGAGGATCAAAAATACATATTATGTATTTTTGATCCTCACATATTTGTTTTCCGTTTAAAACCGCTGCACCTGCAAACACAAACCGCTTTCTGTGCATGGATCGCTGTGCATTCGTGTGTGGGTTTTTTGAGACTCCCCTGACGGTGACCCGATTCGTACTTGTAATTGTTTCTATCTATAGCCAATCAGATGTCTCCTCAATTCTAAGCCAATCACATGAGCGCGCCCACGAGGGTAGATTTCTTGCGTTCATGACGTAGCGCTTCATGTACGCATTTTGCGCTGTCCGGAGCTGACAGGTGACAGGTCCATGGAGCCTGTCTGCAGGCGCTAATCTCAGGACACCTCCACTCTCAGTACATTGCCACTTTCCGAGCAGGAAAGTGGCAAATACAAGCCTTTATATTATTAAGGTACAGTGCCACTTTCCGAACCATTAATGAATGCTTGTGTAGTGTGTACACAAAAACGGCAGGCAAAACTGTTTTAAATGTGTGTTTCCTGTATGGCGAATACAGCTGCTTTATTTATGTCTGTATGAAGTTGTTGTGAGTGTGGAGGGAGCAGCTACAGGTTAGCTTAGCCTAATCGATCAGTGCACTACGAAGCCAGTGCTAGACAGTGAACTGTCAACGGGGGGAGCCCCGCCGGTCATTATCGGCCGATATTCACTCTTAATAGTTTGATCGGTGCTCTCTATAAAGGCCGATCAGGAGAGCTGGATCTGATCGATATGGACATAAACGCGAGTGAAGTTTTAGCGAGCTGCATGAGAAACTGACGGGCTGTCAGGAGAGAGGGAGGGAGAGAGGAAAAGAGATGATCCTTACTCCCGTGTTATTATCCGGTCATAGTCCGGTAATTACCTAACGGAAACGCTGCTACACAATTCTTATTATTATTATTATTGAAACATGACCGGTAAGTTTCAAATTTGTCCGGTAAAATTAAATTCTGTCCGCGGAAACCCTGCTCCGGACTACGCAAAATGCGTATATGAAGTGACATGAACGCAATAAATCTACCCTCGTGGGGGCGCGCTCAAGTAATTGGCTTAGAATTGAGGAGACATCTGATTGGCTATAGATAGAAAAAATTACAAGTACGAATCGGGTCACCGTCAGGGGAGTCTCAAAAAACCCACACACGAATGCACAGCGATCCATGCACAGAAAGCGGTTTGTGTTTGCAGGTTCAGGGGATTTAAACGGAAAACAAATATGTGAGGATCAAAAATACATATGTAAAACTTTTTTCTGTATTTGGGTTTTATTTACATGTATATGAAACGGAACACATTTGTGTGTGCATTGAAAAACACAAGTGTGGATCCGGAAATACAAGTGTGAATCCTTCTGTGTGCATGTGTGTATTATGAGACTGTTCTGAGCCCATACACTCTCCACTGAGCCACAGCCTCCCTACACAAATATACTTTGAGATGTGCTTGTCTTCGACCAGTTAGAATCTACTATTGCGTTTATTTCTCCTCACCATGATGGGTCACTTTCTTTCTCCATTTCCAGCACTACCAGGTGTAGTTGTGACTGTCCTGCTCATCTTAGGAAAATATGGTGAACAAGTGATCTACACTGATAACCCTCAAGACAACGTGGCCATGTGAGTGTGTGGATTCACATTTAATGTCCAACATCTTATAATAGAGGATCAGTTGTTCATGCAGGACTAAATGTCATTGCATTTTTTGTATAACGGCACCTGTAATGTGCAAAAAATGCTACCTAAGGAACTGAATGCATTTTTTTAAAACATCATTTTATAGAGTTTTATTTGTTAACAACTTCCTATGTTCTTGCTATGCAGTGTTCTTAATTGTATGTTGTATATGTTTCCCTCCTTTGTTAGTATGTAAAGCACTTTGTAAACATAGTTATTCATATATATTAATGTATATTATTATTATATTAAACGGCAGCCACGTTTCCCTTCTTTTACTGACATATCGTTATTTTCCAAGGTGCTGGATAACGGACATTGACGTGCACTACATCGTCAACATAGGCTACTATGCGTTGGTCTTCATCTTCACCTTCACCGCCTTCATCGTCATGATGGTCTGGCTCTTTGGTCTCAAGAGAAACGGACAAGTCCCCACAAATCGCCATAGTATTGGGGTCATCCTGGGACTGTGTTGCATGCTGGGTATCGGTTGGGGTTTTGCCTTCTTTGCATACGGTGTGCTCCAGATCCCCGCCTACTACATTTTCACCATCCTCAATTCTTTCCAAGGTAATAACTAAGAAATTGAAATTCACTCTTGGCTTCCTTTACAGACTTAAATGTTGTTTTTCAGCTTCTTCCCGTAAAAGGTTGGTCTCTGGCTTATTCCTGCCCCAGCTGGACTACGGTGATACCATTTATAGATTTGCCTGTCCCACTGTTTTGGCCAAACTTGACCCACTCTACCATGCTGCACTGCGTTACATATCAAATGCACCCTATAGGACTCATCATTGCAAACTGTATAGCCTAACTGGATGGTCCTCACTTACCATGCGTAGGATGCAGCATTGGTTTTTATTAAAGGGGACCTATCATGCAAAATGCACTTTTGTACGTCTTTTATACATGAATATGTGTCCCCGGTGTTCCAGGGAACTCACCAAGTGTCAGAAAACACAACCCTCTCTATTTTCCTCCATACCCAAATCTCTAAAAAAGGGGCTGCAACGGATCTGATAAAAACTGATCCAGATTTGAACACTGTCCTGACGTCAGGACAGTGGCGCTACGGCTATTGGGCCAACTCCACCAATCAGGATGAGACAGCCACGGCCATTGCCGTTCGAAAGCGCTGGAGACGCTGTAGTACATATGCCAGGCCAGTAGATGGTGCTGTTCTCACATAATCAGCCCTTACAAACACAGAGCTAAAAAATGTCAAATTGAGCAAAATGAGGCATGGCTAAAATGCATGATGTTTGGTATTTTGCACCAAAAAAAAGTATAAATATGCCTTATATAGGTATGGTCCTACACTATATTATTCAAATATAGCATGATAGGTCCACTTTAACGTATAAAGCCATTTTAGGTAAACTTCCACTCTACATATGTGCCAGATTTGCTCCAGTTTGTGACTCTTACAACCTCAGATCCAGTGCCTGGATACGGTTCCAGGTTCCTGCTGAAAAATGAGCCTTTTTCATTATGGTCCTTGGTCTTGGAATGACCTTCAATCACGCCTTAAACTGACGGCACTTGTCCCTATAGCATGTTTTCAATTGAAGTTGTCTGAGGTCCTTACCACCAGCTGCTCTTGCAGTAATCAAGTAGTACCTTTCTTACTGTCCCAAATGTGCACAATGTAGTGACTGCTTTTCGTTTTTTTTTTGTTTACTTAGTTGTGTTCTCTGTATTTTACATGTCTGTGTTATGTGTAAAAATGTGTAACGTTGCTGCCTTCTTGGCCAGGTCAGCATTGTAAATGAGATTGTATCTCAATGCTTTTTATCTGGTTAAATAAAGGTTAAATTAAAAAATTAAAAAAACGAATTTTAGGATAATTTATTTATTTATTGCTGTTGTATTTAAAAAAACAACTTGAGTCCTAATTTAAACATTCGTTTTTAGATTTAAATTAACAGTATTATGCTGGTTTAGATAAAATAAGAGATAAGATATACTTTATTCATCCCGAAGGAAATTGTTGTGCCAGAGTTACACAAATACAATAAACACAGCAGCACAATAATAATAAAACTGTACACTAACAGTGCAGTGAAAGGAGCAATTCAATATCTACAGAAACATAGATGGTCACATAATTAATGTAAATATTAACAGTATTTAGTATAGTGCAAAAACCGAGGTGGTAGTTACGTAATTGCACATTATTTATTGAACATTATTAATAATAATAATATTGCACATGTTATATAGCAGAGTGTTTTGTAATGATGGTTATGGTGGTTTAAATAATATGTAATATTTGACAAGCAATCAAGCAAGCAAATGTTATTTGTTCATCCAGGAGGAAGTACAATGTGCTGAACAATGCATGAGCAACCACACACATTGCTGCCACAAACACAATATACAGTAGTGTTATAGTTCACATTTAGATAAAGCACATTATGAACACAATTAAAACAGACAGATTAATAAGTGTAAAGTAGCAATGCAATACAAATACATTTCATATGTTGAACTTGTCTTTTTTGTTTGTTTGTCACCTGGCAGGTTTCTTCCTGTTCATCTACTACTACAGGAGCAGCCACTCTGGAGAGACAGCCAGTGGCTCTCAGGGTTCAAACTCCAGCAGCAGCACGCTCAAAAGCAACCTGGACATCTTTGAAAACCCCTACAGCAATAGATTAGAGAAAAAATAATAAAACCCTGAAAGACGAACAGGGACTTGAGAGGGATGAAGATTGTAAGCTGAAAGAGGCCCTATTGTACTTGTATGAGTTTTCCCTTTCCTGTAGTGTGGTATAGGTTTGTGTGCATATACAGTACACAGTGAAAAGAGCAGCTGCAGCATGTGAACATGTCACAGTAGACACATATACACCTGACAATTAGCATATGTCCACATAATAAGGGACTACAAGCCGCACAATGTACGGATTTATGATACTGTAATAGGCATTTTCCATGACATATTAGTCATTAGTGTTTTAAAAAATATATATACACAATACTATTTTGCATGTATTTATCGAAGGACTATAACAACTAGGTTAATGTGATTTAAATGCAAAAATCAATTAGTTATCAAGTTTTTTAACTACATTTTCAGGACCCGATGATCATCAACTTACATGGAAAATATCTGAAGTTGTAGATAATTATTACAATCTTTAGTTGTGGGTATACTGGAAAAGAAAATCCTCTCATATATGGTATAGGTAATTGTACATTTTACTTGAACATCTAAATATGTTATATTCTGAAATGGAGCAACTGTTACAAAATCCAATTTCTCTGTTAATCATTCAATATTAAATGGGTGTTATGTTAAATGTCTTCTCTGCATCATGAATAACATCTTGTGTGAGACTTGTACACAATGCATGTCCAAAGTCAGTACATCAAGTTGGGAAATTCAATGTCCAGTTTAATAAGTATCCACTAGGCCAGCCCTCATTTAAAAAAACGACAAATGAACGTTTTGCTTTCATATCCGTCACTATTCACACCACACACATCACAAATGAGCCATTTCTCAATCCGTCTGGGTCCATTGTGGTATTCGGCATACACCACATTTACTTCAATACTTATTTAAAGGAAGTTTTAATCTTTTATTTGTCTTTCAAAGAAGTTGGTTCGACAGCGTCTGCAGGTAAAACACAGTATTGACTACTCCAACCGATTTTACAAGCTTGTTAAGTGTAAAGTTCACTAGTAAGTCAGTAAACCTTAATTATTTACAAAATGCCTTGCAGTAAATGCATGTGTTGAACTGGTGTGGAATTAAAATGTCAACATTAACTTTTAAGAGTTAACATGGGAGGCTGTAGTTGACAGAGGGAGTTGATAAAGTAATATAGGCTGAGTTTGGTTAAGACCTAACAATAGGAACATGAACTTTCAATTAATACACTCTTGGTGGTAAGTGGTGTCATTGAGAAATATTACCTTGTTCTCTAATTATACACAAGCGGTTAAAACACTAATACAGGAACACATGTTTGAATAAAGATAAGCGCAAATCTCGCATGGCATTACATTCTCTCAATTAATAAATGTATGTTCTGTAATTTTGCTGTTTACTCACTGAATATCAATGTCATGTAGTCATGCTTTCTGCAGCAGGGTTGTCACTGTCACTACCCGATCCGTCCACCTGCCCGATCGGTACTGCGCATGTGCGAGATGGTCCGCCATATTGCACAACTCCGTACGGCAACCCAACTAGGACAGTTGACACAGTGGCTTTTGGCAAAGCACACAAAGAAAACTAAAAAAACCGAGAGAGATGAGTTATTGTTATTACAACGTGACTTCACTATTATTTAACAACTATTTTTATTGGGTTCTTTTATTTGGGGTTAAGTACATTGTCAGAATAAGTGAGAAATGGATTTAACTTCTGTTAGACAGCTATCATACTGAATAAATATTTATGCAAAAATGTATGGCATTAATAATGTATATCTAATTACATTAACTGTGAATGTCTTTCATGTTATTTAAAATGAAATAAAATTACAAAAAGTTGATTCAATAACAAATCTCTGTTATTAGAGATTATTATTATTACTTTTCTTATATGACTATTATTGGTAAATTTGAAAGGTCTTTACCAGCTTTGGAATTATATATATATATATAGCACCTTCTGCCATCCCATCTCTACTGACAATCATTAACACTTAGATTTTATGATATCGTAAGCATCGTCAGTGATTGACTTGAACACTGAGAATGTATTTATTAACTTCAGACATTTTCATATACAAATGTGATCATACACCAACACACTTTTTAGATATATACATTTTTACATTTTTCACACACAACGCACAACCATTTACTAAATTAAACCATATCCCATCATAATACGAGCAAATAAAAAGGCACAACAATAAATATATATTATGTGTGTGTGTGTGTGTGTGTGTGTGTGTGTGTGTGTGTGTGTGTGTGTGTGTGTGTGTGTGTGTGTGTGTGTGTGTGTGTGTGTGTGTGTGTGTGAGTGTCCTAGTTGGGTTGCCGTACGGAGTTGTGCAATATGGCGGACCATCTCGCACATGCACAGTACCGATCGGGCAGGTGGACGGATCGGGTAGTGACAACCATAGATATATATATAAACATTTATATTGTTTATATATATCTATGGTGACAACAGTGACAAGGGTGACTGTTGTGTATACTTCCGCCATCTTTTCCTTCTTCTTCTTCTTCTTCTCTCAGGTTCATGGCGGTTACCAAGCAACGATCTGGTGCATTACCGCCACTTACTGGACTGAGGTGTAGCGCAGAAGATTTAAATACATGAACAGGTTTAGGAAGTAACAGAGATGGAAAGTAACTAAGTACAAAGTACTGTACTTGAGTACAATTTTGAGATACTTGTACTTTACTTGAGTATTTAATTGTAGGCCTATGCTACTTTGTATTTCTACTCCACTACAATTCAGGGGCAAATGGTGTACTTTTACTCCACTACATGTATTTTGTACCTTTGGTTACTTTACAGATGTGGATTAATGATGTGAAATACAAACACTTAAATCAGACTTTAGTTACACCTGGAGTAAATTCACAATCTACCCTGCAGTATACAAAGTCATTAAAACTAGCTGCACCTTTACCAGCTTTGATAACACTTTAATGATCAATAATTATAATCAAAACATATCATATATATTATTATTACTTTAAATATACTTTGATGCTAATACTTTTGTACTTTTACCTGAGTAACATTTTGAATGCAGGACTTGTACTTCTACTTTTAATGAAGTACCACATCTAAGTACTTCTCCCACCTCTTAACGTATTACATGCAGTAGTAAGGAAACTTAGCTCATTTACTCAAGTACTGTGCATAAGTAGAAAATGTAGGTACTTGTACTTGTACTTTATTTTAGATATCTAGATACGTGTTACTCTGCAGCTTTAAAATATAAATGAATCTATTAAATACATTGATAAAAAAGACAAACATAAGTACTAAGGGCTCCAACAATTTCGACGTGGCTATGTACTTGGTGTTAAGATTTTAGCAAGTAAGGGATACCACAGCTTTTCATACACCCTTTTCCTTCCTTTGGCTATATACAGGATATATTTTAACACTCCAAGCCCAGTAAATTAATAAAACACACAACTTGAATATTTATTATTTAGCTGATTTGAAAAAACATTACAAAAATGATACAATCTTTTTCTATCGACTGTTTTTGTGTAAGGTTTTTTAATATTGAATTTATTTTAAAGCAGATACTAGTGTTTGTCACACACACTACTGTACATCAACACCACTATTCATTCCTTGAATTAATTTACATAGTGCCTAAATGTTTATCTAAACATCAGGATATTTTGCTTATTTCTGCACACAGGAATTTTTAGGTACTGTGAATTTGCAAAACAAAATGATTGTGCCTGCAGCAGGTAGCTATGCAAAGTCAGTCATACAACATATTAGTGTGGCCATCCGGTTCAGTTGCTTTTGGTAAATGATGCTGCTTTGACCGGACTCAACCAGAGAGAGGTAGGAGTTAAAGTAGATGTGTCTTGTTGGAGAAACAGTGCTTTAATTTGGAACAATACTTGTTATAAGTCCTGTGCAGCAGTGAATGGATCCCACACCCTGATCGAGACTTAGTGCCATTGAAAGATCATGAGCTGGAAGATTTGCGTTTTATTTGCGGGCCTGCTGTGGATTCATCCTGTTTGTAAGTTGACATGATTTCCTAACACTAAAGTCCAGCAAATATCACATTGAAATATTCTCTTGACATATTTAATCATGAAAATAGAAGACATAATCCTCTATTCTGTTATAATTATTATAATGTGTAAAAGAAATTGTGTAATAATATGGCAATTTTTTACTTCTTATCTGATTTTATTTAGCCAGTGACTGCGATGACCAAAAGAAAAAGGAATTAAAAAATTTTAGAAAATGCTTAGCAAAGGGGACAAGCAGGCATTTTATTGTTCAAAACAGCGTCAATTTCTTCACCGATGCACGAACCGTCTGGAAGGAAGGTGAGTCTAAACTATAATAAACATTTTAATAACAGTAGATGTTGGTGGTTGTTAAAACATCCTAATAAAGTCTGGAAGGAAGGGTGCACATTTACAGCTTTATTTGTATCTAAAAGCTATATTTATGTTTTTACACTGGTAAAATAATGGGGAACAGCAGCATATTTTTTAGTATCAATGTAGGGTCCATCTGATGAGTGAAGATAATGTAATGTTTATTTTTAATGTACTTAAATATTGTGTATTTTGTATTTTGTATTTTTGTTATATTTTTGTCATTATGTATGCTGCTTTTGAATATCTACACTTCTGTAAAAGGTTAGGAGTAAACCATCTGTTATGAAAGTGTTCACTTTTAGGGATAGTTTGGATTGTTTGAAGTGCGGTTGTCCACCCTCGTCAATACCAAATATTTATATTTTTATACTTTTGTGTATTTATACTTTTACTGCTGTCTATTTTGCAGAGGTGTGAGAAGTACTCAGATCTTGTACTTCAGTAAAAGTAGAAATACCAGAGTGTAGAAATACTCAAGTAAAAGTCCTGCAATCAAAATGTTACTCAAGTAAAAGTAGAAAAGTATTATCATCAAAATAAACTCAAAGTACCAAAAGTAAAAGTAGTGATTGTGCAGATTGGTGCATTTCAGAATAATATATATGATATGTTTTATAATGATTGATCATTAAAGTGTTATCAAAGCTGGTAAAGGTGCAGCTAGTTGTAATGACTTTGTATACTGCAGGGTAGCTTGTGAATTTACTCCAGGTGGAACTAAAGTCTGATTTAAGACTTGATTATATTTCACATCATTAATCCAAATCTGTAAAGTAACTAAAGGTATTCAATAAATGTAGTGGAGTGAAAATACACAATTTACCTCTGAACTGTAGTGTAGTAGAAGTACAAAATAGCATAAAATGGAAATACTCAAGTAAAGTACAAGTATCTCAAAATTGTACTTAAGTACAGTATTTGGGTAAATGTACTTAGTTACTTTCCACCTCTGCCATTTTGTACATATCTAGTGTTCATATTCAGCGTATTATTTACCGTACTGTACTCTATATTTATAGAACTCTGTGAAAAGATAATGAAGTTGAATCTAATCTAATCTGAACTCATTCATGTATCACATACAGGTAAAAAATGTACAGGAAACAGGAGCCAGGATATGGAAGATCTTCCAGGTGAGTGTATTTATTAGGAATGACGGTAACTACTTCTGACTGAGATATGCTTTAAAGACAATTAGTACAAACTCATTATTTAGCTGTGTAGTACACATGTAGTTGTCTGGACCTGTCTCTATCTAAGTACATGTTGCTGGGCTGGGATTAGCCACCAGTCTAAATCATAAGGTCAGATCACTTGTGTGGCCATGAACTACTGTAAGTAATAAAGTATAAGACGACATTTCATTGGTTCAAAAACAGAAAAACACATCAATCTTCTTTAAGTTATCTTATTTTTTTGCTTTTTTAAAATCTATTACACTTTGCCCATGGAGATTCAGATTGTATCGTTTGAAAAAGTTACATTTTCTTTATGAGTAATTCAATATTTGGGTTGATGCTATGAATTATTGTGAAAAAGTATGGAAGAGATGAGAAATGTGGATCTACTGAGTGAAATAACAAGGCTGCAATTCTGTCTCCAGGGAACGGGTTTATCTCTTGGAATCAGAAACTTATAAAGAATGACAAATTCCAGAAAAGTAAGTCTAACTTAAATAAAATAAATCAAGGCTAAAGGTTTTTCTGTTTTCCGCAGTTGTTATATCACACAACTACATCTTACACAGCAGTGGTATTCATGTATATTACCTATCTGATTCTATTTGATCTTGTTTTTGTTTCTATTTACTGAGCTCTTAAATGTCTGTTAGTATTATTATTATTATTATTACTACTTGTTTAATTGCATTTCATCTCATTTTAAAATGTGTTGCTTTTGTTCTATAAGTCTTAATTATTTTAATGTTTTTGTAAATAATTAGTTTAAATCTGATGAATAAATAAACTTGACCATGCATTTTGTTTTCTTTACTTCTCAACAGAACCCCGTTGCATTGTATTTCTGAAAGAAAACACATCTCAACCAGGTGAGTAAAAACCGCTCGTCACACACATACTGCATTTTAAACAAGTTCACATCCGTATTTTTAACAGAATAAAATGTAACTGTGTGTCTGTTGTTATTCAACAGAATGCTTTGAGGAGGAATGGCCCCGAATGGTTCAACATGATGGTTCTCATCTACTGCTCATCTCAAAATGGCATACCAATAGGAATTTCCAGCTGTATGTCCTGACAGGAAGTCACTGCAACACTACATTAACTAATATGAAAGGTGATATTACACAACTACATTGGTGTGTGTGTGTGTGTGTGTGTGTGTGTGTGTGTGTGTGTGTGTGTGTGTGTGTGTGTGTGTGTGTGTGTGTGTGTGTGTGTGTGTGTGTGTGTGTGTGTGTGTGTGTGCGTGTGCGTGTGCGTGTGCGTGTGTGCATGTGTTTGGACCTTATAAACCTAATGCAACACTTTACTGTTACTGTTCATTTTCTCACAGATCCAAATCAAAATTGCACCTACAATTACTCTGGCGAAGGTAAAATAATTCATTTTCACAGTTTAATCTGCAAAAATTATTTGGTGAAAATAGAATTTATAAACATGTACTCACACTTAATGTAAACATTGGAATGATAAATAACGTCACTTTTAATCAAAGTCAATTTCTTTACCATCCCACGTAGAACCAGGTTTGATAACTTCAAGTTACTTTTACAGACATGGTCAAATCATTTCACATGTGTACTTTCTAAAGTGATGTGCTTCTATAATTTTGTGCCTTTTTCTTCTTCACTGTTTTCCTTAATAGGACCTTGCCAGGTTAGATGTTTCGAGACAAAGGAAATGTGTAAAGAAACCAGATATAATAAAGAAGTCTGCAGCAAAATTGGTAAGTTCCCTTCAGATAAGCAAAGAATCGAGGTGGTAGAAGTACTCATATATTTTACTTAAGTAAAAGTAGAAATACCACAGTGTAGTAATACTCTGTTAGAAGTAAAAGTCTGGCATTGCAAATGTTACTCAAGTAAAAGTACAAAAGTATTGGCATCAAAATATAGTTAAAGTATGCAGATTGGCCCATTTTCAAATAATATATATATCATGTTTTGATTATAATTATTGATCATTAAAGTGTTATCAAAGCTGGTAAAGGTGCAGCTAGTTTGAATGACTTTGTATACTGCAGGGTAGCTTGTGAATTTACTCCAGGTGGAACTAAAGTCTGATTTAATTTGATTATATTTCACATACTTAATCCAATTCTGCAAAGTAACTAAAGGTATTAAACAAATGTAGTGGAGTAAAAGTACACCATGTACCTCTGAATTGTAGTGGGGTAGAAGTACAGAGTAGCACAAATTGGAAATACTCAAGTAAAGTACTACTATTTTGAAATTATACTTAAAGTGGACCTATCATGCTATATTTAAATGATATATTGTAGGGCCATATCTATATAAGGTATATTTATACGTTTCTGTTTTCAAAATACCAAACAGATCATGCATTTTAGCCATGCCTCATTTCGCTCTATGTGCTGTTTGCTGTCTACGGGTCTGATTCTGCTGACCACGCCCCCCTGCAGGAGAGGGGAGCCGCGCTCTGATCAGCTGCTGGGCTGTCAGAAGAGGGGGAGAAAAAGAGATCTCCGTCCTCCGTGTTTTATTATATAGAGTCGTTATTCATTTGTTTTAAAGCTCAATAAATAACAAAGAAGACCTTTGACCGGCACTTTTCTAATTTTGTCCGGAAGATTTAAACTTTAACGGACATCTTGACCGGCGAAACAAACTGAAACTGAAACTCTGCCGCACGGTCCCCTCGTTCCTTGAAAGAGGCGGAGAGGTGGGTGTTTGTCATCTGCTGGTGGACTAACCCCTAGATTCCACCGGGTCCGTCTGCGCCGCGTTACGGCTGCGCCGCGGTTTTGGACCGGCCTCCTCCGGCGTCATACCCTACCAGGCGCGTTTCAGAAGCATTTCAGAAGCGGAGCGTCTTGCCTGCCGGCTCACAGTTTTTGTTGATTTGGGCATATTTCCTGGACAGGCTACTTTGTACAGACAAAGTTAATAATAACTGTAATATTCCAGTTATAAACGACATGAATCAAAGATGTGTTGCTGTATTTTAGTGGTAAAAAAAATGCATTCATCATCATAATTATTCTATATATATATAATTTACACAGTGCCTGTAAACCGGAGGAGAACGCTGGCATTTCTCCTCCTACTTGAAAGACTACGGAGGGATAGGGTCTGCAAAATTAGTTTGTGTGTGTGTATATATATAGGTCTATATAGCTCTGAACGTTCCACTTCCTGCCTGCCCGACCTTACGTTACGGCTGCGCCGCGACAAAAATAGGATTCGATCCTAATTTTAGAAAAGCCCTGCGCCGAGCCGCTTCTAGGACGCTTCTGGGACGCGTCTGAGCCGTAACGCGCCGCGTGTGGTGGAATAGCACCCATTGACTAGAGTGGCCGCGATCACCTTGAGCACCGCGGCGCAGCCGTAACGCGTCCGTAACGCGTCCGTAACGCGTCCGTAACGCGTCCGTAACGCGTCCGTAACGCGCCGCAGACGGACCCGGTGGAATCTAGGGGTAACCGGAGAGAATTACAGTGCTTGCCTCGACGGGGAGGGATTGCATTGAATTAAAGCAGCAGGAGCAAACGCTTGCCTCGGGGAGGGAGAAAAAAAGCCACAGCGGAGAATAAACAGAAGGGTAACCATGGTAACTATGGGCGGGAAGTCTTCTTCGCTGCTTTTGTGGCAGACTACAGCTCCACTTACAGGCCTGGCATATGTACTACAGCGTCTCCAGCGCTTTCGAACGGCAATGGCCGGCCGTGGCCCAACCCCACATTCCCCTGATAGGTGGAGAGTTGGCCCAATAGCCGTAGCGCCACTTCTGTGACGTCACGTCATAGAAGTGTTCAAATCTGGATCAGTTTTTATCAGATCCGTTGCAGCCCCTTTTTTAGAGATTTGGGTATGGAGGAAAAGAGAGAGGGTTGTGTTTTCTGACACTTGGTGAGTTCCCTGGAACACCGGGGACACATATTCATGTAGAAAAGACGTACCAAAGTGCATTTTGCATGATAGGTCCGCTTTAAGTAACGTACTTGATTAAATGTACTTAAACCACTGGCAAAAGTATGATATAATGTATGAATGTGTAATGTCTCCTGATTTCTGTCGGTTTTGCCCAGTATTATGATCATCATGCTGTTAAAACTGGCTTAAAGTGGCACAAACTGGTACCCACTGCAGTATCTTTGACTCAGATGCTTGAAATGAAACTCCTTTCCTTGCAGATACAGATATCAAGGACAAGTACATCATCAACCTCACAAATACAACCGAAAACTGCGTCAAATGTGATAATCCAGAGAAAAAGCCTGGGACACATGTTAAAATGAATGTAACAGTAAATGAAGAAGGAGGAAAAGTCGGTGCTGCCCAAGCTGCGTAAGACACGCTGCATTAAATCGTTAAAGGAATTGTTTGAAGGAAGCATGCTTTTTTTTTGCTTGCTTTCTATATGATAGTGAGATAAAAAGAAAACAACACTACTGTAAAGTTTCCAGAGATCATAATGTTCCTTGCAGCACATCTAACGATAACTCATTAACATCTGGTTTGTTTGTACACAAATAGAAATGCAAAAACTGTAACTCTGTAACTGCTGTCAAAACTCCGGGAAGTCACAGCTTCCAGACATAATTGCAGCACGTCCTTTTAAAAACAGCAGGCCTACATTTCTGTTTGTGTACGAATTAACCATACAAGATACTCCCAGGACAGTAATATGTCAAAAATATTGTCATAAACACTGAGTAAAATATCTTAACCAACATCAGTGTTGAGACAAATACCAAATATTCACAGATTTTGAGAACATTTACACTTTTAATGTCAGTAAGTTTGAAAAAACCCTCATGAAATACAAATTATTTACCCTATAATATATGCTAGGGATTGTTTTTTTGTTTTTTTACAGTTTGTCAATAATAAGAATGACAATCATTTTTAAATGCATTTCTTCAAACACTGCAGTGCTCCATATCACAGCAGCAATGCCCAAACAGGTAGAAAAGAGTAAAAACGACATTGTTGAATTCAGAGCTTTTGATTGAAGGATTGATATAATAGATAAAGTTATGGCCATGTGGTCACACATCTTGGTTTTTATTGTCAAAGGTTATGCCGCTATGCAAGGGTTATGTCAAACATAATGTCATGTGTATATCCAGGTGTTGACCTTTATAAATGCGTGTGAAACTCTATATTCTAAATACATTTGATTTTCTTCCATCTGACATCAGTGAAATCATGAACAACATGGCCGACTTCATCAACTCCTTCGAAGGGAATTCTGCTGCGGTGTCTGTGGCAGAAGGAATTTCAGGAGTCTTAGTGAAGATACCGGATCCCGTGGACATCGAAGAAATCAGTTTCGTTTATAGTTCCCCTCATGAAAGCATGAATGTGGGTGCACCACTTTTATTTTACCTGCATGTGTTACAGTTTCTACTCCTTAAGAACTTCAGAAAGAATGTAGGCCATGTTTCGGGATGACGGTGATTATCCCGGCCACCTGCTTAATTGAGAGTGGTGAAAAAAGTTGTTTAGTTTATTAAGTTTTCTCATTTTAGTTTTTGATAAACCTTATCTCTTACTGGTTTTCTTTCCAAGAGTGAAGTAGAAGGATCAAAACCAATCCAACATACTTGTTACCTAAATACTAATTCCATGCATAGTAATTGGATCCAGGACTCAACACAATTGTTCTGTTCTTCCCTGCAGATAGTAGAAAACAGTGATTATCTCGGCAAATTTTCCAGAAGTGTGTCAGTGTCCAAGGAGGCGTTTGAAAAGGCTGTGAGTTTGAACATAACAGTTCCATTTGCCGCTCTTTTCCGATTCAACAATCTGGCTTCGGTAAGTACCAATATCTCAACTTAGGCGCTTTCACACCGGAGTACTTTTCCCAGGGATAGTTCCGATAGTTCTTGGGATTTTGCGTTCACACCAAAAGATCTGGAACTAGAACTTAGTTCATGCGAACCTTTTCCCCCCTTTTCAGTCCCTGCTAGAGAGCAGGTACTTTCCTGGGGAGAAAAAGGTTCCAATTTCTGATTGGCTGGCCGAATTGCAAACCACGCCCCGTAAAACTCCCAAAAGTTTTGTGAAGCCGCCATTTTATTTGCTCGCATTAGCATTATTAGCATTAGCCGAGCGCACCAACGGAGAGACACTAACTTATGGCAACACAAAATAAAACGTGGGAGCGGTGGAGTGATGAGGAGGTGTCGGCGCTTCTGCCGATTTACCCAGGACTTCGGGTGGCGATTTACTGCCACCCGAAGTCCTGCGACTCCGGGACGCAGAAGAAGAAGAAGGGACGTCAGCGGCTTCATTTGAGTAATCCTCCCTTAAGGGACTTATTAAGGTGTGAACGCGATTTACTAGGACAGTTCCGGGACTAAAGAGTTCGGCGGGACTAAGTACTGGGAACTAAGTACGGCAAAGTACTTGGTGTGAAAGCGGCTTTACAGTAAATGCACCCCACACATTTGATCATGTTGCTTTATTTTTTATTTCAGGATGAGCTGAACAGCACTGTTTTAGGCAATGAAGTCCTAGCAGTTGAAATGGGAACCACCATCTCCAATCTCACAGACAAAATGTCCATCCATTTTCGGAACGTTACCTACGTGAGTACAAAAAAGTGCCTCGTTGAAGATATACTTGAGTTTGTCAACCATCCATTTAGTCATGGTGTTTTTCTTACAGGAAGGATATCCCTCTTGTCAATCTTGGAATGGTGAAGGTATTGTCCTTTTACTTATCTGCAAGTTGATATAAGATATTGCTTGAAATAAATGCAATATAAAACCTGTGAGTGATGGTGCACGCTATCCTTTACTTGTAACCAAATGTGATCCGTGCAGTTTGATGTTTCTCTGTAATAAGTTGGCTCAAGTATTATTTTTTTATTGTATTAATGGCTTTGACCGACAGGTGCAAATGAGCTACAATGGCCCGAAACAATGGAGAAATGCGTTGCAAGTTAAAAAACGATGCAAATAAAAACACACAAATGTGCCAAAAAACATGCAAACAGCCCATTTCTCCTAGTGGAAATGTTGTGTAATTTCGTTGGTTCAAAGGCTGCAGATAGTAACCGCTGCTTTGCCCCATAATTGAAGAGCAGATAGAACATCAAATATCACAAAATAAAATGGTTGTCTATGTCAAGGGACTTTTTTTCATAAGACTTTCTCACATGTCGCAGTTGGAAAATCACATGCAAATTATACAAATAACGATGGCTCAATTCAAATTGGCTGCTCCAGTTTCAGAGTCATACGGCCATGGCCTACTGCTACACTGGGACACAATAATGCTCATTTTAATAGTTACATCTCTCTTATCTACTATAACAAGTCCCATGAGGGCTGTGGAAAATAACTATAACCTTAACAGCAACATAAACAGCGAATAGGCATCATTACTCGGAAGCTGCACACATTATTCAGTAAACAATACACAAAACAATCTTTTTTATTCTTTGTCTGACACACATAAAAGAATAAAGACACTTCACATCACTTCTGGGTTTAATGTTTAAGCAGCTTCACCTCTTCACTGTTTACTCGTGTGTTTCTGTCTTTAAGGAAGCCGACCAAACTGGACCGATTACGGGTGTGAGACAATAGAAAAGGGGAACAACATCACGTGCCAGTGTTCGCATTTGACATTTTTTGCTATTTTGTTGGTACGTCTTTGATTATATTTTCATACCATACTGATCTTGATCTTCATTGTGGACCAAAGATATTTGGACATTCCTCTGTATGATCATCTAGACTGCACTCTGTATTCACGCCTTTTTTTTCCTTTAAAGAGTCCCTATTATGCTTATTTATTTATTTTTCCTGTGTAGTGTGTTATTTAGGTTTATGTGCATGTAAATGGTCTGCAAAGGCTAAAATCCCAAAGTGTCTTTGTTTACTTCTGTAACATAGTGACATCACTATGTAACACTCGTGCTTCTATTGGAAAGCGCTCCAACACATTGTAAGTGACAGGCTAAGGGGCGGGACATCTCTAAGCGGTTGACCAATCACAACAGAGCTGGCCAGCTAACCAATTAGAGCAGACTCGGCTCTGGTTTCAGACAGAGGGTGAAAAGAGGTGCTGCAGCACAGGCTGTATGAGAAAAATAAAGACCTTTTTGAATATTAAAGCATGGAGACATGTCCCAGTAGAGACACTACATACAAATATGAACCTACATTTCACAGCTCCTTAATAAAAATAATACACCATTCTGACTACAAATGCCAGTCCCTGTGAGGAAAGTTTAATTTTTGCTCTTTTTGCAGGCTCCTCCTAATGTGACCATATCTAGTTCTGACCTGAAGAACCTCACCACGATCACCCAGGTCGGTTGTGGCTTTTCCTTGTTCTTCCTCTCCATAGTCCTCTTCATGCACTCTCTTCTGAGGTAATTATACATCTCATAAATCTCATCTTAAGCCTGCATGCGTATGTATAGTATTCCTTAGTAAAATTACTCAATCATTTATTCTTTGAGTAATATTTTGTTCGACTAAAAGGAGTCTTGCATTATAAAAAGAATGTACTTAGTCCAAGTGTACCACCATGTGTGCCTTTTTTAGGCTGCAGAATGAAAACCCTCTTAATATGTGGAGATATATGAGTATTCAGGTTATTTGTATGCAAGTTTTCTAATTTTCTTAAGCATTCATACTGAGATTTTTCCTGTCAAAATCTTGTTTTCAATCCCAATTAGTAGAAAAAAATATATAGAAATCAATCGACAGTTACAACCAAGTTAAACATTTGTGCCGTCTTCATTTGTTATTTTCTATTGCTAGGAGTGCAACAGTGTAAAACAACATAGTAACACCAAGTAAACAAACCAGAAAAATTTCGATGGTTGTTGTCCGTGAGCTCTGCGGTTAATGTCATGCAAAATCATGTAAATGTGTCTGCTCTCCAGAACAGGAAACACTGCGCTAGGTTTAGAGAACACATTCGCTGTAGGGAAATGAGACTGTTGAGACTGTGGCTTCATTCATCTGGGATGTCTTTCCAATGAATGCTTATGAAAATAAAAATAATATGGGTATGTGAGGGCAAATAATCCGTTTATGGGGGGGGGGGGGGGGGGGGGGGGGTTTAAAATGTAATAAATAATTAAGAGAAGCCGTCACAGTTACCCAAACTCAGCATAATCTAGATTTGTAATAGTAATTACAGCCATCAGAGAAAAGTAGTGGTTTAGGAAGTCCAATATTTATTTATGAAATGCAGTGGGGTGCAATTAAAAGTGTCATCAATTGTGAATATCAAGATACCTTAAATGTATTTATTCTGAACAATAGTTGAGAGTAGAGAGAGAGAGAGAGAGAGAGAGAGAGAGAGAGAGAGAGAGAGAGAGAGAGAGAGAGAGAGAGAGAGTTACGGGGGTTGTTGTTAGCATCTGGTGCTAACTCGGTGCTAACGGAGATTAGAAGCTGTTTCAACAATAAGGAGAGGGGGAGTCCTCTCCTGTCGGACTGAGAGGCTGAGATAACGTCAGCTCAGTGAGAGAGAGGGGGGAGAGGAAATAACGTTTGCAGCGACACGAAAATTGCATTATGTTACATTGCAATGTTGGTTTGAATGCAATTAATTAGTCAAAACCAAAGCACTTTACAATAAACTGAGGAAATGATAATCAAAGCTAGTTGAAGCTGTTACCGGTAAATATTTAGTTTCTGCCACTTATTTCCTAATTCTTTGTTAAAAACATATATGCTTGTCACCCTTTACAGGAGGACCAATGCCAGCATATCCACGAGGATTCTCATCTACCTGGTTGTAGCCTTGTACCTGCTGAATCTCTCGTTCCTCATCAACAACTTTGTGGCCAAAGTGGGGAACGCGGTGGGATGTAAGATCATGGCGGCTGTCATGCACTACTCCATGTTGGCCACGTTCACTTGGTTTGCTGTGCAGGCGTTCCACCTCTGCCTGCAGCTGCACGTCGGAGGCAAGGTTGTAATCCCTCACTACATACTCAAGGTCTCCATCATCAGCTGGGGTGAGTTCAACATCTTACTGTTTAACCTGAAAATGCACCATAATATGTGACAATAAATCACTCTATTTCCCCCATTCACTATATCTCGTATGAAAAGGCAATATTCAACATAGGCTCTATTTACATTACATTGCATTTGACTTGTTAAGATGCTTTTATCCAAAGCGACTTACATACATTCAGTACTGTGGGCAATCCCCACAGGAGCAATTTGGGGTGAAGTGTCTTGCCCAGGGACACAACGACATGCTGACTGCAGTGGGACTCGAACGTGCTACCCCCTGATTCCAAGTTCAGCACACTATCCACTGAGCCACAGCCTCCCTACACAAATATACTTTGAGCTGTGCTTGTCTTCGACCAGTTAGAATCTACTATTGCGTTTATTTCTCCTCACCATGATGGGTTACTTTCTTTCTCCATTTCCAGCACTACCAGGTGTAGTTGTGACTGTCCTGCTCATCTTAGGAAAATATGGTGAACAAGTGATCTACACTGATAACCCTCAAGACAACGTGGCCATGTGAGTGTGTGGATTCACATTTAATGTCCAGCATCTTATAATAGAGGATCAGTTGTTCATGCAGGACTAAATGTCATTGCATTTTTTGTATAACGGCACCTGTAATGTGCAAAAAATGCTACCTAAGGAACTGAATGCATTTTTTTAAAACATCATTTTATAGAGTTTTATTTGTTAACAACTTCCTATGTTCTTGCTATGCAGTGTTCTTAATTGTATGTTGTATATGTTTCCCTCCTTTGTTAGTATGTAAAGCACTTTGTAAACATAGTTATTCATATATATTAATGTATATTATTATTATATTAAACGGCAGCCACGTTTCCCTTCTTTTACTGACATATCGTTATTTTCCAAGGTGCTGGATAACGGACATTGACGTGCACTACATCGTCAACATAGGCTACTATGCGTTGGTCTTCATCTTCACCTTCACCGCCTTCATCGTCGTAATGGTCTGGCTTTTTCGTCTCAAGAGAAACGGACAAGTCCTCACAAATCGCCATAGTATTGGGGTCATCCTGGGACTGTGTTGCATGCTGGGTATCGGTTGGGGTTTTGCCTTCTTTGCATACGGTGTGCTCCAGATCCCCGCCTACTACATTTTCACCATCCTCAATTCTTTCCAAGGTAATAACTAAGAAATTGAAATTCACTCTTGGCTTCCTTTACAGACTTAAAGCTCCCATGTCATGCTTTTCCGGTTATTACCCGTCCCCTTGTGTGTTATGAAGGTTTTTATGCATGTAAACGGTGTGCAGAGTCAAAACCCTCAAAGTACACCCTGTAGCGAGTAAAACTCTAACACAGAAAATACCTCCCCAAAACGCCTCGTTGGAGATACGTCACTGCCCATTTGAGTCTTCCATTTAGTTCCGGGTACCGCCTGATGTCATGCCGTACCCGGAACGAAATGGACCAATCCCGAAGAGCTATGGCCACACCAGCAGCGGCGTGTTCCTCCTCCAGAGGTTCGAAGAACCGGCATTTCACAGACGAAAGCTTCCAAAACATTGCCCAGTTTGAGGCCGGATATGCACAGCTTGTTTGGACCGTTTGGAGCAGGGGAAGATCTGGGTATACAACCTGTAAGTTTGCATTGTTATTTGTGTATTTATCAAACAAGACTGTTTAAATGTGTAAACTGTGTTGGACTGCTAAGCCATTGACACAGTGCTAACTGTGCTAACTAAGTTGCTAGAGTTTCCATATATCAACTCTAATATCAGCAGATGGCCTTGCATACATGTATCTCATAGCAGGAGAATGTCTGCATTCACACACAAAATACCTATTGACAGTATACTCCGGGTGATTTGCCAGTCAGTCGCGAAACGTAATTACATTATAGCTGGCGTAGCGATCTAACACACGGAGCTAGAGCTAGTTTTTGTCAGAAAAACATTTTTGTGATGCTACGTTGCTAGCGTTTAAATATATCAACTACAATGTCAGCAGATGGCCTTACATGTTTGTCATGGCAGGAGAATGTCTGCAGTCACACACACGGAATACTCATACAGTATACTGTACTGTGATTTACCGTACATTGTGACCGTACATATACTGCATGTAGCTAACGAGGCTAGCTGTATGCTAGCGCAAAACAATGTATTCATGCAAGTTACATTGTATGGTAGCAGAATACCCGTATACGATTGCAATTATAAACACGTTATTGCTAGCCTAATATGAACCACTAGCTTTTGTTCATAGTAGTTTTATTACACTGCATTATAGTTGCCTTTCCTCCAAGCTAACGTTCATATCGTGTTAGCTACCAAGGTAAACAAAGCTAGGTTAGCATATTAGCAGGCAAGCTGTTCATTACACAACTACTACTAACGAATCTAAAACAACTAAGTTTCTCTAATATTTTGTGATTTGCATTTGATTTCGTCCAGCCAGATCCTGGCGGACAATCCATGACGGGGAAGGGATTCTACTACTACTGAGGGTGCTAAAAGGCACCGCACCGACTGTGCGGAGGCAAGATGCGAGGAGGAGGAATGAATGATATACCGTGTGTATATATGTATATTTATGTTCATTTTGTACATTTCTAAAAATAAAGTTTAATGGAAATACTTAGTAGGCCTATCCTTTCTTCCCTGAATTCATATATAGCAAACCATGATTTGATTTCTCATCAAACAGTAGTAGTTTATAACGGGTAAAAATAACTTACTCTTTGTTATGAGCGGCTCGTAGGCCACAACGGAAAGACAAGGAGACATACACGAGTTTACAAAACCACGGCACATTTATTGTGGTAAATGCAGAGACAGGTGGTTGAGAGGATCGCAGAGTTAGTCTTCCTGCAGCCGCTTTGGAGAGAGACTGTGTCCGGAGGTGTCCGTGATCGTGCTGATTAGCCTCTTCAGCTCCACCCCATCGTAAGACAAAGGCCCTGGGGCCGTCACACTCTTCTATAACAACAGTTAAAAATATATATGTATATAAAATATACCGCTGTACCGACGCCATGATAAGACTGATGTTACGCTGAGAGCAGCCGGGAAAAGCACTGACATGGGCGCAGCCTCTCTGGTGGTTGACTAATCAGAACGAGTGGCCGAGCTGACCAATCGGAGCACACTAGGCTCACAGGGAGGGGGGGGGGCAAGAGCTCCAACGAGTCGTTTAGTGGAGAAAGTGAATACTGCTGAATACACATGCTTGACAGAGATGCTGTATGCGAAACCAATGTGAGTTTGGAAAATTGCACAGTATAAATCTATTTTAGTATACCTCAACAATGTAATTATGATCAGTGGAAATGGCCATGACATGGGCCCTTTAAATGTTGTTTTTCAGCTTCTTCCCGTAAAAGGTTGGTCTCTGGCTTATTCCTGTCCCAGCTGGACTACGGTGATACCATTTATAGATTTGCCTGTCCCACTGTTTTGGCCAAACTTGACCCACTCTACCATGCTGCACTGCGTTATATATCAAATGCACCCTATAGGACTCATCATTGCACACTGTATAGCCTAACTGGATGGTCCTCACTTACTATGCGTAGGATGCAGCATTGGTTTTTATTAATGTATAAAGCCATTTTAGGAAAGCTTCCACTGTATATATGTGCCAGATTTGCTCCAGTTTGTGACTCTTACAATCTCAGATCCAGTGCCTGGATACGGTTCCAGGTTCCTGCTGTGCGGACTGAGGCTGGAAAAATGAGCCTTTTTCATTATGGTCCTTGGTCTTGGAATGACCTTTAATCACGCCTTAAACTGACGGCACTTGTCCCAATAGCCTGTTTTAAATTGAAGTTGTCTGAGGTCCTTACCACCAGCTGCTCTTGCAGTAATAAGTAGCGTACCTTTCTTACTGTCCCAAATGTGCACAATGTAGTGACTGCTTTTCGTTTTTTTGCTTAGTTATGTTCTCTGTATTTTATATGTGTGTGTTATGTGTACAAATGTGTAACGTTGCTGCCTTCTTGGCCAGGTCAGCATTGTAAATGAGATTTTATCTCAACGCTTTTTATCTGGTTAAATAAAAAAATAAAAATAACGAATTTTAGGATAATTTATTTATTTATTGCTGTTGAAAAAAAACTTGAGTCCTAATTTAAACATTAGTTTTTAGATTTAAATTAACAGTATTATGCTGGTTTAGATAAAATAAGAGATAAGATAGGACTTTATTCATCCCGAAGGAAATTGTGGTGCCAGAGTTACACAAATACAATAAACACAGCAGCACAATAATAATAAAACTGTACACTAACAGTGCAGTGAAAGGAGCAATTCAATATCTACAGAAAAAACATAGATGGATAATTAATGTAAATATTAACAGTATTTAGTATAGTGCAAAAACCGTAGTGGTAGTTACGTAATTACACGTTATTTATCGAACATTATTAATAATAATATTGCACATGTTATATAGCAAAGTGTTTTGTAATGATGGTTATGGTGGTTTAAATAATATGTAATATTTGACAAGCAATCAAGCAAGCAAATGTTATTTGTTATATAGATTAATAAGTGTAAAGTAGCAATGCAATACAAATACATTTCATATGTTGAACTTGTCTCGTTTGTCACCTGGCAGGTTTCTTCCTGTTCATCTACTACTACAGGAGCAGCCACTCTGGAGAGACAGCCAGTGGCTCTCAGGGTTCAAACTCCAGCAGCAGCACGCTCAAAAGCAACCTGGACATCTTTGAAAACCCCTACAGCAATAGATTAGAGACAAAATAATAAAACCCTGAAAGACGAACAGGGACTTGAGAGGGATGAAGATTGTAAGCTTAAAGAGGCCCTATTGATCTTGTATGGGTTTTCCCTTTCCTGTAGTGTGGTATAGGTTTGTGTGCATATACAGTACACAGTGAAAAGAGCAGCTGCAGCATGTGAACATGTCACAGTAGACACATATACACCTGACAATTAGCATATGTCCACATAATAAGGGACTACAAGCTGCACAATGTACGGATTTATGATACTGCAATAGGCATTTTCCATGACATATTAGTCATTAGTGTTTTAAAAAATATATATACACACAATACTATTTTTTATGTATTTATCGAAGGACTATAACAACTAGGTTAATGTGATTTAAATGCAAAAATCAATTAGTTATCAAGTTTTTTAACTACATTTTCAGGACCCGATGATCATCAACTTACATGGAAAATATCTGAAGTTGTAGATAATTATTACAATCTTTAGTTGTGGGTATACTGGAAAAGAAAATCCTCTCATATATGGTATAGGTAATTGTACATATTACTTGAACATCTAATATGTTATATTCTAAAATGGAGCAACTGTTACAAAATCCAATTTCTCCCCGGGGTTAGCGTCTTCAAATATTGTGGTTTCAACCGTTTTAATATGAAAAGAGATGAGGAATAGGCGAAAACAACAATACTTTATTCACTTTCTCTCACCACAACATTACATCAATATACACTTACATTTTATTTTTTTAAATACTTTAAGTCGAGAAATGATTATTACATTTATAACAAGAGAGCTTCTGCTTCCTTAAGAGCTTGTTCTATTTCAGCAGCCTCCAGAGAAAAGTCCTCCCGTTCCTGCTTGATATGTTCCAGTGCTTTAGTGACATCTGTCATTATTGATTTGATTCCCTGTGAACGTGTAAAATGAGGAACATTTAAAAACATTTCCTTAAATCTTATGCAACAAATAGCAACGTTAAATGGATCGTTACAAAGGAGTTGACTCACCTCTAGCAGGGGACGTTGCTGGGATGCAGAGTCTCTGAACACTTTCAATTCATTCAGCAGGTTCGTGGATACACTCTGAAAAGGAGACATCGAAATGTGTGTTTACTAGATGGCACTGCGGATGATAACCTACATTCTGTAACCTTTTAATGTAGGATAAAAGTATAGTGCCAATTTCAATTATTTAATTGGTTAAACGTTCTCACTTTTCTTTAATTGTGTGTTTTTTTGTGGCATATAACTAACTAGTATATATATATATTAAAGGTCCCCTATTATACTGTTTTTCAATATATTATAGGTCTCGGATATATACAAAACATGTCTCTGAAGTGTTTGGCTCCAAATACCAAACAGATCATTGCAGCATCCCATAATCCCCTCTGTTTCAGCCCCGTTTCAAAAGTGCTGATTCTGGGTCTGTTACTTTAGATGAAAATAAGGAGCCCCTCCCCACGCCCCTCTGAGAGAGATTTGGTTCAAAAGAACACAATGGTGCTGTAGGAGGAGATTCAGGTGATAACGTGGGGGGGGGGGGGGGGGGGGGGGGGGGGGGGGTTACCTTGGTTGGTGATTGGCTAATGGTTACACAAACCAAACATTTTTTATGACATCATAAAGTGGCCAAAATCTGATCAGCTCATTTTCAGACAGGTTTTTATATAAATGGATCAGGACAAAAAGAGAGGGGGTCTTTGTTCCTGAAACTTTCAGAATCTCTTTCCACAGAGGGGACACATGTTGATGTATAAGAGACATGAAAAAGTAGATTTTGCATAATAGGTGACCTTTAATGTTTTTTGTGTGAGTTTGATAAAGCATATGACAAAAAAAAAATGACTGTACCTATATGCAAACTGAAATAAAATAAACGTACCATAACTTCTTTTCTTTGATCATCATTTTGTCGTGCAGCTTCTCCAACTCTTTCTCCTACAACTAAGGAGATCTTATGTTATTTTCTATCAAGCTCAACACAAATGAAGATAAACACATTTGAAAATAAGGAATACATTTTTACCTGGGTCGATGTTGGCTGCGACTAGGAGGACATGACAGTCCCTCAGGTTTTTCTGTACTTCCACATTCTCCTTGTCAATGTCACTGTACTGCAGCTCCAACTCAGCTACTCTTTGCTGAAATATAACAAGGAAAGAAAAGCTGTACATCTGAAAGGAAAACAGAAGAGAAAAATGCCACAAGAATATACAGCCCAAAGTACTCTGTTAAATGTGTCTCCTGCACCTGTGTCTCCGAGAGGTTTTTCTGCAGCTCCTCATTGGTAGCCATCAGATGCTGGTTCTGCTCCTTGAGCCCTGACTGTTGCCCATACCTAGTGGATAACCTACAGACAGGGCAGGTGCATCCAAAAGTTGAAAATAAATAAGGGTTGACGCTCACTGCATTTTCAGGATATAACATATAATGCATGACTTACCCTTTGGGAGCAACATTTTTCCTGGAAGACATAAGTGAAAACAAGATATTCAATAGCTTTTAAGCAGACATGTTGAGCCTGGCAGGTAAGAATGGGTTTGCTTTGAATGATGACAAAGAGATGAAAGGAAAATGATAGTTGTTACGTGGCGCAGTCGGTGCTTGTGTGTGTGCGCTTGTGTGTGTGTCTCTCTCTGTGTCTCCAGGTGCAGCCTCTCCCCCAGGTGCTCCCAATCCCCAATCAGGGCCTCCTTAAAGGACCTGAGGAAGGCTGCAGGGGCCTCTCTCCTTCTCCTCTGGCTGCATGTGTGCTGCATGTGTGAGTCATGTGTTCTTGTGAATTGTTAGATGTGCTCCAGTTTACCTGTTACCTTTATTTTAGTTTGCAAGTTGGCTGGTGAGCCCTTTTTCTTGTCCATTAAAACATCACTTTGTGGCTTCAGTAGACAGTTTCCTCCCCTTTTTCTCTCGCCCGGTTATTTTGGTGTTTTGTTACTTCCCTTTGTACCCCTAGTTAGGAGGGAACGTAACAATAGTATAGTGCATCAAGGTTTCTCTGAATGGAGCACTCACTCACTTTACAATAAGGATGTTTATACTTTGTACTTCATTCTAGGTTTCTTCCGTTCATCCCTTTGCCTTTTGGGAGCAAGGTTTAAGGCTAAAAATATTTGATTTGAGACTCCCTGACTGTCGTGTGTTACTTCAAATTGAGTACTGGTGGCAAAAGGTCTGTGTAGAGTTTTTTTTTGTTTTTTAATTCATATTTATCAGCTTGTTGAGTGTTGTCGGATTTGTAGGAGGTTTATCCCAGAGTTAACCAACATCTTCTAAGTCGTGACATGAACAGTTTTTACGCTTGAAGATTAGAAATCAGCAATTTCTTACCTTGTCCCGTTGTCACCAGTTTTCTTTGTTTCTGCAGTGAGCTGCACACCTGGAAAACACAAGGTTAAAAATCAGCTGTTAAAATATACAATTACAATATTTAAAATATACATGCCATCAAAGTGCAAAAAAAAGCTTATTTTGCTTACCTCTTGGAATCTTTGAAGACATTGTGCTTTATCGTTTTCCAATTAATACGATGCCGGTCAGGACAAAGGCCTGTATGAAGAAAAAATCTGATTAAGTTATTCCTGGAAATCTTCACTGATCCAGCAGTTTACCTAAAACTACAGTATAATGTTTGCATACATGTATTCTTACTATTCAATAGGTTCATCTTGGATTACAATAACAGATTACATACAGTATAAGTGGATAACATGCCCTATATATTCGCTATCATGCGGAACATACAACTGTAGGTATTTTTTATGGAGTTTGGTGCGATTCTCCTAATATTCGGTGACGATTTAAGAAAAATAACATATCAAGAATCTAGTTAGCTAAGATTATGTGCTGGTTAAGAATTGAACATAGCTAACACATACAAATATATGTTATACGTTGAAATAACACAACAACAACGCCTACCTTTATCGATATGAAAAATGTGAGATTTGTCAACAGTCACAACTGCACGTATTTGAAAACGTCCCGCCCTAAATAGTCACTCTCACTTCCGTTTTGATTCTTCTTCTTCTCTTTTTAATGGCGGATCGCAAACATCTTTTGGTTGCATACCGCCACCTACTGTACACGAGTGTGTATCATCATGTCATTCCTCTAATAAACCAGCATATCGAAAACATAAAACTAAGAAACCATAAAATAAATAAAACAAAACAAAAACAAAAAACAAATCATCCATGATCTATTCTAACCTACTGTTAGATTATGTTCCCTGTCCCAGTTTCCCTCAAAAAGGTGAACAGTGCCTTTCTGGTAGCTCTTACTCCTTCTCCTTCTGTTCCCAGAATACCAGCTACATTCCACTCCCTCTCTGCCTCTAAAACTTTATCCCTTAATTTTCCTCTTTCAACTCTATAGGTGACACAATGTAACAAAATATGTTCCACATTTTCCCTAACTCCACAGTTCCCACACTTGTCACTGTCACTTTTCCCCATGACATACAGCGTACCATTCAATGCAGTGTGATTTAGTCTGAGCCTAGCTATCATGATTTCCTCCCTTCTATTTCTTTCTTTATAAATATGAATTGTAATTGTCTTTTGCACTTGATGATACTCTTTGCCTTTCTGGTCTTTCTCCCACCTTTTCTGCCAGATCTCCATCCCTTTCTTCTTAATTACTGCTTTTCCTTCTCCTTTTCCAAGTTTAACTGGTAATGTGATTTCCTTTTGTAGTGCACTTTTTGCTAATCTATCAGCACAATCGTTCCCTTTCACCCCCTCATGAGCAGGCACCCAGCAGAACTGCAGATCTATGCCGCTTCTGTGAAGTCTTAACAGGCTGTGATTGATTTCTATGAGTATGTCTTCTCTGGCAGTTGTTGTTGACTGTATGCTTTGTAAACTGGATAATGAATCTGTGCATATCACCACCCTATCTGGTCTGACCTCTTCCACCCACTGTAATCCTATTACTACTGCCAGCATTTCTGCTGTATACACTGAATTCCGTTTTGATTACGTGATATCCTGTACAAAACCCCGTATTTTTTACAATTTTTTTATTTTTAAAAAGTGTGGTATTTCTTTATTCAAATAAACTATATGTGAGAATAGAGTACTTTAGAGTACTTTCAGAAATAATTAGCGAAATAAATTTAAAAAACGTAACAGAAAGAGATAGTGTAGCCTACTTTGTTGTTCAATTTGTGCGGGTTCCAGCGCATGTGGGTATTAGAGGGAATGAGGTAGTGGATCAACTGGCAAAATGTGGTTTGAAAGCAAACCAGATTGATATTATGGTACCCATCAGTAGAGCAGAAGTCAAATCTGTTACAAAAGTTGTTATCAAGCAACAATGGCAAAAACTATGGGACAGTAACACTAAAGGAAGACATTTATACCAGATACGGGAAGTAGGAACGGGAAGTACTTGGGGGAGTAGTAGAAGAGCATTAACAGCAGGATACAATTGGGTCACTCTGGATTAAATTCAACAATGCATCTGATTGGAAAACATCCAAATGGCAATTGTGATGGTTGCCAACAACCAGAGACAATACATCATGTAATTTTTAGCTGCCTGGATTATAACAGACAAAGACTCATTCTGAAAACTGCACTGGAACAACTCAACATCAAGGACATGGATTTCAAGTCAATATACGAAAGTAAATCAAGAAATGAAGCAAACAAGCTGGTCTTCAAATTCCTCAAAAGCACTAGTCTGAGGACAATGATTTAATATGAACATTTAATAAATCAACAGTAGGTGGCGATATATGCTCCAAGTGGAAGCGATTCGCCATTAAAGAAAAGAAGAAGAAGAAGAAGAAGAAGAAGAAGAAGAAGTACTGCGCAGGCGCCGAGGCGCGGAGGCGGCTACATTCAAAGTTTCAAACTGAAGACGTTAGCATCGAGGCTCGTTGACTTTAGCAGCTAAAGATAATGATAACCGTTTTAAGTAATGAGAAAGGGATAAAACAACACTATCCGTTTTAAAACAGCAGGAATACGCTCAGAACAACTACAAGGTATGAATTGTGGTGTATTGTTTTGTTGTTCATGTGGTTTTCGTCATATTGGCAGACAAACAGACGTTAGCGTTAAATACCGTAGTAGCTTTAACGTTACACTAAAATCAATGTGTTATCTTTGCTAGCGAGGTGTTCAATCATCCATTTGTCTTGTGTATTAAATGCAGAAAAATGCGAACTTATTAGCCTAAGTATTTGGGGGATAATATGTTTTGTTGAACGACGCTGAAGTTGGCTTCCGATTCAGAGCTTCCGATTCGGCAGTTAAGAGACATTTAATTTACAGCGCTGAGCGAACAATCCTCCGTGTTTGAACCTCTTAAATCGCTGCATAGCCGATTTATTGGGACTGGATTATCCCAGAGAGTCTAAAGATTCTTTATAACACAGTTTGAGATTTGTGAAACCTTAATTCTATTTGTGAAAATACAAAAACGGAAGATTTTGCTGCTTTTTTTTTACATCTAGACCACATAAGACCAGGTCCTGATCTAAAACCACTATACCTAGTAGGGCTGTGCAATTCATCGTATTTTAATCGCAATTACGATTTTGGCCTGCCACAATTACGAAAACAACATAATCGAAAAAACCGATTATTTTGCTTTGCTAGGTTGTGACAGTGCACTGCAACATATTTGATCAAATGTATTTGTATTTATCATATTTATATATGTTTAGTAGCTTGTTGAAGTGCGCTCCAAAATATTTGTTGATCTTGTTTATTGGTATTTATTATTTTGATATTATTTATTTAAATGTAGATATAAATGTATCATTTATTTTATTTATTTTTGTATTGGTTTTTCAGTTGAATTATATGTTCAGGGAAATCAACAGTTAAAAAGATACTGTTCAAATGATTATTTGTATTTAAAAGTTCAATAAATGGATGTTTTCAAAGTCAATGAATAATCGTATTTAATAATCGTGATATCAATTATTGACCAAAATAATCGTGATTATGATTTTTGCCATAATCGCACAGCCCTAATACCTAGACTCATCAAATCTGGACTGGATTATCCCAGAGAGTCTAAAGATTCTTTATAACACAGTTTGAGATTTGTGAAACCTTAATTCTATTTGTGAAAAGGAAAAAAAGGGAGATTTCAGTGCTTTTTTCGCATCTTGACCACATTGGACCAGGTCCTAATCTAAAACCACTATACCTAGACTCATCAAATCTGGACTGGATTATCCCAGAGAGGCTAAACATTCTTTAAAACACAGTTTTAGATTTGTGAAACCATTATTCTATTTGTGAAAATGAAAAAAGGGAGATTTCAGTGCTTTTTTTCGCAACTTGACCACATTGGACCAGGTCCTAATCTAAAACCACTATACCTAGACTCATCAAATCTGGACTGGATTATCCCAGAGAGTCTAAAGATTCTTTATAACACAGTTTGAGATTTGTGAAACCTTAATTCTATTTGTGAAAATGAAAAAAAGGGAGATTTCAGTGCTTTTTTCGCATCTTGACCACATTGGACCAGGTCCTAATCTAAAACCACTATACCTAGACTCATCAAATCTGGACTGGATTATCCCAGAGAGGCTAAACATTCTTTAAAACACCGTTTTAGATTTGTGAAACCATTATTCTATTTGTGAAAATGAAAAAAGGGAGATTTCAGTGCTTTTTTTCGCAACTTGACCACATTGGACCAGGTCCTAATCTAAAACCACTATACCTAGACTCATCAAATCTGGACTGGATTATCCCAGAGAGTCTAAAGATTCTTTATAACACAGGTTGAGATTTGTGAAACCTTAATTCTATTTGTGAAAATACAAAAAAGGGAGATTTCAGTGCTTTTTTCGCATTGTCTTGTCTTCCCCTGTGCTCCATGTTTGTTCGTCGTCGTTTCTCATCTATGATACCTGTTAGTCTCTTTGCTCTTGTCCATGCTACCTGTCACGCTCCATGTTTGTTCCTGAGGTTTTTTGTCCTGATCCTTCCTCGCACTCCCCCGGTTTTGGTATGTTAAGTTGTTCCTTGTTTTCTTTCATTCAGCTTTGGGAAATAAAGCTCGCTTTTTGTTACCTGACCTTTTAGTCCTTTTACTGCATTTGGGTCCTATTTTTCCCGAACCCTGACACTGAGTCTGCTTCAAATTAACTTATTATCCTCACTGGATCATTTTATTAAAGTTAAAGCAAAACTTACTAAAGCATTCTAACTGTTTATGCTTTAACAGCAATTAATAAATGATCCAGTCATAAATAATTTGCACCGCGTTGCTATGAGACACCACAGCGTGTTCTCAGTGTTCTGCTCATGCTGCTTTGCTTTTGGCTAACTGTTTTTGTTGTTCTGCTTTATGATTGTAATGCATGACTGTGCCAACATGTGTCTCCTCCTCCCTGCTCTTGTTTGTAGGCTGCACCTGCTTTTCAGGAGACCAGGCCTCGCAATTATCTTCTTTCTGCCAGTGCATCAGCGGTAAGAGTCCATCACAAACTGCAGGGTCTGTCACCCAGCAGGAGCTAGGCTAACATGCTAACAGGCACAGAGCCTTAGAACACCACATACTCCAAAAAACAGATGATGTAGCTCACATCAGGGCACAGAGCTGCTGCAGCCTCACCTGACCCAGCAGCTCGTTGGCTAAAGCTATTGAATGTTGTGTCTGAAGCATCCTGAGGCCACAGTGGCTTCAGAACATGTATATAGTCTATCTTAAAAAACATCTTGAATTTATTTGTAGAAAGTTTGTTTGTTATTTAACATGTATGGAGACCTTTTTTAGTTTCATACATTTTCAAAAATACATTGTTAGAATTTCTAAAAAGTACTCAAACCACTAAAATAATGTAAATGAAGCAAAAGGCTCCTGAAATCCTTTCACATGTACTCACCAGTGTAACGCTGCCTTGCTGGGGTCCCAGTATATTTAAACTGCATGGGATGACGGCTACTAATGAGCACGGCACATGATATATATTTGGAATGCTTTATGGATTGAAGTGGGGGCTGCACTTTGAATTCTTAAACAAGTTATGCTTGTCAGACTGTGGCATGACCTTTGCAACACAAATATAATAAAGTGAGCATGTTTAGCAAGTTTTGATATTGTTGCATGCTGTTTATACTCTTTTTGACATAGAAAAACTATGATTACTAATGTACATATAGCTTTACACTGGTATGATCTGGAACTGTGACAGGCTCTGAAAGACTCCAATCCACTGCCGTAGTTGCACTTATAAAGGGAAACAATGGCCTTAATGAGTCTAACTGGTCACAAAAACCAAACATTTTTAGATTTTTAGGGTTTTAGATCAGGACCTGGTCCAATGTGGTCAAGATGCGAAAAAAGCACTGAAATCTCCCTTTTTTTGTATTTTCACAAATAGAATAATGGTTTCACAAATCTAAAACGGTGTTATAAAGAATGTTTAGCCTCTCTGGGATAATTCAGTCCAGGTTTGATGAGTCTAGGTATAGTGGTTTTAGATCAGGACCTGGTCTTATGTGGTCTAGATGCAAAAAAAGCAGCAAAATCTTCCTTTTTTTGTATTTTCACAAATAGAATTAAGGTTTCACAAATCTCAAACTGTGTTATAAAGAATCTTTAGACTCTCTGGGTTAATCCAGTCCCAATAAATCGGCTATGCAGCGATTTAAGAGGTTCAAACACGGAGGATTGTTCGCTCAGCGCTGTAAATTAAATGTCTCTTAACTGCCGAATCGGAAGCTCTGAATCGGAAGCCATCTTCAGCGTCATTTTTGACGACAAGGGGGGAATCCATAGAGGTGGAAGAAGTATTCGGATCTTGTACTTAAGTATAAGTACCAGAATGTATTGTAGGAATACTCTGTTACATGTAAAAGTCCTGCATTTAAAATGTTACTCAAGAAAGAGTAAAAAGTATTAGCATCAACATATACCAAAAGTACTCATTATGCAGATTTGCCCATTTCAGAATAATATATATCATATGTTTTTTTTATTATAACTATTGATGTGTTTATGTGCTACCAAAGCTGGTAAAGGCGAAATAATACAATTGCAATACTCAAGTAAAGTCCCTCAGAATTGTAATTAATTGCAGTACTTGAGTAAATCTACTTGTTTATAGGTGCAATTTAATATCATATGTCAAGTTGGATTATAAAGGCTAAATCCTTATACAGCTAACGACTCACTTATAATATGATATTTTTGGGGTTGTTAATGTAATGCTCAAGCTAAAGATAAAGTCAGGCTCACCGATAATGCCATGTCTTATCAACTTAAATGTGATCATACACTGCAGAAGCTGTGTTTCCTGTATCAAGCTCTGTCTTTATCTCTTCCCAGTTGAAAATGGAGCCTCTGGATCCTGACAGAAATGAGTGAGTAGTCGTAGTATTTTCTGTCCAAACCTCAAAGCAACCGCCCACAGACAACCTAATTATCTTGCATTAACGATTAACTCATCATTATATACACCAGGGCTGAGGCTGTGTTTCATGTATTGTGTTTCAGGGGAGGCAGTGGATTCTCTAAGCGCCGCATTTCTTCGGTCAGTGCTACAAAACATTTGTATTGACAGACTATACATAATTTGACTTCTTATGTGAGAAAACCATTAGCCTAAAGTTTAACCATGACATTTGCAATATCTCCTTTTTAGATTTTAAAAGCACCACGAAGATCGATGAGACATTCTGACCCACAGCAACAAGAAATTGTGGTAACTGGATTACTTGATTACAAATGTTACCTGAGTGTTGGGAATTTGTATTGTAATTAAATGTATTTTTAAACCATTATATATTTATGAAATATAAATTCTGAACCAATCAAGGATTCAGTTTAGTGTTATTAACATTGTTTATGGCCTTATCTTTACATTATATATATTTTTTCACTAAGGTGGAGTGTCCCAAACCAGTCGAAAAGAGGGTTTCGAGAAGAGTCAGTTTTGCCCCTGCCAATGGTGTTCTCCTGTTTTCAAGGTGAGATACTAAAATGAAGGTAGTCTTGATTTTCTACAGACACAGGAATGTTCTCCTAACCAATATATTTTTTTACAGGGATGAAAAAAATGACTCTCCTGTTCGAAGTCCTTTACAAGAGTTAATACCAACATGTAAGTATAAAGTGTAGCGTGTATAAGTATGTGCATTTAAAAAAAAAAAAAAATGTTAACACCCATTTCATCTTTGTCTTGTGTTACTCCACAGCAGCAGCAGCCACACAAAATAGGTAAGGTGTCTTGATCGTTTGAAGCACTACCTATTCTGTGGTTCATCTTGTTACTGTCACAAAACATTGATTTTAGATGCTAATGTTTGACCTACAGTCACACCAAACCAATACAATGTATTGTATAACCAACACAAGTGTGTTCTCTTTCATAAGGGTCCAGTTGGCAAGCACTGAAGATAGCAAACAACACATTTTGGGTGAGAATATTAACTTTTAAACTCAAAAAAAATATTTCCAAATGCTCACATTATCTCTTATAGTGTAAAATGACTATTACTACATTTCAACTCTTCAATTTTAGGGATGGAAACCCTATTGAATGCCCCTCTGCATGCTTTTCAACAAACGGATGAGGTGAGCCTGAAGTCACTTTGCTGGGAATGGTTCAATTGCTTTGTAATGATTATATGTGGGAGGCGTGTGGCGCAGTGGACTAGTGCGTTGGTGTTCGGATCAGGGGAGCACAGGTTCAAACTAGGGATGGGAACAATTAATCGAATATTCAAAATTATTCAGGTATTCGAATATGAGAATATTTTTTTTGGGAGGGGTGCCTAAGTTGATTACATATTATCAAATGGAATAATTCAATGTATACGACAGTGCCATAGCTAAATGTGTTAGGTCTAAAGGTGTGTTTTGCTCCGCTCACCAGTCCCTCACAGCGGGCAGAGCTGCAGGTGCTGATCTCTCTCTCTCTCGTGTCCGGTTATACTTCACTCGCGTTTATGTCCAAATCCATCAGATCTAGCTTGTTCTAGCTAATGATATGGCTGCTGCCCCTCCCTACACGCAGATCACACAGACTCAAACCTCATCTTATGCCCAAATTCCAGCTGAGAGGGTCTTCTCTACAGCTGGCCTGATTGTGAATCGCCTCCGCACCCGCCTCTCCCCTGAGTAGACATGCTCATATTCTTAAACAAGAATGAGTATTGAATAGCTGCATTCTGTGCATAGGCCCTGTTACAGGTTGTTGATCTCTGTTGTGATAGGGTTACGTTACCCTAACCCGTTATGTTGTTCGTGTATGATCCCTCTTTCATTTAAAAACCAAGTTATGTTTTAAGCATGAAAGCTGTAGGCCTATAGCTGTCAACTGTTCAAACTGTGATCATCAGTTCAATACATTTGACAAATTCGACTTGGTTTCTATACTTATTTGAACATGTATTTATTTATTTTTCTAAATTTAAATGTTTTTCTTTTTTTTTGTAAATATTTTTCTCACTTTTTTATTTTATTTTATAGCATATGTACATTTCGGTTAATCGGTTAACCGTTTTTTTGGGGGTCGAATATTCGAATATACATTTGCTTTCAAATTCCCATCCCTAGTTCAAACCCCACTGCAGCCAGCATGTCGTTGTGTCCCTGGGCAAGGCACTTCACCCCAAATTGCTCCTGTGGGGATTGCCCACAGTATTGAGTATGTAAGTCGCTTTGGATAAAAGCGTCTAACAATTGACATGTAATGTAATTTTATATATATTATAATATATATATATATATTATATAATATAATATAATATAATATAATATATATATATATATATATATATATATATATATATATATATATATATATATATTATAATATATATAAAATTACATTACATGTCAATTGTATATTATAATGGTAATCAGGATTTCATGAGAAACTTGATATTTTTAACAAACATTCATTGAGCTAAAGCTACTTATCTTCACCAGGTCAACTTTGAGATGGACTTGATGGAGAAAACGATATTATTCTCGGATAATGCATTCATGGACATGACCCGGAGTCACACTATAAACATCGCCTGTGATGCAGAATTACTCGAAAATATTCCCCACCAAAACTATGATGTTTTACCCGCTAGAGGAGAGAAAACCTTCATGTTCGGTGCACGTGGTGCCTCTAGGGATATGACCCCAAGTGTTCCTGCTTTACTACCCACAAGCATTAACTTTAATTCAAGTGTAGAGAAGAGCAACATATCTTCAGCAATGCCTTTGTTGCATCCTGGATATGAAAACTTCCACGCAAACCTCTCTAAAATATCGGGCCCCAGCGTTAACCCTTTGACCACCAGAACCACGCCCGCTGCTGGTACATCCTCCGAAAAAGGAAACATCTCCATGGCCCAGATGAAAACAGTTTGTGTGGAGGAAGAAAATCGGGTTCCAACTTCAGCTGTGAAAAAGAAGTCTCTAAATACATCCAGAAAGATTGGTGACTTTTCTAATGGCAGTGCAATCTCTCCACAAGATGATATAAGCATGGATATGACTGAAGCTCAGACAGGCCGCATCCTGCGATCTACTGATGATGATGATCCCTTTCAGTGTTTTTTTCCCACGCAAGAAATGTACTCCCAACTCGAGAACAGAGTGCCACAGACAGCAGGGAAGACCAAACAGCAGCCAATCAGCAAAACACCGGCATCATTCAACCCTAAAGGTATTGCATTTCATATCAACTAAATAACTAAATGATTATTCAACTTAATGTTCCAACACTAATGTATTTCTTGCTTGTATTTGGTGTCTAGTTTGTCTTCATTATGCTGGTGTTATTTCACTACTTATAATTGAATATAGTCTAAACGGCATCTTATTTTATTTCAAATTTAGATATGATATCCGGGAGGAATCGTTCTATGCCGGCTCAGAGACACAGGGTGAGTTCATTATTATTTTTTACTGTGCTGTTACAGTGAATTTCCTATCTTTAAAGGTAGGGTAGGTAAGTTTGAGAAACCGGCTCGAGATCGCTAGAATTTGAAAATACACAACCGGAGAAAATCTGCCACTTCCTTACAGAGCCCCTCCTCCAACACACACGAACGCGCACATGACCAATGAGGGCACGAGATAAGTTTGTGCACAGATGGAAGGCTGACAGGCAGGTAGGCCATCCAGTTATTTTAGCCGGGCCGGCTCAGATGATTGGTCGTGCTTTTTACAGTACTACGGCTTCCACAGATGAAATTGTTTTATGGATTTTTTGTCAAAGCACTTAAGATATTCATTGCTATCGGGATGTTAAGAGCATTCCATGGAATATAACAAAAAGTGTATCTCGAGCCGGTTTCTCAAACTTACCTACCCTACCTTTAAGTCTGAAAGTCTTTCATGCCAAACAGAAATGAAATGAAACGTGTTATAGTAATTGATTGTATAATAATAGTATTGTTTTCACAACATTGTTTTAACACTTGTTTGTGTCTTTTCTTCTTCAGGTCACCCTTGATACTAAAGATGAATGCAGAGATAAAACCATAATGTTCGCTGCAAGCGACGAGTTTATGAATATGACTCCGAGTCACCCGGTCAACATTGCCAGTGGTTCATTGGCTCATCAAAAACAAAACATGGAGAGATCTCCCCCTGACAGTGCTTCATCTATGGACGAGAGGAAACGGGAAAATACTGGTGTGCCTGGCTCGTCTGCAAATGCTGTGGATCTTGGATTTAAAAACTTCCCTTCAAGTGTCTCTAAAGTTGGCACCCCCAGTGATAATCCAGCAATTGCTAGAATGGTACTTTCCTCTGCAGCATCCTCTAGGGAAACTGTCAAAGCAAACAGCTCCCTCTCCGAGCGTAAAAGTTATGTTGGTAAAGAGAATCAGTCACAAATGACATCTAGGAGCTTTGGAAAATCATTTAATGGAGGTACAATCTGTGCTGAAAATGACGGAAGCATGGATATGACTGAAGCTCAGACCGGCCACATTACAGGACCCACGGGATCAGATGAGCCTTTCCAGTTTATTTTTCCTATGTACACCAACAGTGAAAGTGTGAAGAAACGAGAGATGACTTCAGGAGCGAAGAAAAGCAAAGTGCTAGGATCTTCTGACCGCACAGGTATGGAAACTACAAACCTTTCCCCCTACATTTGTGAGAAAGAAACCAAAACAAGACCTTGAGATATAAAAATGCTAATGAAAATTGTAACATTTTAACCAATTTTGATTGTGGTAATGTGAATGGTGATGTGAATCAAAATGGCTTTGGGTTTACTAACTTACATTTTATTTAATTTTCTATCTCCACATATTAGGTATGGAAACCGAAAGAAATCCGGTAAGCTTAAAATCAATTACTTTTTTAGTTTTCCTGTGCATTAACTTTATGCAAAATGAATTGTATACAGCAACTTTGTATGAATTATTAAGTTACATTTTATAGAGCTGTATATCTTTATGTGGTTATATTTTGATTCAGCTGAAATAAACTAATTCCTTAAGTTTTGCAGAATCGCAGTAAATGCACTTTTTAATGTTATTTGAAGGTCGATGTTTTCTATGACTGACCACTTACAGTTATTGTTGTTTTCTCCACACACAGGTCAAATTTGATAACAAAGAGAAAACAGTCAGGTTCAATGCTGACGATGCCTGGATGGATTTGACAAGAAGTCACACGGCAAAAATTGACACCAATATACAACTACAGTCACAACCAAATGTGGACTTCCTTCCGGCCCGTGGAGAGAAAACTGTGAGGTTCAATGCTGACGATGCCTGGATGGATTTGACAAGAAGTCACACGGCAAAAATTGACACCAATATACAACTACAGTCACAACCAAATGTGGACTTCCTTCTGGCCTGTGGAGAGAAAACTGTGAGGTTCAATGCTGACGATGCCTGTATGGATTTGACAAGAAGTCACACGGCAAAAATTGACACCAATATACAACTACAGTCACAACCAAATGTGGATTTTTTACCGGCCTGTGGAGAGAAAACTGTCAGGTTCAATGCTGACGATGCCTGTATGGATATGACAAGAAGTCACACGGCAAAAATTGACACCAATATACAACTACAGTCACAACCAAATGTGGATTTTTTACCGGCCTGTGGAGAGAAAACTGTGAGGTTCAATGCTGACGATGCCTGTATGGATATGACAAGAAGTCACACGGCAAAAATTGACACCAATATACAACTACAGTCACAACCAAATGTGGATTTTTTACCGGCCTGTGGAGAGAAAACTGTGAGGTTCAATGCTGACGATGCCTGTATGGATGTGACAAGAAGTCACACGGCAAACATTGACACCAATATACAACTACTGTCACAACCAAATGTGGACTTCCTTCCGGCCTGTGGAGAGAAAACTGTGAGGTTCAATGCTGACGATGCCTGTATGGAGGTGACAAGAAGTCACACGGCAAAAATTGACACCAACATACAACTGCAGCCACAACCAAATCTGGATTTTTTACCGGCCTGTGGAGAGAAATCTGTCAGGTTCAATGCTGACGATGCCTGTATGGATGTGACGCGAAGCCACAGTGTAAATATTGCTACAGATTTAAAACAGCAGCCACACAACAATGTGGACTTCTTACCAGCTTGTGTGCAGAAAACAATGAGGTTCAGTGCAAATGATGCAGCTAAAGATGTGACAAGAAGTCGCACTGTAAACATTTCCACTGATTTTGAACCAAAGTCTTACCAAAATGTGGAAAGTCTACCTGCTTGTGGAGAAAAAACTGTCAAGTTCAATGCCACTGATGCGGCTATGGATGTGACCGAGTTCCTTGCTGTAAACATTGCCAGCAATTCAGAATCAGATCCACATCTTCCACACAGAGAATCTAACATATTATCCACCAATGAAAACAGTGATTTCCCTTTATCTGCAAAGAAGACGCAGCGACCGCTTAGAAACCGATCTGCACACGTTTTGGATAACGGATTTAAAAACACCCTGTCCATTAAAAGTGGTGCTAATGCCGTGAACACCGGAGAAGTGGCTGCTGCTGCAGGCCTTCAAGAAACTGTCAACACAAATGGCCCACTTGGAAAACAGAAGCCCAATGTGGATACTGAAAATGAAGCTCCAGGGTACATTTCAGCTTTAATGGAGAAGCCGGTAAACAAAACCATGACAGAAGATCCACAGGACGATGTAAGCATGGATATGACTGAAGCTCAAACGCGTAGCATTCTGGGACAAACATGTACAGATGAGCCACCTCAATGCCCCCAGATCAATGAAGCACTAGGATCATCCAACTCTGATGGTCTGGAAATCATAAACCTTCCCGATTCTCTAGACTCAAAAGAAACGTACAACTGGAAGGAACCTGAACCAATAAATCAAACGTGTACTTTACCACAGAAGATGGAGAGTAATCCTGGTGCCGTTGTTGACGCTGCGCCTTCACGGAAGTCTAGACGATTTAGTTTAGCCGATATTCAGTCAAAAGTGAGGCGTTTAAGCCACATGATGAACACAGCTCCTGATACTATCGCCTTGGACAGCTGCACAGCACCTGTGCCTGGACTGGAAAGCGAAATGGACCAAAACTCAATGGACAAAACAACATCCCTACCTGTAACAGAGCCTGAACATGAAATGGGTTTACTAAATACAGAAGAAAATCCACAAGCTCAATGTCTTACGCAAGAAGAACCCTACCCTACTACCCCTTACAACTTGAAGACTAAACAACTGATGTCCAGACTCTCAGTAGGAGGCTTTAAGGCAAAACTCCCGCAAAGAAACAAACCCGATCAAAAAAAGGAGTCTTCTGCGGGAGAACATACAAGGACAGTGAATGTTACTAATCAACTGAGCAACTTCGACGATGATGTGAGCGATATCTTCGACGAGGAGCTTGGAAGCTTTGAAGATGTGTCAGAAACACTGGACATGAGTCCCCCGAAAGCCACAGAAAAAGAGAGTGCTACCCAGGACTTATACATGGAAGAGCTTTTACAGGACAACTTATTTCAACAGGACTTGAGCAGCAGCGTAAAGAGCAAAAAGAGACCTTTGCCAGAGGAGGAAAATAACACACGGGATGAGAAGAGATGGATGGCATACAATGAGGCAGCCACTGAGGGTGAAAAGGTATGTCAAATTAGAGTACTGTCAAGTCTCAAGTAATGGATGGGATCTTTATTAAGCCTTAAAGGATTGCTTCACCCCCAAAATAATCGCCAATTACTCACCCTTTGTTAGCTTGACCTTGTGAAGAAAACTTTCTTACATGCCTCCATTATGAAATACAACTTTGAAAACGTATACAACTCTCATTGAATTAAAGAAATTAGGTGTCGCTTAGAACAAACGATCATTTTGGGAGATGAGGTATTCTCTTAAATCCTTATCATTCATTTTTATATAGAATATCAAACTTCTTTCTTAAACATAAAGGAATTTGTATTCCCTACTTTTTTTTCAGGTTTTGTTCATTTTGCCCTTTTATTAATTGCTATTTTGAATTGCAACCCCTTCTTTGCTGTTTTGACACATTAAAGGCCTTCTATTGAGTCAAAATACATAATTTTGGCTTTTAATTTTGTAACAACTGTAGGTAGTGATGGTTTCATTACAGTAGATTGAGTATGACATGACTGTTGTCCTGATAGGATTATAGTTTATTAGATTATAGAATTGTATTATCCTGAATGTAATGGTAATGGTGATTTACTTCTCTTTGCTTAAGTACTATTGAGAATTAATAGCCTATTATATTGTAGTTTTTTGTCATAGAGATTCCTAATTTGTTTTATTGGTTGCCAGGGATTACAGTCTGAAGTTGAGGAGTGTGACGGCAACATTACTGCAGCTCCGAGCATGACGGCATACACCACAGATTACGCCACCAGCAGTCACACAGCCAGCACGAGATGTGAAGCTACTTTTGAATCAAGTACCGGTAAGTTGTTTTGGATTCACGTCATTAAAACCCTTTTTCAACTATGTTTCTTCACAATAAGAATTCTTCTTCTTCGTTCTTTCAGCTTCCAAACAAAGCCTGTTTGAATCACAGCTTGAAGACTACACCATTGAGAGGGTAGGTTGTTGATGTGTTTTAAAACTAGATAGATTTGTTTGAAATATTCGTTTTTACTCGATTATTTATGGTCTACAATGTTTTTTACAGAAATTAGAAGATGGCACCATTACAGTGTCGGAGTTCTTTAAAGTCTTCTACATAGATTTTGTCATTCATTATCATCGAAGGAGCAGCCTCCCTGGCAGAGTAAGTCGATCTTCATTTATTAAAAACATAATATATGTATACAAATATACAACAGCAAAAAATAGAGCCGTCATCTATCGTGTTGTGTTTGCAGCTTCAGTTGGACACAGATCGCACACAGATGGATTTATTGAAGGACAAACACATCAACGGTCCCAAAATGACGGTGTATGAAACAGACGTCCTGAACGTCACAGAGATGGTGGAGGGGTATGTACGCTTAATATTGTATAAAACATTTACAACTGAGATTAATATGTGTAGAAGTTTGACACATTGAGCTTCCCTGAGTGTTCATGTCTTATTTTTTGTCTGCTTTGCCCCCTAAATGCCCTTAAAAAGCAGCATATCTTGTATTGAATTCGATTGTAAATGGCATCGTATGAAGTATGTTGTTCTGTATATATGGGGCTTCTTACATTTCTTTATACATACTGTATTTGATCCGGATAGTGTTTCAAGAAGTTAAATTATGACTGAAGCTCAAACCAAAGCCTGTTGTGTTTTCTCCCCAGGTTGAAGGAGAGGATGCAGGACTTGGACAGACCACTAAAGATTGTTAATCGAGTTTTGTGGGAAGAAGTGAGAAATGCTTCAGAGGAAGAGGTATTACATGCTAACTCCAGTGCATAGGGATGGGTACAGAGCCCCGGTATTAAACGGGCCCAGAGGCTGAATTATTAAAGACCGTGGTACCGTTAAGCTCCGACGTTATAGGTGTTTTTATCAGTACTGGAGACATTTAAAAAATATATGTCATATATATTATTGCTACACAAACATTATATTGTAGTTTTAGTGTCGCCAACTCTGTTTCTAGTCAAAAAGACTGCAAAATGCGTCTATGATTATTTTTAGTATTTTCGATCTTTCCAATCCAGACGAGAGATCTCTCTCTCCCGTCTGTGTGCGAGGGGGCGGGGCAGTTTACACACACGCAGCTGCTACATGCAGCAACACACACACACACGGAGGAGATGGCGGAGAGAACGCGCTCCGAGGTGTGGTTAAACTTTACCCGTCTCGATGTGGACAATGCTCGTTACCAAAAGTGCAATAAGAGTTTAGTATCTAAGGGCGGTAACACGAGCAATTTGTCTAAACATTTAGCAAAAGTGCTCCACATTCAGACGGAGAACTGTCTTTCTAGCTCTGTAGCCCCATCCACGAGTAACGTTTCCACGTCAGGTGTTATGTATGCTAGCAGCAACACACGGAGTTAACTCAATGATACAAACATGGGTTAATGATTAGAGGGAACTGAGGTATTTATGTTGTTAAAGTTTCAGCTATTCTGTTTACAGTTCTGTCATCATATTATTTAATACGATTTGTTAAAACATTGTTGTTTCTTTTGATGTGAAATATTATTTATTTAATTTAAATAAAAAGCAATGTTAGTTTTGTTCACAATTTGTTTAGTTCATTTACCTTATTTTTTTCTCCAAAAGAACCGACAAGAGTACCGTTAAAAGACCGGATCGATAAGCGGTAGTAGTACCGTTAAAACCTTAACGATACCCATCCCTACCAGTGTATTACGTCTATGTTAATACGTTTGTTAATTTTGCACAAAGGCAGTGTAAAAAGGAACCTAATTCCCGTCCTTTTAAAGAGATGCGTGTGATTTTATATTTGGCGATTTTAGCAGATGTCCTTTGCTGTGTGTGTAGATGTAGCATATGATCTTTTTCCTGACCCTCACTGTGTTTGTTTGGATTCACAGCTCAAATCATGGGATGCAAAACTAAAAGAGAGATATAACCTCTTCAGGAAGACGAGCAAAGTTCAGTCGCATGAAATGAAGGAGGTCTTGTACACCGAGCTTGTGCTGGCTAACCTGGTAAGAGCCTTCACACAGAAATACTCAATTTCAACAATCGAATAGTAGAAGCTAATTGCCTTTTATTCATATTTTCAGGAGGAGCAACAGACGTTGAGAGGAACGATTAAGGAAGCAGATGAGATGATAAAGAGTTTGGATGACTGTATTCACGAATTACAAACAGGTAAGGATAGAGTGGCGAAGTCCCTCCCTTTCCGGGGGATCTCCATGGGACCTTATTTCCGAAAAAGTTTGTATTTAAGTCAATTGTGCCACGAATTACACATATGATGTTTGTCAATTTAAAAGATAATTTTTCAAGTCAAAAAATTTTAAATGTGTCGTAAAAATGTGAAGTAACACTTTTTTTTGTGTGAAACCGCTCAATGAACTACATCTCCCGTCTCGCACCACACACCAAGACGGCCGTCACGTTGGCACATTTCACTTCTTTCTTTCAGAATGAGGCTAAGTATTAAAAGAGGTGAAAATCACTCCAAGTCTGGGCATGTTGAGAGCTGTACATACACACAAGGGGAGTTGGTCGGTTCGTAAGAGCCAGCATGCGGGACCGGGATTCTGGGATTTGTAGAGTTTCTAGTTGCGTATTTTTCATAGTCTTATATTTCAACAGTTTTACGACAAACTGTGACTTTTTTGACATGGAAATTATTTTTTAAGATTGACAAACATCATATGTGTAATTCATGGCACAATTCAAACGGGATCGAAAGATAATCTTTCTCTCCCCATTGACTTCAATACATAATTTTTCCGAAATAAGGTCCCATGGGTAGGAAGTAGATGGGCGGGACTTCGCCTCTCTATACTACGGAAACATTTGGTCATGGCTGTGCAGTTCTCCTTGCCTCCTTCTCTGTATACTGGGCAAATTATTCAGTAACTCTTTTTGTTATTCCTGTTTTTAGAACTTGCTGCAGTTGAAGAAAAAGGATTTGAAGACAAACCAAGTCTGAAATCCCTTCAGGAAGGTAACTTTGAATACTACTTTATTTATTCATTTACTTATTGTTGTGTTCTTCAAATGAATATGTTATTAATATTGATTTATTTGACAGATATGCAGGAAGCCACTGAGGCTTTGGCTGACAAAGACCGGTCAGTTGAGAATTTGAATACAAATCTTCCTCATGCCTAAGTTACAGAAAGTTATTTGGTAACTAATTTTATTTTGTTTTGCCACAGACAAATAGCCGAACTGGAGATGCAGAAGAAGCAGAGTTCAAACAAACAGAACAAGCTGAGAACAGAGACGAGGAGACTGGAGAGTCACGTCAGCACGCTTCATCTGTGAGTTTATCATTTTAACTGTTCATTTTTGCTTTCAGAATACACAGCAATAATCTACTTTCAACCACCAAAACCTGCTTTTTTTAAAAAACATTTTCTTTACATCTCTTACCTCAGGTTAAATGAATGGAAGTTTACAGAAAGGAGCGACAACTCCACCATCTACACTTTCCTCCACGAGACCCTTCATCTACAGCTGCTGTTTGAGAAACCCAATGGTGAGTGGTCTTCAACAGAAACCAACGAGTCAATGGTTATTTGTTTTTAAACTGTAGATATGTCAACAAGCTTCTACACAGTGGACAGCATTAGTCCTGTTTCTACAATAATTTACTTTTTTTTCAGGAGCTCATATGCAGGTACAAGTGTTGTTCACCTCCTAAACTATGTATTCTGTTTCCTAGACAGACTTTCACATCACTGATTACGATTAGCGATTTCATTTACAGCAAGTCTCAAGCTCAAGTTCTTTCAAAGACAGGGTGTCCGCGGGGTCTTAAAAAGTATTAAAAGTTGATGAATCAATTTAGCGAAAAATTAAGGCTATTAAAAAATATTAAACGGCATTTCCAAGGTATTACATTTTGTAGCTTGTTTTCAATAAGTATATAAATTGTCCAAAGAGGTTGTATTCTACAGTGTGCCTGAATGTAATCATTGCGTAGGTGTGTAGTGTGATTCTGTGTCGTTTATTTATGGCATCCCGTTGGATTTGACGTCATCTGAACAGCACATCGCACGCTCACTGCTTGATAGCGCGCGAAGGTCCGTTTACGCCGGTTGTTAAACAACATCGTTATGGGGAAATGCAAGTTTGCGTCCAAATGGTTGGAAGATAAGGAGGAAGGACAATCAATACTGTATATAGTAAATGTGAGGTAAAGTGTGTCGCCAATGTAACCGGTTAAAACTCCAAGTGACGATGAGGTCTTAAAATGTATGGAAAGGGTCTTAAAAAAGGTCTTGAAAGGTCTTACATTTGACTTCAGGATTCCTGCATATACCCTGATGAATGATTTGTACCTTTTGTGTTATTTTTGCAGGAAATGATGCTGATAAGTCTGAGAGGAAGATATCACACATCACATTTAATCTTCAACTCGATGGTGAGTAAAAACCAAACAGAAAGTAGCTAGTCATAAAGGGTCATTTACAATAAATTGGCAGAACCTGTGTGATCCAAATTGTGTGCAGACGAATATAACATACATTTTGAGCATGGGGGACGTTTTTGAGACTGGTCATTGGTGTTAACATCAACTGCTCTTTTGTTTTTTACTAGATGAGAAGTCGCAGGACCACGCCCGCCTCGTTCACAAACTGCTCTCTCAGTACGTAGAGGGAAACGCTGACTGTGTGGAGAAGTATCCAACAAGCAGACATGTTCCAACGGTATGTGTGTGTGAAGGGGTTTTGTATTTATCTTGTTTGTGTTCAGACTTTTTTAAGTTTTTCTATTCAGTACACTTGTAGAATTCTGTGTCAAAGTTGTCTCCGTTTGCTTTGGTGAAAATACAATTTTACACGGTTACTCTGAAACCTTACACTGAGGTATTGTCTCCTGTTTTGTGAAGCTGCTGCACGATGTTAGCCTGGTGGTGAGTCGCTGTCGGCTGCTGGGGGAGGAGCTGCGTCTGCTGAACATGTGGGGGAGTATGAGGCTCGATATTCTCAGCATCAGCTGTGTGGACACTCAGTAAGAACTCTTACCCACAAATAATAACCAGTCCTTGCCGTATTGGAAAGAAAATGTATAATAAAAGATGTAAAATCTGTCATTAATGGGTGCGCTAATTTACCATTGTATATACTCAAAGCTACAAACAAGCTAAGCTATCTTTATATAATTAATTTTCTTATTTCCCTTTCTCTAGAGTGCACATTGTCTTCAGCCGTCTCAAGACATTTTCCAAGTTTGAGGTGATCTTCTCGGTCAGTTTGATCGACTGCCACTGTGTCCTTAAAGTGCAGAGCTTCAAGAACATGATCGGAAACACAACGTAAGTTTGACTCAAATACACATTTAGTCGTTTAGACACTTCACCCCAAATTGCTCCTGTGGGGATTGTCCACAGTACCGAATGCATGTAAGTCGCTTTGGATAAAAGCGTCTAACAAATGACATGTAATGTAATCAAAATGAAGTGAGGTTGTGCTTATGGCTTTTTGGGTGGAAGGAAATGCAGCTCTGAATAAAAATGTGTCTGGGGTAGCACAATGATATGTTAGCTAGAATATCTAACCACTTCCTCACAAACAATACTATTTTATGCTTTCATGTTTTTGCAGGATCGAACCGATCGAGGAGATTGTGGCGTCTTTCAGTCCGGCCAAGAACGTCCTGACAAAGATTGTCAAAAAGATTCATGAAACTCTGCTCTGTTGAGACCAGGACGTTCATTCATTCATTCATTAAACTCCTTTGTATAGTATAGATGTCGACAAACTATAAGAAAAAATGTAAATAGTGTACAGTAATTTTTTTCTATTCTCAAGTATTTTTCACTGTATTTCATGTCCCAATTAAGTACTTGTTGACATACATGTCATGGTGTGCCAACGTACACGTTCAAATTGTTAGAATACATTGTTTTGGTTTCTTTAAAACACTTTGTCACAGCTGCCTTGCTAAATGTAGGTTACTCAAGTCATGCTCAAAGGCCGTTTATCTAAATATGTTTGACTTAATTCCTATTTGCTTAGTGATGTGAGCAATTTAAAAGAAACAAATGCACTTCACTGGTCTGAAATAACTTCAGTGCAGTTTCCGGAGTTGCCTCCTACTTTGTTTACTTGTGTACAGCACGTTTCATTTTATCGTAGTTTAGTACTGAACGTACGTTTTGTTCATAATGCTATTACCACAGTTCCTCCAATCTTTTGACAAAAAAAATGAAATGTTTTGTACTTTTTAAAATCTCAAATAAAGGCTTGACAATTAAATGTTTCTTCTTTCTGTCTTTGAAGGTTGTATTTCCAGTCTCACTTAAACAGCCATTTGAAGGAGGACCTGCATGAAGAGCAAATTCACCCTTAGTGTCAAATGCTATACAGTTATTACAGGGTGTCCGCGGGGTCTTAAAAAGTATTAAAAGTTGATAAATCAATTTAGCGAAAATGAAGGCTATTAAAAAGTAATAAACGGCATTTTCCAAGGTATTACATTTTGTAGCTTGTTTTCAATAAGTATATAAATGGTCCAAAGAGGTTGTATTCTACAGTCTGCCTGAATGTAATCATTGCGTAGGTGTGTAGTGTGATTCTGTGTAGTTTATTTATGGCATCCCGTTGGGTTTGACGTCATCTGAACAGGACATCGCACGCTCACTGCTTGATAGTAGTGATGGGAATTATGGCTCTTTGAAGGGAGCCGGATCTTATGGCTCCGTTCCTTTCAAAGAGCCGTTCAAAAGAGCCGTTCAAAAGAGCCGTTTTTTTAAGGTTACTAGGTTTATCTGCAAAATAATCACCAGGATAATGATTGACTGTATTGCCAGACCTAATGTCAATAATCGGCATTGTAAACATGACACAAGGTGGCGCCATATCCATGTCATCATGTCAGTGAATGTACTTTGAATTTACCCTCTGTATGTGTTAAGTAAATAAAGTTGCCTTGCCTTGAATGAAATTCATGCAACTCTTAATATTAGATACTGTGTTTTTAAGTGGCGATGGAGATTATTTGTTGATCCTGCTTTAAAGGATATTTTGCCTTTACAAATGGTGCGCTTTATCACTGCCTGGGTTTTGGTTGAAGTGAATCCAAATGCTGCTGCGTTTTCGCGTTTGGCTCATTTACCATCCGAAAAACACGTTGTCTACCTGTCCTGTACCACTTGTTATGACTTCTCTCTCTCGCGTATTCCGTTAAGACCCACCCCATCTCACTCCTCGTGCTGAAACCTACCAAACAGAGTAGGGGCGGATCTTCACAGAATACGTTTGGGGAACAAAATCAAGCTTTTTAAAAGGCGAGTGGATTTTGGCAGGCAGTGAGTGCGGACCAACGATTGAACGATAACAAGAACGGCTCTCACAAAGTAGGACTCGGTTCCCCTCGTTCGTACCAAAGAGCCGTTCAAAAGAATCGGCTCGTTCGCGACCGACACATCACTACTTGATAGCGCGCGAAGGTCCGTTTACGCCGGTTGTTAAACAACATCGTTATGGGGAAATGCAAGTTTGCGTCCAAATGGTTGGAAGATTAGGAGGAAGGACAATCAATACTGTATATAGTAAATGTGAGGTAAAGTGTGTCGCCAATGTAACCGGTTAAAACTCGAAGTGGCGATGAGGTCTTAAAATGTATGGAAAGGGTCTTCTAAAAAGTATTACATTTGACTGCAGGATTCCTGCATATACAGTTATTAGACTTTAGAGGGCGCTATGGGTCTGTGAAATATCTCGTGTATTTCAATGCCCACTTCTGATTGTGACCTCTTATTACAGACAATAGCTTTAGTGTGGATATGAGTTGTAAGCAGTTAAAGCAAGGTTTCTTTCCTGCTCAGATTGTTTCATTAAAAGAAAGAGATTAGTATATTATTGGAGGTGAAGAATACGAATACATTGTGTGCAGCACAAATGTAGATCTTCTCTCATTTGATTGATTGAAGGACATACATTTAAAAGTGTTTGTAAATATAGGGTAAGAATAAACAGTGCTGCATGTGACAAAAACAGGACCTTTGTTAAGGTGCATTTTTGCATTTTATTAGTTAAAGACAGGCTTGTAATCAGGTTAAAGGGGGGGTCAAACCAAGGAAACTTCTGAATGTGCTCTTTATCTCCTGCTGGACCAACCTGATGGTAGCGTTAAGCTGCAGCCATAACATGACTGACATGGACAGTGTCCAGAGGTCAATTCAAAGGTCAAACAGCCAGAGACAAGCCTCTGAGTGTGTGTGTGTGAGGGGGGAGAAACGACTGTCCACTACTGAAGCCCCAGACGCCAAAGGTCAAAGTGGACTTTCCAAACCGCCACCCTCGAGTGAGCCGTCAGGGGACGAGTTCCTCCGTCCCTCCCCCAAAACAACGACTGCTGTCAAACCCGATAGAGGACACTCAGGTCCAGGCGGGGGTTAAGTTTGGCTGAAGCGGCACTCAGGTCTCCTGACCTCAGCCCGGGGGTCAACTCAATTTCAGTCCAGTCGATCCATGTGAAACTGAATCATTCATTAGATCTTAACTCAGAAACACAGTGAGGCTGGCTGCAGTGAGTATTAGGTGTTTGTTTTTTTTTACTCCAGTTGAGTACATTTTAAGTGATGGTCTCATTTTCTGTGTGATAACATGTCTTTGAGTTTGGTTTTTGCACATAGCTTCATAGTGTGTGGTTGTGTCTTTCCTAAATCTACAAATCGTTACCCTTATAAGAAGTGAAAAACAGAAGCTCTCATTGCCATAAATGTGACACTTAAAGGGGTGGTTACAAAATAGTCAAAACCCAAATCAAGAGGAAATATGATAAAACAAAAAATAAAAAACTTCCAAGTAAATCAAACATGCAGTGCTGTATTGTGTTGTTTCATAAAACGTATTTCCACTGGACATTTATATCCGAAAGGTGCTTTCTAAGTGACAAATGTTAGAGTTTATTGGGATTTAGCTGAAGTTAATTGGCAGCACTCCACATACATCATTCTGTAACGTTGAACATTTTGCCTCGAGCGACCTGGTTCAAATCTGTTTATCCACAGATCCAGGAGCAGTATTTCACCTAAGTAACCTCGTCAGTGTCCTCCACAGACATCAGCAGGGAGGAAGAGCTTTGAGGACGTACAATTAGTTTTGAAAGATGGATTTAAGGTTTCCGCTGTATTAAGAATAGAGTCACCTAATCCAGAAACACTGGTGGTTTATCTAAGAGAGACAGAAAAATGAAGAGCAAGTACTTTTTTTCTTTTTGCAATTTATACAGAATCAGGATTATGATTTAATATGTCAGCATTTTACATCGGCGTATATAGCAATATAATAATGTAATACACAAACACTACTGAATCCAGGTAACATGTTGAAGTAAAAGAATATCCTAATTGTTGAATAAAGGGCCATAGCTTCCCTAGAGCGAAATTAAAGACCATAGGTACCAATAGTTCAGTTAGTGTTGTTATAAAGTGTTACAAATCAATATTCTATAAAAAAAACTATTTTAATCTGTGTAATAATTTACATAAATAGTGGTTTTGTTAGAGTTCCCTCTTAATATTTGTATATAATTACAAATGCAGGGTATACCCCAAGGCTCCATTCTGGGACCATTGTTGTTTTTTTGCTAGACCCATGCAGTATCATTATACATTTTATATATTTTTCTTAAATTACTAAATGGAGTGAAGTGCCATAGTCGTCTAATAAAAAGAAAAAGAAAGACTTCATAGTCCAGACGTTTGGTCATGAGTTAATTGTTCCCAAAGTTGATTATTGAAGGTTTTCAGCTGTACAATCATTGTTCCTTATAGCTTTGTGAAGCACCTTGAGATGACGTTGTTTTTAAAGTGTGCTATATAAATCAAATGTATTATTATTATTATTATTACAATCAACACACTTTTGCAGGGAATTAGGTCTCTGAATGTGCAGAAGCTCATCAGCAGAGTCTCATTGACTGTCACTGGTTAAAGAAGGTCAGAGGTCAACAGTGAGCTCATTTGCAGTGAACCAACAACCATCGCTCTAAGTGTACCCTAACCCTGCCAACACCTCCCGTCTGTCTGCAGTAATTCTCCTCCATTGTCCCTCCCTTCCTCTGGCCTTGGTGGCCATGTTTGTTCATTGAACAACTCGGCCACGTCTTATCATAAATATCTCAGCGCTGCGGGAGTCCAGCTGCGACAGCTTCACTCATACAGTAAGAAAAGATAAAGGCAGCGCAGTTTAAACAAAGTGTTGGGTCTTACAGCAGCTCCAGAGGAAAGGGCTGTATTGAAGCCAAAACACAATGGATGTATTCTTGAAGGCATTACTGTACACTTCACTAAGAGGTCTGGGAATTAGAATACAACTGCTTAGTCCCATGGTGCTCTGGAGTTAGTGGAGGGATACTGTTTATTCAAATAAACTCCATTACATCCATTACATTGCTTGTTCGCAAAATGTGATTTGACAAGATTTATACCGTTGATTCACAGTGAAAAATAACAGATTTATTGCCATTAAGCACACAACCTTGTAATGGGAAAAACAGTCATACAGACAAAGAGAAAAGCCATATGTTTGAGATGGATTCAATCTAATAAAACAGTTTAAATGAAATTGAAAGAAAGATTGATTTCACTCTCTTTTTTTGTAAATGTAAAAAAAGTTTGTCATTTTCCTCCTGTTTCTAAAAGTATGTTCTGGATTTCCGGCAATTCTTAAAGTCACTATGCATAAGTGTATTTGTTCTTTTCAAGACCCCAACTCCACCGCCTTACACTTGTATTTTAAGGGAAATTAATCTGCCAAATATTAGACAAAATGCACATAAACAAAGTCAAATATACATGTTTCAGCATTTTAATATATATCACGATAATACCATTATTGTGAATTCATTTGGCCACAAAAAACTTCTAGAGGAAATCTTGTTAGGGAGCATTAGAGGGCGTCTTAATTGGTCCTTGCAGGCAGGTAATTAGCTCTGATGGCATGTGCTCCCATAGTGATGCGAATGACGAGGACACTGCCACGTCCCACCCCTAACCCCAATAAAACACATACACACACACACACACACGCACACATGCACACACACACACACACACACACACACACACACACACACGCACACATGCGCACACACACACGCACACATGCGCACACACACACACACACACACACACACAGACACACACGCACGCAGGCAAGCACGCACGCACACACAGACACACACACACACACACACACACACACGCACTCAAACACACACACACACACACACACAGACACACACACAC